CAGCAAACTATATAATTTAATATTTATATATTATTTAATTCCTTAAATTATAATTTAAAGGGAATTAAAAAGCTTAAGCACTTTTAATAGCTAAAAATACTTTATTTATTAATAATAAGGAAAATTAAAAATCTTTTTAAAGGTATATAATAATTTTTTTAAAGGCCTTATATATTAAAAAGCATATAAATAAATAATTATTTTTATTTTAATTATTAAGATTAAATTATTAGCTTTAAAGCTTATAATTAAAGAAATAATAACTTTAAAATATTTATTTAAAGATATAACTTTAAATTTAAATAAGCCTTAAATTATTTATTATAATAATTAAATAATTATATATTTAATTATTTATAAATATAAATAGCTAAAAATAAGGCTTAAATATATAAATATTTAATAAATATAATTAAAATAAAAATTTAAAAAAAATACCTTTAATATTATATATTTAAAAATTAAAAAAATACTTATAAATAAATTTATTAAAGTTTTATTATACGCTTAATTTAAATATTTTAAAGCTTTTTTAAATCTTTAAAATATAAGGAAATTAATAAAAGAAGATTAATTTATTTATTAATTATTCTTGCTATTAAGTTTTTATTAAAAATCTTAAAAATTATACTCTTTAAAAATTATAATGCAACCCTTATATAAAAATTATTTTATAATTAAAAATTATCTTTTAATCTTTATAATAATATATTAATTAATTTAAAACCTTTTTTTAATTATTATAATAATCTTTTAATTTTTTTAAAAAACTTTTTAAACTTTTAATTAAATTTTTAATTGTAATTTTAAATTAAGATTTAATAATATTTATTTTTTAATATTACCTTTAAAATTAAAAGGCTTAATTAAAATAATAATATAATTTTTATACTTTTTTATAATTTTTATATTATTAATAACTTAATTTTAAAGCTTTTAAGCCTTTATATTAACCTTATTATATTGCTTTAAAGTAATTATAATTTAAGCTTTAAGGCGCTTTATTATATTCTTATACTTACTTTTTATAACTTTTAAAAGTTATTATTATAAGGTAAAAATCTTTTAAGTATTAAAAGAAATTATAAAAATATAATTAACGCGGGTTAAATTAAACTCTTTATGCTTATATATATTTAAGGCCTTTTTTTAAGCATATTAAAACTTTTTAAATGCTAAGAAATTACTAAATTAAGCGCAATAAAAATAATAATTACCTTTATTATTATAATTTATATAAAAATTATTATTATAGCTATATATAAAACTCTTAATATAAGGAAGATAAGGAATGTAATGCTTATTAATCTTTTTAAGCTCCTTTATATCCTTTTTCTTTTTCTTATACTTTATTTTAACCTTTTCCTTAAAAAGGCATTTTATCTTAAGCTTTAAGCTATTTATATATATTTAAAGGTTTTTTAAAGTTATATTAAAAATTAATATATGCTTTAAAATTAATTTTTAAATTAATTAAAAAACTTATTCTTAGGCATATTATTTAATAGCATTTTAATAAAAGCATTAAAGCTTTTATTATCCTTATTAATAAGCTTTTTATTAATTTAACTATACTTATATTTCTTTTTTTAAATCTTAAAAGTATAAGGAGGTAAAATAACTTATAGCTTAAAAGCTTATTTTTTATTACTTTTAATTATCTTTAATATAATTAAAAAAATGCTTAAAATTAATAAAAATAAATATTTTTAAATATAAATTTAATTAAAAAGTTTAAAAAAAAAGTTTAATTATTAATTATAAGCTATATTATAAGGTTATAAATAGCTAAAGTTTAGGTAATAAAGTATATATATTATAAGAAAAATTAAATAGTTAACTGCTTAATGGGTTGCAGCTAATGTTTTTAAGTATAAATTAGCTACTTTAAAAAGTAAGGTAGTTAATAAGGCAGGAACTGCCTTTTAATTAAGGGGTATATTATATGCATATCCTTAACCCTAGTTTATAATTACTTTTTAAAATGCTTAAATAGCTAAATTTCTTTTATTTCTTCCTTTTAAATTACTCTTAAAAGATAAACGCTTTTATAATCATGCTTTTAAACCCCTTACAACACTTATAGCCTTTTACATCAGATGCTATACGATACTTGAAAATGTACTTAAGGGAAAAGCTTGAGATGAACTTGAAGCAACGCAAAAAAGAAAGAGAAGAAATGTCACAGAATGCTGTGCAGAGATGTCCGAAACTTGATCATCAAAATGGTTATCTCCCAGTGCTTTGCTAAGTGACAGGTCGAAGGACAGAACCCAGAGTCCCTCGCCCGGACATCGGTCATGTGCTTCTCCTAGCTAGACCAATCTGTGCGGCGAACCCAGAAACAGAGATAAGTGCTCGGGAGATCCCGACACAGACTATACGGGAAGAGCGGTGGGACCTGATTCCAAGCTTGGCTCAGGGACAGTCATCTTCCATAAGCTGACTACAAGACTATTAAATCAAGCTTGTGACCCCCACAACGACCTTTCTATGTACAGAACCAATTGTGGGTTGTATAAGTATCGCAGGAGCCCATATGAGGCAAATACCGAGGTAATAGAGAGCGGGATGGTCAGCTGTTCTCACAACATCGAGAGGGGTTGCTCGTAAGATCAGACAGGAACCATGGATGTGGGTGTGAAGCAGTCGATAGTCTGCAATATAGCGCCTCAAGGGACCATAGATGAGTTGCCCCTATCACAAGCCAGTAAGCGACGGTCTGACTGCGTCGTTGGCCCCATTCACGGGCTGAGAATTTTGACGCAGATAGAGTTCTGAGCGGGAAACATGTGGCCAGATCGAGCCAGGCCCAGACGTTGGGCGTGGCTGATGATCCCACGAGGGAACCAGCGGGGTAAAGGCGGGATCACAAGGAAGGCGCAGCTGTGTTGCTATCGCCTAGCCGTGCACCGTGGCTGCAGAAGCTGAAGATCTGCATGAGAGCTCAACGAGAGTTGCGCATGTCCCAACCTGGGGCGGTGGGCAGACGATGACCTGATATTTAGACTTGGGACTTGGCGACGCGGCAGCAAGCCTTGTGGTCATGCGACGGGAAGGGCAAAGATATAAATCTTTCCAGCTTAAACTGCATACGTACTTCCTCAAGCGATGCGATTAATGACGAAAGCACGGCTTTGCCTGGAATGAGTCTGCATGTGTGTGTGGGTGTGCAGGCTGCCGTCCATGCAGCATGCTATTATAAGCCATGTGGCCACAAGACAACCTTGGTTGCGCATGTGGCTGGCTAGACGCACCACCTCACAGAAGTCGACTGACGCGGGACCCAAACAGACGCAGCAGCTCTAAGTATCAAAACCTAGCTGTGATATGGAGGAGCGCCAGGGGCCGGTCGTGTCGAAGAGTGGCGGGGCGCCGTTGCGAGGGGACTTGCTCAGACTTTAATATACGCAGTCAGGTAGCAGTTGCCTAAATGTTGAATTTGATTGCCGGGCGAGCCTAGGCGGAAGAGAGGTCGGGTGACACGAATCGAAGCTTTCAACGGTGCCGAAGCGCATTGGATATTTCCGAAGTCTACAGGACACACATGCAGAGTCTTCATCCATGCATGCAGCCGCCGCCAGTCCGGTTAAGGTCCCGATCGAAGATGAAGTGTTCCATTCGAGGGCCGTGTCTGATTGTGGTTAGTCCTGTGTGATGCGTTTTCCATTTCTGGCATCAAGATTCGTGGCGAGCGCTGTAGGTGATGGAACTTCAAGGGCTTGCATCCCGGGCCGAAGGATATCGCAAAAGTCAGTCCATTAACTGTTGTTCTGATGGAGAAACAGTCAGAAGTCCCGCGGCGTCCTTTTGAGTCACACTGTAGGTCGGATTTTTCAAGCACCAACGGGCATGGATATCTCGGTGTACAACCAGCCCCAAGCTCAGACTCAGCTGGCGTGGCGCATGTAATCACCGATGTGACCCTGCCATGTAGGGCCCCGACAGATTGCAATTTGCTGTCCACCGCCCCGGGCGATCATACAGCAGCCGCACAGAACGTTGGGAGCCTTTGGTTGGGGGCAGTTGAGAGCGTCGAGCGCAGGCAGGGCGCTGAGGCCCATGAGACGGGCTGTTGAAGATCTTCTCTGTGCGCCTGCATGTACGAGTTTGACCGTGGCGCATAACCAATTTCTAAGAGAGATCAAAGTCAGAAAGGTGGGCTGATGGATGTCAAGTCGTGAAGAAAGCCAAACCGAGAAGCGCGCGAATGGTAAAACAAAAAGCAAGCTATGTTGAACAGGATCCATTAAGCTCCGACAAGTGTATATTTCACGATGCCACCAGAGATGCACCCCACAATAATGCCGAGTTGATGGGCGCTCGCTACCGGCAGGTATTGTAGCAGCGGATAACACCAGCTGCATTGGACAGCCATCAAGTGACCCGGGTGCCAGGCTATGAAGACGACATGGTGCAGGAAGGGGGACTACTGCGTGCAGCAGATAGTACCGACGAGTTGAAGAGCGGTAGTGATAACGGCAGTAGTAGCTGTGGCAGTAGCTGTGGCAGTAGCTGTGGCAGGAGGAGGAGGAAGAGCACGGGGGAGGATTGGGAGGATCAGGATGCTGGGCCGCCTCGTATTTTCGGGATAAGCACCGACTGTAGTCTGCCACGGATGCACTTGCCTTGCCTCACACGCGCTTGGATTGGCCAGTTCCTAATTGGGCAGGTGAACTACGTAGGTAAGCGCAACCTACATGTACATCCATGATACGCGCGGGATGTTTCCTGCATGAGCCGTCCACACACACCTTCGCATCCCAAATCTAAAATTCCTGAATCTCTATCTCTGCCTGCTATCTGCCTGCCTTGGCCTCTCGCTGACCCTTTTCTCGCACTTTCGCACCCGTGCTCTTTCTACTCCGGTATCTATGCCGGCTTCCCGAGTAGGCGATGCCGAGGTCAGCCGGAATCTGTGCGTGTCCCTCGCGGTGAATTACTTGCCGTCCAGCAGAGGAGGAGCGGCGCCTAGTGTCCCCATCCATCTTTGGGCAGCCATGGGACAGATCCAGGAGCTGGGTTACCACCAAGATACTACAGAGGTAGTCGTCGAGGCTGCTAGCGGGTCACCCCAATCTGCTGCGGTACCACGTAGCAAATACAAAGTCCCCAGACATTAGCCAGACCCCCAGATTCCTCGCGCCATGAGGAAAGACGCCGCGAGAAATCGTCCCAAGTAACTTCCAGATTTGTCTCCCAAGAAATTTGAGTTCGCCGTGTCACGCGTTTGACATGCAGTACTACCACATGGCCCTCGTCGATCACCACGAAGTCCCGAAATTCGGCTTGGACATGCAGTCCATTTCGCCCAACACTCACCAGAGCACCGCCCTCCCCTGCCATCCAGCCATCTTGGCAAATACGACGCGCCTGTCCAGGCCTCAACGCTCGCTTGAGCACATTGTGCATGAGGCTAACCCCCAAGCTTGCCTGGGTACTTCTAGGTTGCCGCCAACCCATGTCCACACCTGCAGCCCGGACGGCCCCCTGTCCACCCCGTCTCTCGGGGAGGCCAAGCTTGTCAATCCCACTGACGCTGAGCGTGGACGATTCCAATCCTGGGCACGACAGGACGCCCTCATGGCCTGAGCCTCGTATTGCGCTGACTGTGTCTGCAGACGTGGCACGATGCTACTATCGCTACTATCTCCTCCAGCTTGACGGATCAGATCGGCACCCTTATCGTGAAATTATATCCAGCGGCGACCCCCGTCTTCCAGGCCCTCGGCTCGCAATGCGTGTCCCCGCCACCTGTGCTCGTTGATCCAATATTCGTCTTTTCTGCGCTCCGGGGTGGACGCTTCGTTCACGATGAAGGCCACAATCCGTGCTCCACAAGCATCCGTGCTTCTGCTTCTGGCATTTGTAAGTAGCCATTCTCATCGAGACAGCCTCACATCCAGCTCACAATATCCAGGTATCCTCTTGCAACGCTGTCCTTGTGAGAAGAGCCCTCAGCACGCCCGCCACATTACCTGGAGCATGGCTATATCAAGGTTGCTACACGTAAGCGGGCATGGACTACCCCTTGATCACTGCTATGACTGACTTCGGGGGACAGAGACGTTGGGAGGACAATCAGTGAAGCCTCCTATGTTGATGGAACGAACATGACCGGGTCTGAACTGCATCAGCTTTTGCTCGTCCCGGGGCTTCCAGTATGCCGGAACGGAGTACAGTCAGGAGTGTTGTACGTCCACTCAAGCCGAACCTTTTTTGTGAGCATGTGCTGATCCAATTCCTAAAAGACTGCGGAAGCGAACTTGCAACCGCTGCAACAAATGCTACTGAATCAGACTGCTCGTCGCCCTGCACGGGCAATGCCAATGAGCCTTGCGGAGGAGCAAATCGCTTGACCTTGTACTACAGCTCTCAGCCCGTGGGCCCTCAGCCAAACCCGGGCGTCGACGGATTCAACTATGTTGGCTGTTACTCGTACGTGATTTAGGACGATTTTAGGCACCGGAGAGAGGGGGAATATCGTATGCTAATTCACTGTCAGCGAGGGATCAAGTGGCAGGACTTTGACACACGGCATTGGATCCGTCCCTGCGGCACAGATGACAATTGCCGGGTGCGTATCAGCTTGCAAAGCAGCCGGTTACTCGCTGGCTGGTACTGAGTACTCGTCAGAATGCTGTCAGTTGTTGTCTCCTTGGATGTCACACTTACGGAGTGCTTCTGTGCTAATGTTCCAACAGACTGTGACAATAACATTCAGAATGGCGGTGCACCGGCTTCAAGTGGCTGCAATATGATGTGCAGTGGAAATCAGACCGAGATATGCGGGGGGAGCAGCCGTCTTTCCTTGTACTCTCTGGATGGTGTTGTGCCTCGCGGTCCGACTTCCACCCTGTCTGCCGTCACGTCAACGGCCTCTACGCCGGCACCCACAGGGTTCCCGACAGGCTGGTCTGCCCAAGGGTGCTGGGTAGACAATAACCAGAACCGCATCCTCTCCTACAAAGCCCCTGACTCACAGACACTGACACCCCAGTCCTGTGCCCTCACGTGCAGCAACGCGGGCTACACCGTCTCAGGGACCGAGTATAGCACCCAGTGCTTCTGTGGCAAAGGCATCTCAAATGGTGGGGTACGGGCTACAGCGGATACGGAGTGTAGCTCCATATGCGCGGGAGACACCACGCAGAAGTGCGGTGGGCCGGACAGGCTTTCCATTGTTTCCCAGGGAGAACCTGGCGTCGAGCTACCTCCTGCGCCGATAGGGCAGGTAGGCAGTTGGACATACCAAGGATGCTACAACGACAATGCCAACGGCGCCAACCAAAGGACCTTCCCATGGCAACTCATATACGCCGGTACCTTGACTCCCGCAATATGCCTGGACAAGTGCGCGTCGTTTGGGTATGCAGCTGCTGGCCTGGAGTACGGCCAGGAGTGTTACTGTGAGTCGCGAACATGGTCTGCTATCTGTCGTTGGCCAACGTCGTACTGACCTCATGACCCAAAGGTGGCGACCCGTCCGATATCGACAAGAACAATGCGACGAAGCAAGCCGAGACCGGCTGCAGCATGGTTTGCGCGGCAAACTCGTCGGCCATCTGTGGAGGTGAGAGCCGTCTCTCAACGTACTTCTGGAACGGCACGGAGCCCCTTTACACATTTAGTTATCCCACAGGCGCTGCAGCTGGGAAATACGAGTTCCTCATCGGGGGCGTGACGATCCCCTTGATGGTATCCGAGTCCATCACCGGCAAGGTTAACTTCCTTTCCAAGTGGGGCACCGGCCCGGGCAATGAGACGGGCGCGTATGAGCTCGATCTCACACTGGTGAATGACTTCTCCAAGGCGTGGAGGACGTTGCACGTCAAAACGGATCTCTTCTGCGCGGCTGGTGTGGTGCTTCCTGACAAGGGAGGCCGTCAGCTGACTGTGGGTGGATGGTCTGGTGAGTCAACTGAGGGTGTCAGGCTGTACTGGCCCGACGGCTCGCCTGGTGTATGGGGCACGCACGACTGGCAGGAAAATGTCAATGAGCTCAGCCTCCAGGTCGGACGTTGGTACCCTTCGGCTATGGTCATGGCGAACGGCTCTGTGATGGTTATCGGTGGTGAGGTCGGTTCCAATGGTGCGGCTGTGCCCTCGATCGAGGTCCTGCCTTACACTGGCACTCCGCCTTTGTATATGGATGTAAGTCACTCTCACCTCGACTCGGTCCTGTGAGCAGTCTCGATGCTAACTTTGGTGGACAGTGGCTTGACAGGACAAACCCCAACAACTTGTATCCCTTCATTTCTGTCCTCCCGTCCGGTGGCATTTTTGTTCAGTACTGGAACGAAGCCCGCATCCTGGACGAGCGGACCTTTGAAACCACCAAGACCCTCCCAAACGTACCCGGTGTGGTCTATGGTACCCTCGGTGGGAGGACCTACCCTCAAGAAGGCACAGCGGTCCTCCTGCCTCAGGTGTATCCCTACACAGATCACCTCGGGGTGCTCATCTGCGGTGGCAGCACAGTAGACGGCCCAGGCAATGCGATCGACAACTGTGTGACCACCTTCCCCGAGGACGCCAACCCGACATGGACCCTGGAGCGTATGCCTTCACCTCGTGTGATGACGTGCATGGCACCCCTCCCCGACGGCACATATCTCATCGTAAACGGCGCATTGCAGGGCTGGGCCGGCTTCGACCTCGCATCCAAGCCCAATCTCAACGCCCTGCTTTACGATCCCTCGAAGCCAGTGGGAGCCAGGGTCAGCGTCATGGCCAACACGACCATCGCGCGGCTGTACCATTCGGAAGCCATCACGCTGCTCGACGGGCGCGTCCTCATCTCGGGTTCGGACCCCCAGGACAAGAGCCCGGCCCAGAATCCTCAGGAGTACCGCGTCGAGGTCTTCAGCCCACCGTACCTGCTGCAAGGCAAGCCGCGACCGACCTTCACGATCGCAAACAAGGACTGGGCGTACGGCGCGACGGGGATCCCGTTCACGCTGGGTGGGGCGGCGCAGAACGGCGCCATCAAGGTGACGCTGCTGGGCGCCGTGCACAGCACGCACGGCAACAGCATGGGCGCGCGGAACCTGGTGCCGAAGATATCGTGCAGCGGCACGAGCTGCACCGTCGACGCGCCGCCGAATGCGCACGTCTGCCCGCCCGGGTGGTACCAGTTCTTCGTGGTGGACGGGGGCGTGCCGGCGGTGGGCGTGTATGTGCGGATCGGGGGGGATCCGGCTAAGCTGGGCAACTGGCCGAATTTCCCCGACTTTACCGTCCCAGGGGTTTAAGTGAGGGCGAGGGCCGAGATTTTTTAGGTTTTGTTCCTATATATGCTTGTAGGCATTTAGATGATTGGGTCGATGAAGACATCTCATCGCGTGGATGATTGCATATGTAGTTTCCATATAGTAGCATCAAGAGACAGATACACCGAGCCCATGGAGTTTTGGTGAATCGATCCCTGCCTGTCTCAACGGACCTACCGGAGGTAATAGACAATGCGACTCCGAATTGGCTCACCAGGGAAGGTTGAAGCTGATTGGGCCAGTTCGTCTAAGCGCTGAAATGCGGTGCTGAGCGACGGACATATCGCACTGACGCGACTATAGTATCTCCTTGACCGGCAGTCCCGTTCGCAATAATGTTGCAGCCGGGAGCGTTCAGATGAATCGGATGAATTTAGAATGCCGAAGGCTTCTTTCGCCGTGGCATGTGTTGGTCGGACGGCCACACTGCACCAAGGGGCTTAACGCCGGTTAACGCCAGGGGTCATTCAAACTCACATGTCTGTTCATGGTGCAAACCAACGGGCAGGCTAGTAAAGGCACTGACGTCGAGCCCGCCCAACGTAGATGGAAAGCTTATATAGCTGTTGATGTTCCCGTCAGGTTCTGCTTTGTCTGGGGGTAATTCATAGTGTGTTTATCTCCAGCAGACAACAATAACCCTACAGGTCGAGAACAGCAGCAGCAGCATCGACTTGAAAATCACACAATGTCCTTCCTCTACAGCCAACTCTTCGTCAAGCCGGCGTACCCCACCCGGATGCTCAATGGCCAGACGGTCATCGTGACGGGCTCCAACACGGGGCTGGGCAAGGAGGCGGCGCGGCACTTCGCGCGGCTGGGGGCGGCGAAGCTGATCCTGGCGGTGCGCAACACCAAGGCGGGCGAGGCGGCCAAGGCCGACATCGAGGCGACGACGCAGTGCGCGCCGGGCACGGTGGAGGTGTGGGCGCTGGACCTGGGCGACTATGCTTCCGTCAAGGCGTTCGCGGCGCGGGCGGCGCGGGAGCTGGAGCGCGTGGACGTGCTGTGCGAGAACGCGGGCATCGCGACGGACAAGAAGAGGGTGGTGCAGGGCCACGAGAGCACCATCACCGTCAACGTGGTGTCGACGTTCCTGCTGGCGCTGCTGATGCTGCCGCAGCTCAAGGAGACGGCGAAGCGGTTCGGCGTGCGGCCCAGGCTGACGGTCGTCGCGTCCGAGGTGCACGCGTGGTGCAAGTTCCCCGAGAGGGACGAGCCCAACGTCCTCGCGGCGCTGGACGCGAGCGAGGACCTGGGCGAGCGCTACCAGGTGTCGAAGCTGCTCGAGGTGCTCGTCATCAAGCAGATCGCGCCGCGGATCAAGGGGGGCGTGACGCTCAACATGCTCAACCCGGGGCTGTGCCACTCGGAGCTGTCGCGGGACTCCGGGCTGGGGCTGGCGGTGATGAAGTTCTTCCTGGCGCGGTCGACCGAGGTGGGCTCGCGCACGCTGGTGGCGGCGGGGCTGGCGGGGCGAGGAGAGCCACGGCAAGTACATGTCGGACGCGGTCGTGGCCGAACAGGGCCTGTCTGCGTTTGTGCGCAGCGAGGAGGGCGACAGGGCCGGGAAGAAGGTGTGGAAGGAGCTGAGCGACATACTGGACAAGATCGAGCCTGGTGTGACGGCGAATATCTAGGCAGGGATTAGTGTTGGGTAGCGAGTGACTGGGTAACCCTTGGCGTTCTGTGGCTGTATTGAATTTTCTATTTCCTCTCCAGGATCCGGTCAACAGTTGTGATGTGAGATTTGGTGGTTGTTAGACAGGAAGTGGTATTTGTTGGTTGGTGAGAAATCCAAGTGCGTTAATGTCATTGTGCAGCACAGCGTCTCTCCGGATGACAGCAGGGGCTCTGGTCTGTCATTCTTGGACTGCTGATGACAAATATGACAGGGCGACAGGGGCAGAACTTGAGCAATCGTATGATTTAATGCTCGTTCACATTAGGCTGACTGGGCAAGTTCGCCCATCAATATCTCACACATACGAGTGCCTGAAATGCACACTCTACTGAACATACATGCTGCACCTCCTCGAATGCGGCAGCGCACCCAACCCGAGTGAGCCTTTCTCGTCTATATACATCACACAAAGATTGAAACTGAGTTCAAGATACGAATCCTTAATGAGTATGTTGTTTCTCTGATCTCCTACCATAATAATGGAAAGGGAAAGGGCAGGGTATTCTCTGCTCATCCTATGCACGCAGCGCCGGTGGTTTAGAGTGGGGCAGAAAGCCTGCCGTCCCACCCCCTGCACCCTTGAAAAATAAATGTTGACTTCGCTTCACCACACCCACGCCACCTCTACATTGCCCCATCTGGGCCCCAATCACAACCGACTGTTTACTAAATCCGAGGCTGACGGTCCAAGCTTGATAGCAAAGAGCCGTCGAGGCCCCTCAGAATGCGTCCCTGAGCAACAGATCGCACAAGGCTGAGTGGCCCAAGCATGCGCGGCTGCCATCTCCTTGCCTCACCCCCAAGCTTGCACTTCCGCCCTTTTGCCCTCGGGGCCCTGCCTCGTCCACCACCACCAGGGCTTCTATTCTCACAATCATTCGACGGCATAGCGTACGTCGCGTGGCTCGGCCACTCACTGCCCAGACCCGCCTCATAACTTCAGGGTGCCCTCAACCCAGTGTTCGCAGGGGGCATTCCGTACTAACAAGTCTGCAGACCTCCGTCTCTGTGCCTTCCCCATGGCCATGTTATGGGCATCGCCTAGGCCGCTGTTACGGCCAGTTGTGCCCAGGAAACTCAGCCTCGATGGACCAACTCTGCGAAAATGCATCCAGCGCCGTGGCCTCATAACCCTGGGCATTGAGACATCCTGTGATGACACCTGTGTCGCGGTTCTGCAAACCAAAGAGGTCGGCACACACCAACATGCCTACCTAAGAGACATTTGTAGGGTCTCTTGTGCAAATAAGCATCATCAGGGGGTTCATCCCGTTGAGGCGGTTGAGTCACACACAACCGGAACTTACCTATACTTATGGACAAGGCCCTGAAGAGCACCCTCAAGCCGCCCCCAGATCTCATTGCCGTCACCAGAGGACCGGGTATGAAGCCTTGTCTGAATGTTGGCGTCTCGTTTGCGAAGGCATTGTCCGTTGCTTGGGGTGTACCGCTCGTTGGTGTCCATCACATGCAGGCACATGCCCTTACCCCCCACCTGGAGGCAGCACTATCGCTACCGCATAGGAACTCCATCGATGTCCACGAGCCACAGTACCCCTTTCTCACTCTGCTGTAGGGCTCATCCCCCCCCCCCCCAATACACACACAAACGACCCGGGAGTTCTGGTTGATGGGAGTCGTATTTCTGTTGCTTCGTCTGACTCGAGCATTTTTCTTAGTAGTTATAGTTGCTGACTGAGAAATCGCAGGGTTTCTGGTGGGCATACAATGCTGGTCTACACAAAGTCAGCTATCGAGCATAGAGTCCTGGCATCGACTCAGCGCGGCATCGTGAATCCGATCGAAAAGGGTTCAGCTACTGCCGTCGGGGAGATGCTCGACAAATGCGCCAGGGCTAGTAAGTAGCTCCCATCTCTCTCTCTCTCTCTCTCTCTCTCTCTCTCTCTCTTTTACTCCCCTCTACTGGGAGCTTGGTTTGTAAGAAGCACTCAACGCCAGGCCCCTCTGTAGTCGCCTCTATGGCCTCCTCCCTTTGTAAGCAGCACATGGTGGCAGAATGTTACTCACAATGTCACAGTCATCCCGGAAAGGCTCATCCCGAACAGCAATGCTGTGGTTTATGCCAAGGAAATGGAACGTTATTGTGCGATGAGATCGATGTGGGATGCATACCAGGCGCCACAGAAAAGCGAAGTTTACCAATCAGTGATCGGCCCATGGTCTGTTCCTCCCCCTCTTCGGCAGTCACAAGAAATGATGTACAACTTCACGGGATTGGGCGGTAAGGTGCGGGCGATAATGCGCGAGAGACCTGACATGCCGGGAAACGAAAGAGCAGAGCTGGCTTATACCACCATGAGGCTCGCTTTTGAGCACATCATGAGCAGAGTCATTATGGCTTTGGAAAATGACGAAGAGCTCTTGGCCAATCCCCCACAGTCATTGGTGATATCTGGGGGCGTGGCCAGCAACCGCTTCCTGAAGACTGTTGTCACATCCGCGTTGCAGGCACGTGGCTTTGGTAACGTGACTGTTACGGTTCCCAAGCCCCAATACTGCACAGATAATGCCCCAATGGTCGCCTGGGCGGGACTGAAGATGTATGAAGCTGGGTGGACAACGGACAAATCGTTTCTGCCCCTGGGCGAGTGGCCGATTGAGGAGATCATCACGGGCGTCGACTGTTGGCTCCAGAATGGCGTCGCCGCCTCTCCAGGGTCTACGTCCAAAACGGCAGCTTCTCAACCAGACACAGCCCAGCTACCAGACAAGTCGAAACCCCAGGATCCACCACTGACCTCAACAGCGGATGTTCCTACGGAGCCGGACGCAGTGGCCGCGCCGAATGCCAAGTCCGTCGCACCAACCGAGGATGAAGTCTCCGAAAGCAAGTCCAAGAGCGATAACAAGAAGCCGAGCGCGAAGCCTGATCCGGGCCCATCGTCAGCGCAGGATGTACAACACGCCGCGGGCGGCGAGGGGCCAGGCTCTCCGCAAGAAGACACCGCGCGAACTCCACCCAGCCAGGCAAGCGACAGCCCGGCGCAATCGGGGAGATCACCACGGGCGCTCACAGGCCGGACCAAGGCCAACGCACAGCCGGCGAGCGCCAGGAGGGTCACGGAGAAGCGGGATGACCCGATAAAGCAATTGAATGAAGCGGAGAGGCAGCTCCTGGGCCCCACGGCCCGGCGACCAGCGGAGCCCCTGATGAGGCCACGCCCCAGCCTGGAGCTCCGCGGCCCCAATGAGACCCGCCCGGTCGACGGCCGCATCGCAAAGCCTGACTATAACAAGCGCCCGGCCGGACAGTGGGACAGCCCTGTGAGTGCGAAGAAGAGGGTTGCCGACGGGGCCAGGCGCGACCCGGAGAAGGGGGCGTTAGAGAGGGAAGAAGTTCTCAGGGTCTTGAACCAGATTGGGGCGGCTGTGGAAAGCGAATTGAGGGCAAAAGCTCAGGCCGCGACAACTAACAAGCCCCAGAGGAGGCCCAGTGCTACTTCCCCGGTGGGGAAGAACAGGGCTAACGACGGGGCCAAGCGCGAACCGTTGAGGGCCTATAAGGTACAAACAGAAGGGAAGGAGAAAGTAAAAGCAAGAGAGGACGAGGAGAAGAAGGAGAAGCGCTTCGTGCGTCTACTCCCGCCCGCGCCCGCGGACGAACAGGCCCCCGAGGGTTCGCTCCGGACAGGGCTTAACAGACTTAAGAGTTGGATTGGTCTATAAGGGAGAACCGGATGACTGAGAATACGGTCCAAATTTGAGTTGGGAGAGGGTCCTGAGACGACCACTTTCCGCCGGATTGCGACGGTGTGTCAAATTATTTGTAAGATATGGATATCGCAACTCGCATTGGGAAGGCGTTAGGCACACACATGATTCAGCTGGCAATCTAGCATAGCGTTGAAGCATGGGAACATGGTGCATTGCAAAAAAGCTCATCATTTATTTGTACAGGTACACGGGCGTCTTGTCACCTTCTTTGGCCGCCATGAATGTGGTCCAGATGATGAAAAGGCCTGGCCCCCACCTAGAGAAAAGCCTATGCTCCTCTGCCTCTAGCCCACACCACACATCCCAAGACCTGCCATGCCCATGTCTCTATGACCAACCCTTTCTAAGCCTCACACTGCAACCGCCATTGCTGCCCCCGTCTAGTCCAGGTTACTCGTGACATTCGTGAACTCGCCCTTCTCCAGCTTCGTTTTCCAGAAGATGGGGTTCGTGTCGTTGAAGCCGTGCCTGACCCAGCCCTCCTCCTTGACGTGGTAGAGGTTGATGAAACCACCAGAGTACGCGTCACGGTGCGTGGCGGCCAGGATGCTCCTGCGGCCCAGCTCCAGGGCGTCCTCGTCCGAAAGGTTGTAGTCGTACTCGGCGTCGAGCACGCCGTAGGCGAACGTCTGGCCGGAGCCGACGCAGAACAGGTTGCCGGGCAGCCTCGTGCCGTCCGAGTCGATGTAGTACAGCGCGGGCCCTTCCTCCTTGGTCACGCCGGCGCACATGGTGCCCATGGACAGGCCCATGCCCTTGTACTGGTAGACGAGGTTCGCGAGGATCTTGGACGCGGCGGCGACCGAGATGCGCCGCTTGTGCCGCAGCTCGTGCAGCCGGCACTGCATGCCCAGCCAGGCCAGCCAGTACTGGCAGTCGGCGGCGCCGCCGGCCATGGTGCCCAGCAGCTGGCTGTTGATCTCGATGACCTTCTTGACGGTCTGCGAGGCGATCCAGTTGCCCGCCGTGGCGCGGGAGTCGGTCGCCACGATGATGCCGCCCTTGAAGCGGAAGGCGAGGGTCGTGGTGCCGTGGGCAATTTTGATGGGGCATTGGGGGTTGGAGCGGTCGTCGGTTGCGGCTCGGAGCCAGGAGGAGGGCTGTGGATTGAAGCTATGTCAGCGGTGGTTTTCTTTGGGTATGTTGCCAGCGACGTGAGCACGCATGCGTTGGTTTGCGAGTGTGATCGACAGTTGAGGATTGTGGCCTTACCTGTGCAACTGGGGGCATGGCAAATTTCAGAGATGGGCCTGGCACGCCGTCGGCGAAGTCCATCTCATCCTGCTCTGTGAAGCCCTCGTTCTGGGCATACGCCGGCCGGCTGTACTTTGCGACGAGCGTATCCATGGTGACGTCGGCTGTGGTCTATGCTTCTCTGGAAATGGGCTCCCCGAATACTCGAAGGAATCGAGACGAAACTGAAAAAGCCGCCGGGGTCAGTGATGGTGGGGTTGTGAAGGCGGGAGACGAGTGGGTTGGGCAAAGGGACGATGATGAGGTCGACGAACGGGTTGATGGTTTGGCGAGCTGATGTCGTTGGAGCTCAAGGCAGCTCCAAGCACGCGTACTGGGTGACGGGACCAGCAACCCTGCCGGCCGGAGGCTGCAGCAAAGCTGAGCCAGCAGGGGGGCACACACTAGCCCACCCGTTGACAGTGGACACCTTCCAGAGTTGCAGGGGTCCAAAGCTGAAGCACAGGCCAATACTCTGTCATCTTTCACAGGCCGAGCAGCACAAGGCATCCGTCCACCCATCCCGGGCGGTCTCCTTTTGGCGACAGCTTGTTCGCAAACACCTGGGACTTGCACAACAAATCTCCCGCGCACAAGACACCCAACAGATCTCTCTCGCTCGACGGCTGCGAAAGCCGCAACACCACACACCATGGGGTTCATCAGCGGGATCCTCTACGGTCAGTCCAAGACAGCCCGTCGCATCGACGGACACAACTGGAACTAACGCCGCTGCCAGTCGTCATCCTCATCCTCAATGCCATGTGCATCCTCTCCGAAGACCGCTTCCTCGCGCGCAGTACGTTGAACCTACTCAGGGCCGGATCTCGTCCCCCCTTTTCGAAAGCTGGAGTGGGACCTTGCGATGTTTGTCGCTTGCAAGCCCGGCGTGGAGGGCGCCCGGCACGAAGACAGAGTGACCAGCTAGGATGTTCAGGAGACTGACCTTTTCCAAAATCGCAGTCAACCTCTCCCCGAAATCCATCGACCCGACCTTCGGACAGTCTGGCGGGGACGCAAGCGTCTGGAGCAAGGTGGCCAGCTTGATATCGAGCGTGCGGATGGTTGTGAGGTGTACGTATGGGCCCAGCAAACATCCATTTGTTGCACCCCCACCCTTTTCGACGGCGGCCGTGTGGGCGCAAGTTCCGTATCTAGAACCCAGAGCTGACGCCAAACTGCACACCGCCAACAGTCCCTCTGATATTCGTAAACGCCGTGATAATAGTCTACGAGCTGATCCTGGGATGAGCGGTCCTGTGGGTAATAGTGCTCGGCGCTCTATTCTACCTAGAGAACCTCGAGGCCAGGCGGACCCGCTTAGGCCGACGGGCACAGGACATAGCGGCTACGTATTGATGTGACACAGTTCGTGTGTGTATTATTGGGGCATCCTTAACGGTGGTTGGGGCAAGGCGGGCATATATATGGTTGAAGTCATCCATGCTCGGAGTGTGTGCGCATGGCGTCAAGGCGTTGGCAGGGGAAAGGACGGGGGGTGGCACGTTTTACTGAGCGATCGAATCCGATGTGTTCCGGGCCACAGAAATTGTTCACCAAGACTGGTACCCCGGAAGACCAGGTGCAGGCGAGAATGATCCAGATTCAGGCATACCCAGCTCAGCAGTGGCTATTTCTAACACATGAATAATGTACGAGTTGTCGAGTACATCGCCAGTCTTCGTCACGCTTCGAAAATCCTCTGTTCAGTTGATATCAACATGACACTTGAGCTGCATCGACACGCACGCAGTCTTAGCGGTCGTCTAGAGGCTGGGGAATCGACCACCTTGGCACAAGGAATTTGTCTGATCCAAACAGTGACAGTACTTGCGAGACCCAGACATTGGATCCCGAAATATTGCATTATATATGTATGCGCGCCCGCTTCGTGAACGGCATGCCAGACATTGTACATCGGAATTGAACCCTCTAGAAGCCATCCAGAACTATGCGGCTTCCATCCGCATGGCCGCCCGCACAAATCCGTGTTTATTTTTCGCTCCGTTCGGTATGTATACACCAGCCAAGCCGTTGCCGAGGTGGTGTTGGTGGTGGTGGTGGGTGCCCCATGTTGCCAGAACCAGATCCTGACCGATTTAGATATCCACAAAATCAAGTCCGCTCGAGGTGATGCAGGCATATACAATACACAGCCAGCCCCCGCGCCGTGACGCATGGCTATTCTGGAGCCACGCCAGCAGGGCAGCAGCTTCGACGCTGGAGCCTGGCTTTTGCTGGGCTATCTCCATAGTTATCCAAGCAACTCCCATAAAACGCCCATGCGAGGGACTCATTCCCGACAGAACTCGCCCAGGATTCCCCTTCTACGAAAAGACATTGCTCTTTTTCCTCCCAATGCCGCTGATGCTAAAACGCTCCTTGAGAGCATGCTTCTCAGGACGGTCCGCGTTGGACGAGGTCCTCGCCTCACTGCCATTAACATCGCCCCCTTCCGACGGGCTACTGCCTGGCTTCTGGATCTTGTCATCCTTGTTCTTGTCCTTGTCCTTGTCCTTGGAGCTCCCTGCTAGCCAGCCCATGGACTTGCGGCTCAGTGATTTGCTCCCTTTGTGCCCTCGGCTTAGGAACTTGGGGCTTGCGCTAGCCGGGACAACTGGACTCGACGCACCCATATCCTTGCTTTCCTTCCTGCGCTTCTTCTCGTCCTCCGCTGCCGCCGCCCTGCTTTCGGCCAGCGCTTTCTGCAACTCCTCTTCGTTGGTTCTGCGTGCCTCGAGGATGCGTTTGGCATTTTCCTTGCGTCGCTTCTCCTCCTCCTTGGCGGCTTCCTTCTCGGCAACCTTGCGTGCCTTCTCGGCGGCCTTGAGCTCCTTCTTTTCTAATTTCTTGTCCTCCTTGATCTGCTTCGGCGTCTGGGCGTCCTCTGGGTGAGTCGCAGAGGTGACAGGGGTTTGGGGCTCGACGGCTGGTGCTGGTGGCGGTGCGGCGTTCAGCGGATGTGTTTGTATTGGCTCGGGTATGTTTTCCGGAATAGGTGGTACTGGGGGTGCGTGGTCGAAGATGCCGGGCGCAGTCCTCGCGTGATCCAACGTGATGAAGTTGTCCTTGTCATCTATCGGCGAGACAGGTGTGGTGAGCTGCCTGACCAGAGGTGATTTCGGCTCTCCATTCGTCTTCACGCGGTCCAGTGCCAAGTCGGCCTTCTCGCGCTCTAGTCGGACTTCCTCGAGGCCCTCCGCCTCTTGTTCAGCCATGACCTTCTCATGTGTGGTTTCCTGGTAGAACAGCACGTATGCGCAAGCCATGCCGGGCTTGTCTCCGAAGAAGTTCCGGACGAAATGCTTGTCCACCGGCTCTACCATCTCATCATCGAACAGGAGCCATCCTCGATCCGGCGTTTTGATGATGGACACATAGTGTCCATGGTAAGCGTTTCCTCCTATATGCACAACGACGGCGTACAGCTCGTACAACCGGTCGGGATCCTCGGCGTCATCCGTCGTATTAAACATACGCAAGTGATACGGGTAAACCACTCGATGGAAAAGTTTCTGCAGTCGAGTGAAATCTTCGGTGTACTTAAAACGCTTCAGGTGAAGAGCCAAGACCTTTGGCAGCTTCTTGATTTTCATCCTCTTCTCAGCTTCTTGCAAGCCACCGCACTGGTCGCAGTGGAACTTGTTCCGCTCACAGAGCATCTCCTCGTCAGAGAATTTCCTCAAGCACGCCGTGACTGATGAATGCTCCTCGAGGTCAATAGAAAGGTCTAGGAACGTTTCGTCTCGTTGCGAGGTTGTCTCGCAGGATAAACACTTCGTTTCTGACGTCAAAACACCTTCGAAAATATCATGGACCCAACCAGTCCCGGGAGATGTCGTGCCTATCGCTTGCTGGGCCTTCATCAATGCGGCCGAGGCTCCGATGGCGTTTCCAACGGAGTTGGCATATCCATTTGCATTTGTCGTCTCCAGATCCTGCAACCGCATTGCATTGGCTTCCACGCTCGATATGACGTCGTTCAGCACGAGACCATAGAACTCGTGTGCATCCTGGTGGTTCTGGTTCCGGAAATTTTCATTATCGCGTTTGAAAATTTCGAGAAATCGCTGGGGGCTTAGGACGCCTGTCCGTGTGTTACTCTCGATCAGGGCCGTGAAGATGTCTTTCAGCCCCGTGAATGTGCATTCCTCCATGCCGTAAGCCTCGGTGTTGTCCTGTGCCAGTTCTAATACCGGTCCCTTGATCATGGCCTGCTTTTTCTTGTACTCAGGGGAATCCGGTCTGTCTTCTGGCTTCTGCTGCCCTGGTGGTAATTGACCGGCACCGACCTGCTGCCTCTGCTTCAAGGCCTGGGTGGCCGTCAACGGCTTTTGCTTGTTTGCCGGGTTGGTGGCACTTCCGTTCATCGGTGGTCTGATGGTGACTTTGACCTGGCTTGTCTGTCCGTTCGGCGTGCCTACGGGCGTGTGCGGTGGATAGCTCACAACATTAGTGCGGAAGGTCTCACAGTAGTAGAGCGCCTGTACGATGGAGTTACAGTAACTGCCCCACAGTCAGTGTCTTGGGCTCAGTATCGTCGGATGTGGTGTAAAGTGTCTCGTACCATGTGTTGCCGAACTGAAGAAACACCAAATTAGCTCGCGTCCATAGAACATCTCAGGAAGGGGTTCCAACACACATTCTCAAGACCAAAGAACTTGTCGCTCCCGTCGCTCCGCACCGGCCCTGCATTTTGTAGCATTTTCTCCAGTGGCGTCAATTCTTGTGGAGGTTCGTCCTTTTTGGATTTAAGCGTTGGGTCTTTGGTAGCAGTCGAAGCGCCCTGCACGCCATTTGCGTATGATGTTAGCCCTCGGCCTGGGAGAACAGCGCATTCGCGGGGCCCGGGATGGAGTTGGACCAGGCGCGCAGACCGGAGAGGAGCGTTCGCGTGCGACTCACAGTACTGGCGCTCCTCAGCTTCTTCATGAAGCCCGCCATGATGGTATAGTAGCGATTGTGTTTGTAAGCTGGGCGAGGGAGGACGAGGAGGGCACGTCGAGCCGGTTGACCGGCCGAACCCAGGCGTTCAGGTGGATGGGCGAGATCGAAGGGTCAACATCCGGGATGTGCGCGACAGTCCTGGCGGGACTCTGCCCACTCGGTTCAGGTCAATTCTCAAGGCGAGGGCTGCTGTTCTGAACGGGCTGGCCGTAGCGGCGGGCGTGTGACAATGTGGTATGCAGTCCTGCGGCGCGGGTGTGGTGTGGCGCGAGCTTCCCATGCAACGCAGCAAGGCGGGCGTGATTTTTCTACTTATCTGGGCAGGCGGGCTCTTGGATGGTGTGGGCGTATGCGCATGCGTGAGCGTATGTGTGGACGAGAAGTCGAAGTCGGGGACAAGGGCGAGGGCGAGGGCGTGGAAGGACGAATTGGTCCGCCAAAGAGGTCGCAAATGAAGCAGCAAGATGACTAGCAGCAGGCGAGCTAGATAGCTTGTTGACCGGGTAAGCGAGGTGATCTGCGGTGGTAAGGAGGGCGGCAGGTAACGAGCGATTTGTGGTGGCCAGTCAGACAGTCGAGGGAATATGCGAAGGCGCGGCGGCGGAAGGAATCATGGCAAGCGGTTACTAATGCTGCAAGTCCGGGGCAGTTTGCCTATTTCCCCATGGACTTTGGGGATCGGTTCATCCGCCAAATTGGGTGACTGGGCAGGGGGGGGGGGGCTGGTTCTCTGTGGAGTAGCTTGAATTGACTGAAGATACTGAGCAGATACTGTATCCGTACCAGAAGGAGGCAGTGAGCGACTGGCGCAAAATACTGTGTGGCGGGGCTGGTTCACACTCGCGTCTCAAACCGACCTGGCTTGACTCGGCTTGACGGCACGAGGGATCGTGCCTAGGCAAGCACACAGGCTATGAATATCCAGAGGTTGCAACTGCGACGAACAGAGTAATCCCACACGGCAGCCAACCTGCAGAATCTCAGGTGCGGCAGCGACGGTGGGTGGGGTTTCAACTTGGAGGGGCCGAGTACCCAGGTAGCGAGCGACCCGTCAATTGGAGGTCGGGTACTAAACTACAAGTCTACCAGACTACCTACCTACTCCAGGCGCCTGTGCAGGGAGATGTCGCGAACTCCGTCGGCCTGTCTACTGCACCTAGGTAAGAGCCTAAGGAAGCTAGCATTCCTAGCCGGGCCCAGAAGAAGGAAGCGATTGATTGATCCCGCCCGTTGGTTCCAGGGTCGTCGGCTTTGGATCAGTGTGATAGGCGCTGCAGTTGCAGGTGCAGATGCAAATGCTTCCTACTGTGACCCTGACGGGGGCGGGCAAGTTGGCACCTGGTCCGCGCATCCCCTTGAGCAAGATGGTGGTACAGATGCCGTGGGTTTAAGTTAAAGGCCCTCCCACCTCAAAGTCAAATCCTGATCCTCCCCCTACCAACCCTTGGGCAGGTAATCAATCATGAATTCATCGGGCAACTGGACGGCAAGCAGGGTTGCTGCAGGTGCGGATCAAGCGCGCGTGGTTGCTGCTGTCATTGGGAGGGTCACTCGCCGTTTCCCCTCTCTGCCAGACAGCTGGGCCCAATTGAAACCCCGGCCTCTGCACACTGTGTGGCATGGACGGCCAGGGAATGTCTAGATTCAACTCACGACGCCACATGGGTACCAGACCCCTACTGGCTCTGGAGACTATCAGTCCATCAGCCCAGTCTCCTCCCGTGTGCAACGACCCCGTCTTCCGATGTGGCCATTGACTTTTTCACACGCCTGGGTCCAGAATATGCCGCGAGTCTCGTTTTGTCATTCTTCATCATCAAGAGGGGTCACACGACCCGATCAGATTCGATTCAATTCAACCGAACCGAAATATGCGTGCCAACCCCGGCTGGGCGCCACCATGCTGGATGTTCACGCCGAACAACGGACGACCGGGTCGAGTCGAGTCAGCCAGCGAGTCTGTTTCATCGGCGACCCTCGGACGTCGGACGTCACCACCAATCCCTCGCTCCAGAGGGCCTCGTGACCCTGGCAAGCAAACACTGCTCGTCTGAAGTCACCCATGCATTCATTGATTCCTTCGCCCTATGGATGACTGCTTGGTCTGGTTCTGGAACCCAGGTTGTGTCGAGGATGGCCATCCCGATCTGGTGGTATGCACCCATCTGTATCCCGCAGCTGGATCGTCCACGACGTTACATTGTCCCGACAGGCCACACACGCCAGCCCTCTCCGGTGTGTCGGCTCAACAGGCGCGCTTCCTCGACCACCGGTGCTGCCTTTTCACGGCCCGAAGCTCGCCAGCTCTGCGTGCTCCGAACCGTCCTGTCTCAAACAAGATCCGATACATTCAAGGCAAGGGATGTGCGCACATCTTCTGACACTACGCGCTCCCAGCCCACAAGGCATGCGCTGCAAATTTTCTTAAAAACCCGCAACCTGAAGTGCCGAGTGCCTCTGCCAGCCTGGCAACAAAATGACTTACAGTTTTGCTTACCCTGTATTCTGATAAGCGCAACGGCGACAGCGATCCTGTTCATAGCACCCGTCTGCTAATACACCATCGACCAGTGGACTGTGGGGTAAAGAACCGACCCGACGGTATCAGACTCGAGCCCAACCCTGGAAGCTCGGTGCAGCCATGTCAGCCTTTCAACACATCCCACACCATCAAAGCTTCTCGAACACCACAGTTCTTTTGTCTTTGTCCGTCTTTCAAGGATCACTGGTCGACTCACCAGTACACGTTGGCCTCCTGCAGCAGATACCAGAGCCTCGCGCCCCCAAACCTGACCCCTTGCGTCTCATCAAAAAAGTTATCTCGCTCTGCCTGGCTCAGAATAAGCGAACCCCGTGCATCCCCGCAGATCGTCATGGCCCGGCTGTCGCCGCCGCCCACAGTCGAAATCAACCCCATTCAAACTGTGTGTACGCTTGCCGTGCAGCCCACCTTCGTCGTGTGGTGCATGTACCTCCACACCAGAGAGCATGACGCATTGCTTCTACCTGCTCTGCCAACCATCTTGCACCGCCCTACAGCACCCAGCATGAGAGCGACCGAAGAAGCACCGTCATACTGATCAATCACAGCCAGCCTTGTTACAGCTCACAGGGAACCCAAACGTTTCTGAATAACTTCACCAGTACACACGTTCCTGTGAGAGTATACCCTTGTGGGTCAATATTCTTCCTTTAAGAGGTTTATAGAAGCGAAACACTCTCTTGCAGCACCGCCTCCTGTAGCTCGTAGGATCACCTGTAAGATGGGATATCGGTAGGATCGTCTCGTATGCTTTCTCCGTACTATCGAGTACTTAGCAACCCTCTAGGATCCCGGCAAGCCATGCGGAAGCATAGCCACGAGGACCATAGGGCTACTGGGCTGAGGCTGCCATGCTGTGCCTCTGTCACACATTCTACTAGACGAGACCGAACTTCCGCAGTGTCTCAACGCTCGTCCGTGCAGTCTTATCATGTGCGGCCGGGCTCTAGGCGGCTTCGGCAAGCCACATGTGCATCAGATCCCACGCCCGTGGACGAAAGCTTCGAGTCTTCATCGCACGAATAGAACAGTCCTGACGCCGTGCCTGTGCAGCCATTCCCGCTCTAGCGTCTCGTCCTCACGAGGCGTGGCACGGAAGGGGTGTGTGCGCGCTGTACGCCAAGGCGAGAGGGCGGGCGGAAGAGAATGACTTGCGTACGCGTGACTTGCGCCCGCTGTTAATTGCCTGCCTGGTGATGCGCGGAGGAATCGACTGCTGCAATGTGCGCCGTTCACATAGAGGCGCGGCGGGCACGCCTTACGACATGAACACACCCACATGAGTCCCTAGTACGTGGTGTCCTTCCAAGTGCGGCATGGCGGGAGCCGCATGCGCCATGAAGCTCATGAGGTCGAAGGACTCGACGAATTGTCGCTGCCTGATGGCGCCGCGCGCTCATGGTTCGTCTCTGGTAGCTCAGCATACCCCTACTTGTACGCAAGGAGTTAGTTGCGCTCTGTGACTTCGCAGCTTTCTAGAATGATTCTATCATCATATGTGCCCATGCCGGACAGGTTCTATGGACAGGACGTGGGGGTAAAGCAACAGAGACGCCCAGGCCATCTCGGCGTGCCTATCTGGAGCTTGACAGACCATCAGCGCCAGGGATGCCTACCACCTGATGAGCAGGTAAGCAACTCGCTAGACCCCGCAGGACAAGCTATCTACTTCTCCTGAACACTCTTCTTGACGCCCTCGACAAAAGCCTCCACGGCGTCACCTCCGCCAAGCGGCATGCTCCCGCCGCGCATGTACCCGCCGTTCTCGACCCTGACGCCCAGCGCCTCAGCGATGGACGGCAGGCCGCCGTCGCGCAGCGCCATGGTCAAGCTGGCCAGCGACTGGTGAAACTGCGGCGACCGCAGCACCTTCTCCAGCAGCGCCTTCTTCTGGCCGAGAGTCATGGCCGCGATGGCCGCCGCCGCCGAGTCGGCCCCGGGCTCGGGCTCGGGCTCGACGTCCGGGGCGCCCGTGCTGCCCTCGCCCTGCTGCGCCAGCACCAGCACCGAGGGGGGCAGGAAGTACAGCAGGCTGTCGACGTAGCTCTCCTCCGCGGACCGCACCATGGGCACCGTCGTCGGCGCCTCCAAGAGGTCGCTCAGCAGTGGGTACGCCTTGCCCTCTCCTGACTGCTGCTGCTGCTGCTGCTGGCCGCCCGGGTTGAGGGAGTTGAGGAAGTTGCGCACCGCGGCGGCGGCGTCGGGAGCCATGTTGCTCGCACTGCCGGACCTGTTAGCGGATGGTTCACTTGGAGCATTGGGAGCGCGAGCGAGCGAGCAGAACGGCCAGTAGGAGTCTAGATCCACAGCATCAATTGGTTCCCCGTGAAAGTCATGTCTATGAGTACATCTTGATATCGTAAACTTCTGTTTTTTCTTGGCCTTGCGGCTCACGCTTGAAATGCCCATGCAGCCCAAGGACTTCTTTTGCGATCTGTCCCCAAAAGATGCGCTCTCTCACCGGACAACGCCCATGACTCGGCTTGCGGGATTCGCAGTCCTCGAAGTCGGCCTGCGACACTCAAAACAACGAGAGGGAAGAAAGAACCTACGCTCTTGCACCGTCAGAGCCACCCTCTCGCGCCTCCTCGCCCTCGTCCCGAACGTCACCGCCCGTGGCATCCGCACCGGCACCACCGCTGCCAGGCTCAGTGCGATCGCCGCCGTGGCCCTGGGCATCCTCCATGGACTCGTCGCCGTCCGTGTCCCGGCGGCCGGGCCCGCCCCCGTTCCGCACCGAGGCGAGCTCCGCGTTGACGTCGACCTCCTCGCCCTGCAGCAGGTTGTTGACGATCTCGCCGATCTTTCGGTCGCGCGGGGAAAGCCACGTGGGCATCGCCGCTGCTGCTCTGGGGGTGTGACTGTAGCCAGAAGAGGTGTCTTGTGGAGGAGGACTCGAACTTGAGGACGAAGATGCGGCCCTGGGTCCTAGCGGTCGGGGTGTCGGAGGATGGCTCCACGGGTACGAATGTGCCGTCGCCGGGGATCATGGTGAGGTCTAGTTCGGGCTGGTCGGTGGGGACGCTGCGCTCGCGCCAGCAGAAGTGAAGGAGGTCTGCAAACGGGGGATTGTTAACATCCAAGACACGAGGGGAAGGTGGCGGCATGGTAGTGAGGGCGTTGTTGCCTACCATCGTCGGAAGCTTGGTAGAGGTAGATGTATCCGGATCGCGGTGACGGCTTCACCTTGTATGGCTTGCTAGATTGCTGTTCTGCGTGTCAGTATGCTCCATTGCGCGCGTGCCGATATCATATCAAAAGTAAGGGAGACTGACGTCGACCTCGCAGATGCCGGCCTTGAAGGTGATTATTGGCCGGATAGACATGATTGTTGGACTACTCGAGGAGAGGGATGAGCGTAGAGTCCGGTCGTTCGAAAAAAGCGGAACGGAGAGTGTCCAATGTCAGGGAGGCTGTTGATGCGAGTAGCTTGGTGGTCGAGTATGTGAAGATCGTAGATTCGTCCTTGCAGGCAGCTTTGATGGAGCTCCAAGCCAAGCACCAGCGGGAAGGCTGCGGTCCCTGACGTGTTGCTGACAGGGGGGCAGGGGCCAGGCGACGGACAGTCTCCAGGTACTTGGGAGAAGGGACCCACTACTGCTCTGCCAGCTGGCACCGGCCGTCCCAAAAACCTGCCAGCCGTGAGGTCTAGCCGACCCCCGCCAAAAAAAGTGGAAGCAGCCGGGATGGAACACTGGGAACCACTCCTGCTCCAAAAATGCAAAAATCGGAGCTCTACTTATTCCGTTCGCCAGGCCAGAAATTGTTAGTGCGCAGTCACCACCAGTGCCGCACCAAGTGGTTTTCTGGATTTTCTGGCTTATCGCGAACCCGACCCGCCCCCCAGCAACACTTCAAGACGACGACGACGACAGCACCACCTTTCGTTTTCTTTCCTTCTCGCCTTCACCACTAACCCCTCCATCAATTCAAAATGTCGGCGAAGGTTGAGTCCAAGAAGTTCGGCAAGGGCACCCGGACGGTCCCTCACCACTCCGAGAAGGCCCAGAAGTGGTACCCTGCTGAGGCCGATGCCCAGCCTCGCAAGGTACGTTTGCGATTTCCTCGATATGAGGGTGCCCCAGTCGTGGAGGAGCTTGGAATCTATGGACGCGAGGAATTCGGCGATATCAATGGACTCGGTGGAGACGAGTACGGGGCGCAATGAGGGCCGTATAACTCGAAGAGAGCAACACGACAACGACGACAACAAGAGCGGCACCAGCATCAACGACAATGCGTCCGAAGTTCAATCCCGAAAAGATACTCTAAATGACGAGAAGGAAACGCTCCGGGGTCTGCGACAGGAAGGGCGGGATATCCGGGGCTTGATGCAGTTGGTCGGATAAACAAACCGCGCGGCACAGTAGCTAACTTACGCATCAACACAGGTCCGCAAGGCCACCCGCGCTTGGCAGCCTCGCAAGTCCCTCCAGCCCGGTACCATCCTGATCCTCCTCGCTGGCCGCTTCCGTGGCAAGCGCGTCGTCCTCCTGAAGAACCTCGACCAGGGTGTCCTCCTCGTTACCGGTCCCTTCAAGATCAACGGTGTGCCCCTGCGCAGGGTAAACTCCCGATACGTCATCGCCACATCCCAGAAGGTTGACCTGGCCGGAGTCGACGACAAGAAGATCGAGGAGATCGCTCAGCCCAAGTACTTCGTCGGAGAGAAGACCAAGGAGAAGGCTGGTGAGGAGGCTTTCTTCAAGCAGGGCGAGAAGGCACAGGTACGAGCGAACTACCCGACCGACTGGTGCCCATGGACCCAGAAGACGGTGAACGGGCACATGCGAAAGAGGACAGGAGCTAACATGACTGTGATTCTTAGAAGAAGGAGGTTTCCTCCACCCGGGCAGCGGACCAGAAGGCGATCGACAAGTCCCTGCTGGCAAACATCAAGAAGGTCGAGTTCCTCGCGAGCTACCTGGCCTCCTCTTTCAGCCTGCGCAAGGGTGACAAGCCCCACGAGATGAAGTGGTAGATTGCGTCAAAGCTGTTGATGGTTGGGAAGGGGGCGTGGCGCTCGACGACACACACAAGAACACCCTCCGGACAAAAAGATGAAACTTTGCTTTTTAGGGAGGGGTTTACAAAGCGGCATTCGCGGAAATCGGAATTAGGGATGACCTACGGCTAGGCCACTTGCATCTTCCACGTCGAAGATTTCGGTTCATCGCGGCGTCTGTAATGAGGGAATTCTACCAAAGATCACAAACAAAAAACCAAACAGAACCGGTCAAACCGAAGTTTCGGTGGTCCCGCGTGCCGAACTTTTTCACGAATGAGGACATGAAACGAAGATTTGACAAAAGGAAAGAGGAAAAAAAGGCCCGAGAGATATCTGGCCGTGTGTGATTGCGAGTGTGAAAGGACAGACAAAACTCCTCTCCCGGGACGTGTGAATCCAGTGTGGTGCTGAGCATCTAGAGATATCCCCAATCCAAGATGTGTGCACGGCGAAAGCTCCTCAGACTGGCGACTCAGCGCCGGATTGCTGCCCTTGCTGCTGCGTGGGGTGTTCGCCGCACGTCACGCATTGCAGGCTCGACATGTGATCAGTATACATATAAGTGGGCTCGGCTACTTTGTTTCATTTACAGCATCTACGGCGGCTGTCATGTAGACATAGACCAGCTATCCCAAGCCCAGCCCTCACGTCACAGCAAGGAGCGAGTTCCGCTTCCCAGGGCCGAGCCCGTCGTCCGCCGCCCCTATTGCTGTTGCTGCTCGCGCTCGACCCAGCTCTGGATCATGCCCTCCAGCGTGGGCTCGTACTGCTTGCATGTCACCTTGCCCGTCGCTTCGTCGACGTGCGTGTTGGCCTGGACAAAGACCTTGCGGGGCTGCGCGTTGGCCACGACGACCTGACGGACCTTGGTGCCCCAGTAGTCGAGGCCGACAGCGGACATTTCGTCGGCGAAGTACTTGGCGCCGTGTTCGACGTCGGCGGTGGACTTGTAAATGTGTATCTTCTGCAACATGTCTCCCACAGCTAAAAGATGAAATTGTTAGCACCTGAAGTATCGACACAAGTCCAGGAAAGGGGGTTGGCATTAGAAATGCTGGGTTGTACTCACCTTTGCGACCCTTGGTGAGGATCAAGTCTCGGTTGAGGTTGATCTTCAAGTCCGATAGGTCGTCGGCCGAGGACTCCAGCTTGCAGAAGTCTTCGCCTGCCTGCAGGAAGCTCTTCAGGATAGCAAATCGTGCCTGGCAGTGAGGCTGTCCCCACTTCTGGCTCTTGGGATCCCAGAACTCAACCGAGGCCAGACCGGCTCGCGCCATAGACAGGTATGAGGCGTACAGCAGGTCGCCTGCCTCGCTGTCCATCTTCTCAGTGCCATCGCCGAAACCAAAGATCTTGAGCACGGGGAATTCGCAGCTCAGGTACATGGCCACCAGCTCAGCTCGGCACTCCTCGTAGGCTCCGGCCAGGCCGCCGAAGACGGATCCCCAGGTCTGTCCGGGCTTGTACCAGGATGTGACGGGCTTGTTGGTGAGGGGACTGGTTGGAGGGTTTTCCTTGTCGAAGTTGAAGACCCCGGGTGAAGTCTCTTGGAGTAGCTTGCCGCATCCGTGACCCGTCAGCTCGTGCAGACCAACCTGGACCTCAAAGGCAGCGTCACGGTACTTCTGGTACAGCTCGAGGTCCTCAGCTCGGATGAACGGTATCTTTTCGTTGGGAGCTTTGGCGCCGAGTACATTGCCGAGAGAGACGTTCTTGAATCCCTCCGACTGCCTGATATCGTCGTAGTTCGGGATGTTGATTCCAGCTGGTATTCCTGATCCTGCGAAAGACAGAACCTCCAAGGACGTGAAGTCGGGGGCAAGGAACTTGTCCTTCTCGAAATCGGCGCTCCAAGGCAGGAGGGGAATCAGCTTGGGTGCGGAGCTGACAAGCTCACCAAAGGCCCGGGTCCGCTCCTTGTTAACCACAGCGGCGAAGCCCTCCCACTCGCCTCGCACGCCCGCGGGGTCGCGGTATGTCTCGATGAAACCAATGTTGGTCTCCACGTCAGGGCCCTTGTCCCTGATCCAGTACCGCTGGCTATCCTTGAAAGCCAGCAGGGAGCCGGAGTCAAAGGACTTCGCGTATTCGAGATGCATCTTCTTCTGGGTATCGTTGTCTGAATTCTCGGCAGCCTTGGTGATGTTCTTGGCGATGATGGACATCTCGTTGGCATGATCTCCGTAAACGAGCTTGATGGTCTTTCCAGCCAATGCGCCGTCGTCCACTTTGAATTCGATTTCCTTTCCGATGTCACCTCCCTCGCCAGGTATGCTGGTTTGAGCGGATGCGATGAGAATCTCGAAGACTCCGTCCTTGGTCTTCCTGAGCCTGGTGTTCTCAGGCAAAAGGCCCTTCTTCTCCATGAAGTCGGCAACGGCCCCGACTTCAGCCTTGGTGACATCTGGAGAGTCGGGGTAGTAGGTAGTCAGATGACCATCATCCGGGTAGCCCAAGTGCATCAAACCCGGGCTGCTGGCTGAGAAAATGCCACCCTTGGTTGCCTTGTAGAACTTCTCAGCCTCGGGCGACGTGGCAGCCAGCTTGTCGACATCGCTCTCCTTGCATCTCGGAATGAACTTTTTGTCACCGAATGACTTGTAATTACCGCTGAAATTCACCTGTCAGTACGGCCGAAAGCAAGGTCCCCAAGGCTTGCGACACAATGTCGCTTTCGCTTACCTGTTCCCAAGGAACTGAGCGGCCCAATGCAGGAAGTAGGTCAAGTCCTCCTCGGTGACGCCGGCCTTCTGGCCGAGAGCCTTCCAGTCACCATTGCAGCTCTTGTGCAGGGAGATGATGAAGTCAAAGATGGGCTCAGACTCCGGGGACACCTGTCGCAGAGTGATGCGCTGGCCGGCAAACGAAGCTCTGGTCCCAGTGTCAGTGATGTGAGAATAATGCCCAGAATAGAACAGCGGTTGATGAGGAGCCGGTGTGAACACGCATGCCAGAGGAGGTCATCCTGTGAGGTTATGCCAGAGCAGGTTTATCCCAGAGGGAGGTATCCCGAGGGCAGGGCGTCAATGGGCGAAAGCGAGTGTTGATAAAACTCACTTGCTGATGTAGTGGGCATATCTCTTCTGCCTGTCGGTCAGGGCCTCGAAGTGCTTGGCGATCTCCAGGCGCACGACGGTTGGAGGCGAGTCGGCCAGGTAGCTAGAGAGTTCCTTGGCGTCCATGGTGAGGTGCCGTCGGGCTGGTTGGATGAGGGCGAATGAGGAGACACGTGAGGCTCTGGGGACAGCAAGTGCAGGTGTTTTGGGAGCAATGGGGCTCGATGCGACGACTCTGCGAGCTGCTGTCTTTGCTGAGGAGAGGGGAAGACGATGCATTTATTATCTCGTCTCCCGGCCTTCACCACAGGTGCCGTAGTCTATAATGCAATCCAACGTTCCCACACGTGCCTGCCCGAAGCCTTTGTTTGTTTTAGCTTGCGGGTTGGTGCTATAGCATACCTCGCAGGAGTGCCTCAGACGGGCAGGTCCCCTCGTCTCAGGAACCAACCGTCCAAAGGTCCGCTTGTTAGGGTGTTACACACCCGCAGCTGGCCGGCCTGACATGGTCCAGCCACCGACGGAACTGTACCACAGCCGTCTAGGTGCGGTCACATCGAGGCCAGACAATCGAAGGATACTGGGCATGCTCATATTCTTCTTAGTTCTTAAATCATAGCAATATGTAGCAGTCTATAGTAATCCGCCTTGGGCTAATCAAGGATTGGGGCTCAACATTTGTCTTCAAGTGGTATGGCTGCCAAGGGTGGGCACAGCATGAGAGGAGACAGTCCGTCGGAATTGTCTTGCCTTTGTGTTACTCGACTATCTGTACGTGGCCTCATATGAGGAGCATAAACGGTAGACAAGCAGGCTACTAACATCCAGAAGAGACAAAATCTATTCTTTGCACCTTGCCCAGAAGCAGAAGCAGCATCAATGGCTGCACGGCCGCAGCGTTTCACACGGACGAGATCTGCTGTGGCAAGATGCGAGGTATCGGTCTAACAGAACCTGGGGAAGCGGCTCAAGATTGGCAGCCGCAAGCAACGACAGGGGGGTCGAAGAGCCCCAGGGATTGGAGGGGCAGCTTGAGGGGCACCCTTAACGTCGGTGTAGCTAACAACCTGAACCACGCAAGCAATACCAACATCCACCTCAACAGCCCGCCCTCCTTTGCACATCCCACCTGCCACCTATCGACCTATCGACCTTGTCTAGGATCACTTGCACATCAATTCCCTCCGCCCCCAAATCGGCTTCCGGCAACTCTGTTGTGAAGCCCAGCCCCAGCCCAGCATGTCCTCGGCAGATCCATTCGACTCGGCCCTGTAAGTCCAAACCCACCACCCCCTGAGAGGCCAACAGCCAGCTGCCAGTTGCTATGCCTGTGCCTGTGTCCCTGACTGCCAAAGGCTAACCCCCGGATGCCACCCTCCAGCGACCTTCTCCGCCGCCTCAACCCAAAGTACACCCAGCGCAACCTCGACTACATCATCCGCCTCGCCCCAGACCTGACAGAGGACCTGCTGTCGTCCGTCGACCAGCCCCTCGTCGTCAAGCGCTGCAAGCAGTCCGGCCGCGACTACCTACTCTGCGACTACAACCGCGATGGCGACTCGTACCGCTCGCCCTGGTCCAACCAATTCGACCCGCCGCTGGACGAGGCCGGGCCCGGCGGCGTCGGCGCCGGTGGTAACGACGGCGCCGGCGAGGGGGCTGTCCCGGGCGAGCGTGTGAGGAAGATGGAGGTCAAGGCGAACGAGGCCTTTGACATCTACCGCGAGCTGTACTACGAGGGGGGCGTCTCTAGTGTCTATCTGTGGAATCTCGACGACGGCTTCGCTGGCGTGGTACTGTTGAAGAAGTGTAAGTCTCGACCCTACGTGCCTTCGAGGGGGTGGGCTGGCCTGATGGAGCGAGGAGGAATCGGCTATAAGCGAGGGCGTCTCTCGCTCATCAACGCCCTTTCTCCCCGAGATCCCGTGTCTCTCCCTGCATATATGACGGCCCCCAGAAGCTGAACTAACATGTCTCACCACCCCCAGCCTCCCCGTCCGGCGGTAGCAGCAGCGGTGTCTGGGATTCGATCCATGTCTTCGAGGCCTCCGAGCGAGGCCGCACAACAAACTATCGGATGACCTCGACGGTGATGCTCAGCCTGGCTGCCAACTCCAACGTCACCCTGGGCGAGATGGACCTAAGTGGCAACATGACGCGGCAGATCGAGCAGGAGCTGCCCGTGGAAACAGACGAGAGCCACATCGCCAACGTCGGCCGCCTGGTCGAGGACATGGAGCTCAAGATGCGAAACCTGCTACAGGAGGTGTACTTCGGCAAGGCAAAGGACGTGGTGGGCGACCTGAGGTCGGCGGGCAGCCTAAGCGAAGGCCAGAAGGACAGGGACGCGCAGAGGGAGATCATTGGCAGCATGCGCCGGTGAGGCGACCGATGTCCCATATCCCGTAATTTCTGAAGGCGAGCTGCGCGACGTGACGAGACGGTGGGGGAAAAGGCAGGCTCATGACACACGCGGATCCCTTGATTGCAGGAGTTGGCGCCTATCCCTGCCAGGCATGGAGGATACGACACACGCGTCATGCTCTCATTACACGGAGATGAACGATAGACCATCAGACGGGCGTTTTCGTGCAACGTGTTGTTTGGAGAAGTATAATCTCCCCCCTTCCCACCCTCGCGCTCTCATACGCCCTACGTCGAGGTAACAGGGTCATGTCCCTCGCGGCTTCGTGTCCGAAAGCCGATCTGCGAGCGACGGACCTCGGCAATGAAGTAAGGCAGGGTGACATGGAAGGGGGAAAGGGACTTGATTGTTTGGCTCTGTAGGATCGCCGAAGGCGGAATGACTTGCATACATAACGCATGCTCTCTCACACACGCTCATACATATATTACACATACGTACAGCCGGTCACTCACGACGCCCGACGGGCGTGCGGATATGCCCCATTAGGAAAGCCCAACACGGCACCCCTGCTGTCAGATGCAATCCTTTTAGACTTTTTCTGTCCTCTGCATGCAAATGCGCATCGGCCGAGCTTGGCGGGCAAGGCGCAAAGGATCCTGATGTCCGCACGTAGATCTAGGCTCGGCTCCGGCCGCTGTGACACTGCACGCGCCATCTCTGGGCCACCCCTCCCCCTTCACCCCAAGCATTGCGTTCACCGGCTCGTCCTCCCGAGGAGCCGGGCTTGCTTCGCGCCTCCATGATGGGAAGGGGAAGGGTTCCTGGCGAACAACATCGTCACCATCTACGGTGGGGGTTGCCCTGCTACGTTGCGCGTCGTCCTTCTACGTCGCGATAATTGTCGCTTGTCGGTCCCTGCAATTTTGGGACTGCGGCGAGGATTGACCGACCGAGTCTCTGGGTCCCTGTAGCCGGCGACATGTCTCTCAACCATTCGGCTACATGTCCACGGATAGCCGGGCGATGTCTACGTCGAGACCTGGTAGGGCTCGACGGGAAACACTTGTTTCGGAACGTCGTGTCGGTATAGGCAAGGAAAGGCGACAATTTCCAAAAGCGAGGACCAGACCATGCGTGAGCAGAAAGTCCATACTTAGCCAAGGGGTCAAACTCCCGTCACGTCTCTGAAGGCCGGCGATGAGACCACCCTCCTGTAGATAGTTCCACACACGCGCATTGTGTTCGAACCCTTCAAAGGAGTCTGATAAGTCCTGCGCTGTGTGTATGTCTGTGTGCATGCGAGCGCGCCTGTGTGTGTGTACGTGTGTGTCATCCCCACTCGGGGAGATGCCAGCAGGGGCCCCTGAGAGGCTCGGCGTGGGAAAAACAGACTTTGCGCTTCTGCACGATGAACGATCTACTGAGACAGGCTCATCCCAACACTTTGGTTCCTGGCGGTGGGCGGGACCCCTTTTGCGCCCGCCCATCAGATGCGGCAGGCGCAATTATGACCTGCACCAAGCCGCGCAGGGCTGTGTCTCTGATTCACAAGCCTCTCTCCTCTCCCTTTTCGTCGCTAACAGCCAGTGTCGTGTGAGGATGACGACGGCCAAAAGGCTAATTGGGGTTCCCGGTGCGGTGGGAAGGCCGAGGGACGAGACGGGTCCCCGTCTCGCGGCACGCAAACTTTCAAGCATTCAATGCTCCTCTCTCGGTGAGCCCGTCCTAACGAACACCTGGCTTTCTGTGGCCGCTGCTCCGACCTGGCTTCTCAGCATGGTCCGCGGCGGGTGGTCAGGTGGCCTGCGATGCGGCCATCAGCCTGGACCGCCGTAATTGTCCGAATATTACTGGCGCGGTAGCTTGAGTGTTCGGGGAGCCCTATGACCAGGGGAAATTTGAACCCAATCGAGCCTGTACACGTCGTCGCTACCTCACCTCGTGTGCCAGCCTTGTGGTGGGGAGGAAAGGGATTGAGGGGCTGCAAAGATTTCAGCCGGGGCACTGCGTTTGACAAGACAGGAAGGAGGATGGGAGCGAGACAGGGAATTTGATGGTTCTCCCCAGAGCTGAGAGGTCTTGGATTGCCGTCCGTGGTGGGAGGGCCAGGAAGGGTGTCGTCGAGACTAGTCGGATCCGGGGCCCCCATTTCTGGAGTTCGATGGAGGCTTCTACTGCAGAGTTTCTGCAGGGGAAATTGGACGACTGACAGCTCCTGCAGCGAGAAATTTGCACAAGTGTCTGATGACCCCATCCGGGGTCACTCACTCGCGTGTGGCTATGCTAGGCTTCAGAGTCCAGAGTTTCGGTGACGCTGGATCAGCAGGCGATCGTGTTCCGTTACAAGATGAGAAAGGGGGCGCTGAGGACCGGAGCGCTTTCGCGACGGAATCTCACCATGTCTCGTGGTCGTGGCCGTGGTGGTACGGGATTTGCGAGGCATTCAACAGTCACCTGCTCCATTAGATCGGGGGTGACGTCGGTCTCGTCGACGGCGTCTCCCCTTGTCACCGACATCCTGCAGTCTCGCGAATCTTGACGGACGGGGCGAAGTGACGTTGGCAAAACTGAAATGTCTGCAGACTGTGCAGAGGGATTCTTTGACATCGGGCTTTCCGCTTCGGGAAATCTGGTCGAAGGTTTCTAGAAGTCCGACCTGTCGAAAGAAGGACTGGGGTGCACTGGGCGGCACCAAACTCTGTAACAGGCAAAGAATCACGGCGGAGGAGGCCGAAGCTTGGCCCCCTGGGCCCCACACACCTGGGCATCGTTCTGCCGCATTCTCCCGCCCTTCGACGGAGGCACACTCAAGTTGTGTTTGTTCCCGAGGGCCCCAAAATCTCCCCTCACTAACGCATGCTCCTATGCAGGCCTGAAACTGGAGGAAATCTTGGACGGGAACGCCGCGGGCCAACAGTCGCGACATGACAGTGCGCCCTCAGTGATGACACAACTGCGCGTGGAAATTATGAGAAACGGGATGGTGTGCGATTTTCTGCGCGTGAGACAGGCGCATCCGCCCAGGTGGTTGTTGTTGTTGTTGTTGTTGTTGTTGTTATTCCGTCTCGCGTCGCCTAGTGAAAGCATGTGTGTGTGCGAGTGTGTGTCTGTGTGTTCTGTTTGCGTGAGATGGTAGCAGTGTGTGTGAGGCAGAGATATTATAAGCATGCCGAATGCTGTACTGGACGGTGCAGAGTAAGGGATCTCTGTGTGCGGCTCCCTGTTACGGTGGTGCATCGGCATGGTTGTCTCAAGTCTGTCCTGCACTGGAACCCCGAGTGCTTCGTGCCACAGGCGGACATCCTCATGTAAGGGGTTTGCCTGCGGTTGTGCCAGATCGATCATCTCTCCGGACTGCGTGCCCAAAAGGTCAGTGGCTGCACCCCCAGGTTTCCAAGTCCCAGCTCCAGTTCCAGCTCAATCTAGCTCCAGCTCCAGCTCCAGCTCCAGCTCCAGCTCCAGCTCCAGCATCAACTCCTACTCCAGCGTGCGATGGCCCTCCTCGCCTGAGCTGCGGTGGTACAGACGGCATGCGCCAGGTAATTTGTCATACAGCACTGCACTTTCAACGACGTGCATGTCATCTCCCAGGCGGTCGTTCCTGTCACATCTCACATGCGACGAGGGCCTCGACGGGGAGCAGTGCCCGGGGACAGGAGAGCTCACAGAACCCCATTGTGTCACAGATACCATTGCAGCCGAGAAACATTCAGATTCGGCTCTTGTGACTGGGACAAGGAGATTTTGGTGGCGTCGTAGACGAGGGATCCTGAATAGATCTGCCTCGTTCCTGAGCCGGAGGGCCAGCCAGCGAGCCCCGGCTCATGCATCAGGAACAGCAACAGGAACAGCAACAGGAACAGGAACCAGGAACCGGGAACCGGGAACCGGGAGGCCTGACATGTCCGTCTGTCTGTCCATCCATCCGCATGCGGTCGGGCGTGTAACTATGCCCTGCGCCTGCGGTGCCCTGCGATTCAAATTGGTGGTGATGTGAGACTTGAGATATGAGCGAGGTGGGATGAAAGGGGAGGGAGAGAGACAGACAGAGAGTTGCCAAGGAACTGCGTGGTGCAGGTACATCTGCACACGTCTGTACACATCCACGGTCTAGACAGTCTCGAGACAGTCTAACAAGGTGGTAGCAGTACACGGCACACCAGGCACCGTCTGGTAAAATCCCCGGGTCTTGGTCGGCCGGAATCATGCTCAACTGACATGTTAGACTACCAAACTACTACGACTTGCATACATAGTGGTTGTCTGCGCAGTACTTAGTTGCCACAGTCTGCACCACGTCACTCGCCCACCTGGCCTCTGCTGATACATATCTGATGATACATGATACATACAAGGACCCTGCCCTGCCTGAGACCGAGAGGGTGGTGCTTGCCTGCTTATTAGACTATTGACAGTTCCCGGCGCGAGCGCCAACGTCAAAAGTAGGGGTTCCAGGCCGACAGGCAACAGAGGTTGAAGAAGGCCAGTCTTCCCTTCCCGACCGACTCAGAAGTGGATGGTCCGGTCCGATCCACTTACACCCGCCCGCTGTCTCTCATCTTGTGGACATCGTCCATCCCAGTTGGCCTGCCCGTCCGTCGATTGAAGAGGGTAGCATTGATCAGACGACATCTTGCACGCCCCGTTCGTCCTGACCGTTCGTCTGCCTCTCTCTCTCTCCAGATCAGACTAGGCTATTACCTCACCCCCCTTCCTCGTTTGCGTCTGCGTTTGCTAGGCTCGCTCGACGCAGCATCGAGCAGCCGGCGTCTTTCCGAAGTCGGGCTGGCTTTGGCTTCTGCAGTCGGCTCAAGTTTCTTGACGAAGCGAGCGATCGTCCATCCAAAAGCTGCCCTTCCATCCTGGCAACCCCGTCCCCGTCCACCCGTCCACCCACCCGTCCATTGGAACCTCGAGATTGCCTGCCCCCAAAACCCACCCATCCACTCTTCCACCCCAGCAGGACCTGACAGAACAAACCCCCCCCAGCTCGACCTGGACCGCAACGACCGTGTTTTCGCTGCTCCCATGATAGCTTTAATCTCGCGTATTTTGCAGCTGCTCGGCTGCTGACGACCAACCAATTTTCCCACGGCTCCCTCCTCTTGAGTCGACTTGTTCCTCCCCCCCCTCCTCCCCTTCAGAGGAAACCCCAAATCCAGTATCCTCACCTGCACACCGAGCATCACTCTAGGGGGAAACTCCCATCAGCTATATACCTCGTGTCCCGGCTTTGGACTGCGCCCTCGCGAATCAACAAGAGACAGCAAGCCCGTCCCAGTCTCCGTCCAAGTCGTCCTGGGCCAACCGTTCACTGAAGCCCCCCTTCCAAAAGTTACATCGATTGGGACGAAGAGCCCCGCCCAGGGCACAGGCATACGGAATTTGAGCCACCCCTCCCTCAATCAACCTACAGCATCCCTTACGTTCTGCAACAAAACACCTGAACCGAGCGTCACTGCTTGCTGGGTGTGACTCGTAGCGAGAGTCCTTGCGCCGCCGCCCCCTTCTGTGCCCCCTTTTCCTACGCATCGGTCCATGATGGCGGAGAAGCCCTCGGTGTTGATCATTGGAGGGCTGGGATATATCGGACGCTTCCTGGCCCTCTACATCCACAAGAACGACCTGGCCTCCGAGGTCCGCGTCGTCGACAAGGTCCTGCCGCAGCTGGCTTGGCTGGCTCCCGAGTTTGATGAGGCCTGCGCTGGCGACAAGTTTTTGCAGGCCGACGCCAGCAGAGAACGTAAGTCACCGTCCCTGCTAACCCAAGGACCCCTTCAACCCTTTCCCTTGCGTCGTCCCGAATGGCAACGTGTCTGACAGGATCGACTCCCTCTACACAGAAGCACTAGCCCGGATATTCGACCGAAAAGACGGCAAGCAATTCGACTACGTATTCAACTGCGGCGGCGAGACCAGGTATTCACAAGAGGATGAGGTGTACAAGCTGCGCTCGCTAGGGCTGTCGCTGGCCGTCGGCAAGGAGGCGGCCAAGCGAGGAGTGAAGGCCTTCATCGAACTGAGCACGGGCATGGTATACAAGTCAGATTCTGCGCTGAGCAAAGAAACCGACAAGACAAAACCTTGGAGCAAGATCGCCACGTTTAAGCTGCAGGCTGAGGAGCAGTTAGCAAAGATACCAGGGTGAGCAAAAGCACAGGTCCCCTCCCAGCGGGCAGCGGGACATCCAGCTAATTACGCGCGCCCTTTTCCAGTCTCAACCTCGCCATTATCCGTCTCGCCCACGTCTATGGACCCTACGCCTCCCAGTGGGTCGCGACAGCGCTTTGTATGGCGCGTGTCTATAAAGCGCAGAACGAGGAGATGAAGTTCCTCTGGACGAAAGACCTCCGGACAAACACAGTACACATCGACGACGTCGTGCGCGCGCTCTGGGCCGTGGCAGAGTGGTACGCGGCCGGCAAGAGCAACTGGGACGAGAAGACCATGGGCGGGCCGGTACCGGTTTTCAACGTCGTGGACAAGGGCGCCACCACGCAGGGAAAGATGGCCGAGCTGATCGGCGTGATCTTCGGCATCAAGACGGGCTTCCAGGGGACTCTGATCAGCAGCTTCGCCAAGCTCAACATGGATTCCGTGGTCGAGGACGTGAACGACGAGCTGCTCGGCCCCTGGGCGGACCTCCTTGAAGCTGCCGGCATCACGAGGCCAGGGCCGCTGACGCCATACATGGAGAAGGAGCTGCTCAAGGACACGGACCTGAGCATGGACGGTAGCAGGCTGGAAAAAGTGCTGGGCTTCGAGTACCAAAAACCCAAGGTCGACAAGGAACTCCTGGAGGAAGTTATTGAGAGTTATAAGAAGATGAAGTGGTGGCCGTAGCGAGAAACCATCAAAAAGACACCCTAGGGAATAAAGCAACAGCTTGAACAAGGAAAATCGACGTAGGACTCGTGCGGTCGAGGGTGATGCCTCAGGATATGAGATGACGTACCAACAAACCCATCTCGGCGGCGGGAACGAGGCCGACAGTAAGGGAGGAGAAAATGCCAACAGACAGCCAAAGTCGTCTTTTCCTGGACACGACGCCGCGCATAGGGAAATCGACCAGCAGTACCCGCGGCCGAAAACCTCGAAATTTGGATATCTCATCTTACCAACCGCTGGCATCATCGGCTTGCTTGAGTCGGCCCGTCCTGTCTCAAACGCCACGGTCCATCTTCTTTTCCTAGCATATATATGTAACATTAGGACATCTGGTTTCCTTTGTGGTCTCCTGGTCTGCTGCTCACTTGGGCCATCTCATGCATGTGCTCGATCACACCAAAAGATTCATACAGAAGCGAAGGGCGTGGGGGGGGGGATGGCACACCACAATGACGGTGGTCTCGGGCTCGGACTCGCGGCGCGGGAGGATTTTTACAGCCATGTCAGGAGAGGAAGGAGGGACGAAGTAAAAAGAGAGAGAGAAGAGAAAAAAGAGCAGGCGGGTGAGTAAGCGTCCGCGGTTCGAAGTCGAGGGGGTAATACAGGCCAATATATACAGACATGCGCGCACACAAACACTTTTCACACACGCACACACACACACACTACCACGCACACAATTTCTACAACGAATCTGGTCAACGGTCTGCAGGAGGTGCCGCGCGGTCTCCTGTCACGTTTCCTCATGTCTTGGATGATCTCTGAACTGGGCGGCTTAAATTTTCCGATTGGCCGTGCCGGCATGCGATGCTACTGCGTGCGCTCTGGTGTAATCACAGTGGTCATTCCTGTACGGGGGGTCACGGCGCGTAGGCGAGGCTGGTATATGGCACAGGGCCGGTAGTATGTTTCCGGGCAATGAGTTGTTGTCGGGCAAAGACGGCAACACTAGACCTGCCTCGTGTGTACGTACATGTCTGTCTCGCCGTCTGTCTTCCTCCCCGCCCGGCCTGCCGCCCCCGAGCTCTGAGACGGGCATATATGCACTACTACTGTAGGGCGGCTCCTTCTGGGAACATCTACACAGTAGTTCAGATCCTGCCCATACTGCTCCCGTCGCATGCGACCCTCCGAGACAGTTCCTTGGCCCGGCACCGCCACGGCGGTGATAACAGAATGTGGCAGATTGCTGGGCGGGTGCCCGGGGGGGCTACCACAGACCTTGGGGCAGCAGATATCGAGTACATTTATGCGTGAAGGATGCCCGGTCGTATGACGCCAAGATGGGCCCAAGAAAAGCTGTCGGGACCGGACCATCGGGGACAGACCATCATGTCGGTTGTCCGCTGGACGGGGGTTGTCTTGGAACTTATCTACACTAGAGGTTGGGACGGGCACGGGAGGATCCCACCGTCCGTGGGAAAGAATTTAGGAACCATGCAGCAGTAGGCTGCTCAGCCTGCAGGGCCGGAGAGAGACGGGCGGGATTGGTGGGGGCGGATTTCAAGGTGAGCCACCTCGACTCCTACTAAGTATCCCTGCAGGGAAGGCGGCGCCATTGCCTCTGACGGACATGTGTGTGTTCAGAGAGGAATATTTAAAAGATCCCCCAGATTGCATGCCTTCTGCTGAGGAGCTGAATTTGGTACCGTGCTTCTGGGGGTGGGGGGAGTGAGACCTTCTGGGACGATCGATGTATTCAAGATAGGTACACAGGTACGTCATGTACATCAATCACATCTACGATGACATGAGCAGTCGACTGTCGAGTGCTTAAACGGGGTCCTTTTTTCCCTTTAGGTGGACCCTCGAAGGCGTCCATAGCTAAGTGTAATCACGAAAGCGAACAACGGGAAAGGAGGAAAAGAGAACCTCAGAACCGTTGAACTTGCTCCAAGGTTGGACCCAGCAATTTATGTCAGGACACAAGTCTCGTTGTCGGGTCGGTTCGTAACTGTAGACAATGGCTTATTTGGGGGGCGACTTAGACCACAGGCGACCTAACCCAAGTAGTGGTTACACTCCCAGATCGGCGGTCTTGGGTTTGCCCAAACTGCTGGCTGACAACCCCTCTGGAGGGAGCTTCTTGCCCCTTTTGGAGAGCTCCCGGGGCCAATTCCTGGGCGGGGAGGGCGGTCGACGGGTTACGAGTGACATATGAGGTGCTCGCTCAGTGTGGGAAGCTGGGCAGCCACGCCTACTACGGTAACTCGTCACTGTCCCGAGCAAGGTTCCATCCGCGAGCGAACCGTCAGTATGAGGCGCGATACCTCGACCATCCTACCCCAGAAGCCTCGGCCGCTTGTCATGCAGGTGCCCTTTTGCCTTCTTGTGACAGACCTCCCCCAGTGAACCCTTGCACCCTCCCGGATCCTGTTTGAATAACTTTATTACTGGAAAGGCCACTCACTCACTCACTCTTCTTCGCCTTGGAATATTCCACCTGCAATTCACTCGATCACACTTGCTTGTCTCTTTGTTGCACGCATCGGCCGTCTCTCGTCCGTCCCAACACTGAAACACTGCCTCGTTCAGGGTATAAACGTCTTTGTTAGATACAAGACAACATCTTCCGTCAACAACTCACCACCATCATAGAAACTCGTCAGCATTATCTCCTGCCAGATATCTTAGAAAACAGACCAAGATCAGACCAACCATAATGGCTGCCCCAGCAAAGAAGACACTTCGGGACCTAAACGGCACCTGGGTCATGGTAGGTACTATTTGTCGTGGGGCATACATCGATATGGACCAGGGTTTCATGTCACAAGCCAGCCTTTAACCAAAGCCTCATTTACCTACCACCTCCGGCCTGCTTCTCACCTCATAGCCACCCCTTCAGATCCACCAAGCCAGAAGCTAACCCAGCCCACCAGAACAAGACCCTCTCCGACTCGGCCGACCCAGCCCTGGCGCTGCAGGGCGTGGGCTGGCTGACGCGCAAGGCCGTCGGCCTGGCGTCGGTGACGCTGCACGTCAAGGAGTACGTCGACGAGGCCGGGCTGACGCACGTGGACATCCAGCAGACGGCGACGGGCGGCGTCAAGGGCACCACCGAGAACCGCACCTTCGACAACACCTTCCGCGAGCACAGCGACTGGCTCTTCGGCAACGTCAAGGGCCGGACCGGCTGGGTCGCCTCCAAGGACGAGATCACCGACGAGTACCTCAAGAAGGGGTGGGAGCAGGCGCAGACCGAGTTCGTCGTGGGCTACGTCGAGAGCCTCGACCGCGGCTGGACGGCCACCCAGGTCTGGGGGTTCCAGGAGGTCAACGGCGAGAGGAGGTATGCGCGCAACATTGTTGTCGCCAAGGGGGATGAGAGGGTCGAGATGAGGCTCGTCTATGACTTTTACTCCGAGGAGCCTTAGGTGGTGAGCCGGGACGGTGCAGCTAGAGTACACGGGTGGACATCTCCTTGGGCTAGACTTCGGGGTCGCGAAGATTGACGGTGCTGGGCTTGTCCTGTTGCTACTGACTGAGAGATGGACGTTGGGTTTCTGAATTGTTGGTTGAGGGCGGGCGTATACGTTCTTGAGTCCTATTAACGGAATTCTTACCACTCTCGTTCTTGATTCGGGTGCTAGCCATGTAGTAGACGGACCGTGATTCAACATACTGGGCTACAGCCTCCCATTCATGGCCGACGCGTAGACTCATTCGGTCTCTGAAACATTTCACGTCATGAGCTGGTCAGGCAAGGCACCGCCAGAACAGCAATTGGCAGCGAGTCCCCGTTTGTCTCGGAAACATCAACGTGCGCACCTGTCAGCTCTCGCTGCCAATCCTGACATCACACACACTCTCTATCTCCCTCACACAAAAAGGTGACGATGGGATGGATTGACCGGTGGAATTGGTAATCTACCGAGGTAGCACTCGTGCATCCTGCCTCTGCCCCAGCCCCATTTCCAGTTCCTGTTCCTGTTGAAGGGACGCCGTTTGTGAATAGCCCGATTCTAAGAAAAGATACCCATGCCACGAACGCCCTAGATGAATATGCATTCGCCCCGTTGATTTTGAGACTCGACCTTCTCTCAGTTCTATTAGGGTATCCTTTCTTTTGCGCCTCTTTCCTTTTGCTCTGTCATTCTGTCACATGCATGGCCTAGGCGAACACCCGCCCACTCAAACCCTGCCAGTTCCGGTCTATGCTGCATCATCCGTATCCTGTCCATCGTCGCGTTCCGGCCCGGTCGACGGCGCTCGCCCCAGCGGGAGGACGCAGGCGGCCTACGCCGGCCTCCTCTTGACGAACTCCTCGAGGTCGCCCCTGGTGGCGACGCCCAGGACGAACCGCCTGTTGTCGTCGGTGATGACGGCGAACTCCTGCTTCTGGCCCTCGGTCTGCGCGCCCTCGAAGAAGGCCTCGAGCTCCTCGAGGGGGGTGTCCATCGTGATGACGCTGTACTTCCTGCCCCGGCGCTGGAACCGCGTCATGGCGGCGCTGATGGGGTCCTCCGCGGCCACCCTGCCGCCGTCCAGCTGCGCCTGCAGGTTCGGGATCGACACGTAGCCCAGCAGGCTGCGGGTCTGGCCGTCCACGATCGTCAGGTGCGTGTAGTCGCGCTCGAAGGCGGCCTCGAGGGCGAGGGAGATGGGGTCCGAGGGCGTGAGCGAGAGGGCTGCGGGCGGTTGGAGGTCTTCTACTGCGGCCTGTTGAAGGGGGGAGGAGTTTCGTTCATGGTCAGCTTGTCCTTGTGTCGTGGCGAGATCTCTGGGGCTGTCCTCGTCTCTCATGACTTACTCCGCGGTACCGGTTTGCCCACTTTGAGACGTACGGGCCTGAGTTCGCCTGCGTATTGTTGGTAGTAGGAGGTGCCATTATGCCTGTTGCCATGGTTGGTTTGTTGTGTGAGGTGGGTTTGGGAAAAGATGTTTGGTTATAAGCTGTTTCGTGGGGGCGGGCCAGTACAGGAAGGCAGGTGTCTCGGTTTGCGATGGGATGAGTCGGCGTTGTCTTAGCTCTGAAGTGGGCTAGATAGATTTCTGTGAGTTGCAGGGCGGCCTTGGCACCACCTTGATGTCCGCTGAATGGCGGGGTGTGGGGCCGTGTCCCCCGTGTGCAATGGCTACATGCGGGTCCGTCTTGGACACTTCGTCAGAGCATTGTCCTCTTCACCGAGGTTTCTGTTTCAAGAACCAGCGTCTACAGGACTCCATGCACCTTTGGTGAAAGCAACCATACTTGAAGGCACCTTGGGCTGAATAGCCGAAAAAGGTCGGAGACCAACCCGTGAAGATCCCGCGGGCGCCTTCGGTTCGAAGCTAACCATAATATGACTGTAGACATCTTGATGCTACAGAACGCACGCCCAGCTCCCTGGCGCAAACGATTGCCCAGATCACGGACCGTGAAATCGTTTAACTCCGCTTGCATTGCTGCTAATGTTTTTACTAAGACGTGAACTACCTTTCTTTTGCCTTAATTTCGGCTAGTCGAATGGAAGGTTACTATCCAAATACTCGACCGGAGCGAAGACCCGACCTTTGATACACCGAGTGCGTAAAGTGGGGTTGGCTGATGAACGTTACAAGTACACCATTTCAACGTGGGAGAGACCACATACTCATTGTTTTAGAAGACGGATATTCGCACCTGCAAAAACGATGGGTACACCGGTAAATCAACTCACACCATAGCTGTAGCCATCAATGCGCATTACCCAGGCCTAATTTACACGCCCACATCCAATCACCTACATCAACACCTACACACCCAACACCTACTTGGTATGTGAATTAGGCGTGTAAATTAGGCATGGCTGTCAGGTGCGAGTGTTGGGTGTGTGACATCTCATATGGTTTTGTGCTGGCGATGTACCGGTGTACCCTCCGTTTTTACAGGTGCGAATATCCGTCTTCTTGTTTTAGGTGCTCACCTGGACAATACAGGCAGACGAGGAAAGAGCAGCCGTTGGTTAGAGCATGCCGACGTCATTGGAGATACCGTTGTGACAGATACGTGCAAGTGCGGCAGCGAACAGAGAACCGGTAGCTCCTGCTGGTTGTGTCTTGTCTGACAGCTCGGTGCTATATCTGGGGCCAATGGTTGGACACGCCCTTTAATAAGTGCCCAGATGGTTCTCAGGGCTCTCACAGCTTCCCCAATCTCCCACCTCCCACCTCTCAACCTCCACTCCGCAGCTTTCATCTGCTGGATTTCTCGAGCCATCTCTTTACGGAATCCTGTTCGGGTCATCTCTCCCAGGATTGAGTGCAAGCACGGGAAACTGTGAAGAGCGCGTGTCCGTCTGGGTGCTCCGCGGTAAGTCCCCCTCAGCTACCAACATGTAAATTCCGGGTTCCCGGTAACTCCGACATGGCGCTTCTGTCCTGCACTCAAGCACGTATGCTTCCATACTCATTCCTCTCACTCTATCGTGCTTGTTGACTGTCAAATTCCGTCCAACAATAGAATGGCTAATAATTCTTCAGGTCTGGAATGAGGCTCAACCTCACCTAGCAAGATGTCTCATCTGTATCCTCGTTATGACACTCTTCAGAAGACCTTCCCTCGCCAACCTCAGGACGGCCTGAAGGCTCGGGGTAGCAAGGCAACTCCATACCAAGCCCGCATGGACTTGTATTCGGCCTACTCAACCATCGAGGACAAGGCCAAGAAGCTCAGCGCCGAAGCCACGGCCGAGTTCAACAAGGCCAGCTCTGCCGCCCAGGCCAAGACGGGCAAGATCGAGCTGTACTCCGGGAAGTACTACGCCGCATGCACCTTTGGAGGCTTGCTGGCTTGTGGCCTGACGCACACGGCTGTCACTCCTCTTGACGTTGTCAAAACTCGTCGCGTAAGCACCATTCTTGTCTTTTCGTGGATCCGTAGCAGGTGATTAACAGTCTCGCATACTAGCAAGTCGATAGCAAGCTATATACAGGAAATTTCCAGGCCTGGGGCAAGATCTACCGAACCGAAGGCGTCCGCGGGATCTTCACGGGTTGGTCTCCGACCTTTTTCGGCTATTCAGCCCAAGGCGCTTTTAAATATGGTTGGTATGAGTATTTCAAGCAGACATACGCGGAAATCGCCGGTCCGGAGAACGCATACAAGTACAAAACCAGTCTCTACTTAGCCGCCTCGGCATCTGCGGAGTTCCTGGCTGATATAGCACTCTGCCCGTTCGAATGTCAGTATACGTCCTCTTCTGTTACAATTCCCCGTCCGTGGCGTTTTGGAGTCTTCGAACATGGAACAATTTACACGCGACTTACACACAACAGCTGTCAAGGTCCGCATGCAGGCAACGATCCCGCCCCCTTACTCCGGCACCTTCGACGGCATCAGCAAGATCACTGCGAAGGAGGGATGGGGTGGACTGTACAAGGGCCTCTACCCGCTCTGGGCCCGGCAGATCCCGTACACGATGATGAAGTTTGCCTCATTCGAGACCATTGTTGAAATGATCTACGCCCGCCTGCCCGGATCCAAGAATGACTATAGCAAGGCTGCGCAGACCGGTGTTTCCTTCACTGGTGGCTACCTGGCCGGTATTCTCTGTGCTGTCGTCTCACACCCAGCGGATGTAATGGTTTCCAAACTCAACGCGTACCGCGAGCCTGGCGAGGCCTTCGGAACGGTCTTGTCGAGGATATACAAGGACATCGGCTTCAGGGGGCTGTGGAATGGCCTGCCAATGCGAATTGTGATGATCGGAACCTTGACTGGCCTCCAGTGGATGATATACGTGGGTTTCTCCCGTTTTCCTATGATTTCAGATTGACTCCACGTCGCAGATCTAGGATCACTGACACCGTGATTGCAGGACTATTTCAAGATCTTCATGGGCTTGCCCACAACTGGTGGAGCGCCGCCGCCGGAGAAGAAGTGAGGGTGCGTCTCGAGGAGGGAATACTGCGGTAACATTTAAGCAACTTACGTAGTGCTAGGGCGCTGCCCAATCCAGGCGGTTTCTGTGCGAAGGAATGGTTGATAGCAAGACCCAAGATTATCCTTTTGTCTAAGTCAAATAGTCAGAACAAACAGAGGTACATACTAGGTATCATGTATTTCATTGCTGCTGCAGAGCGCTTGTTGGACGCATCAAGGCTCCTTGGCGAGTCACAGTCTTCCCGGAAAGGGGCCAATGAATATTGTAGCAGCAGTAACAACAGCTGCACCAACTGTAGGCGGGGGAAATGACATGAGCGATGATGTCGGGAGGCCCGTGCGTAGAGTGGGCATTCGTACCCCTGCCGCAGCTTTTCTGCCTGGGAATTTGGGAACCTTCGACTACGACAACATTTACGACTCCCTTCATTCCCGCTTCGGGGACTTTCTTCGACGCGACGTATCTCGCCTCAAGAAACCGATTCCCAGAAACATGGCAGAGCAACCAGTTGCGGAGGTCTTCACCTTCCCGACTGATCCAGCCGAGTTCGAGAACGACGACCGCATCTCGTTCTCCAAACTGGACAATAAGTTCATCGCTGTCCAGGAGTCTGACGGCACCGAGTTCGAGTTTGACCACCAGCTGAAGCGATGGATTCCAGTGGCAGATGAGGATGAGGAAGCCTTCATTCAACAGCATCAAAACGCCTATGGGAACGCCCAAGACCCAAGTGCAGACAGCAGTGCTCAGCCTAGCAACGGCAGAAAGCGGAAGCAAGACCAAGTCGAGGTAAGCTGCGCACGCTGGTCCGTCCACGGTGGTCGAGACAATCCTTGAACACTACTTCGATTGAGCCAAGTCGCCTTGCAATCGCACCACATGGGCAATGGAGAAGAATGTGCAACAGAGAACCAGAAGCAACAGTACCTGCCGAGTTCAACTGCTTATGGGAAAAACAAATCTGGTGACAAACTGACACGCACCCCGCGCTACTCCAGGATCAGGACAATAATGGCTCCTCCTCTACCTCCACCAAACAACGCAAAAACAAGAAACAAAATACTCAAAAACAGCCACCCCAGAACAGGGCCATCTACGTCACTGGCCTGCCTCTCGACGTGACAGTCGACGAGGTCGCCGAGGTGTTCGGCCGCAAGTGCGGCGTCATCGCCGAGGAGATCGACAGCGGGCGGCCCCGGATCAAGCTGTACGAGGACGCCGACGGCAACTTCAAGGGGGACGCGCTCATCGTCTTCTTCAAGCCGCAGAGCGTCGAGATGGCCATCATGCTGCTGGACGACACGCACTTCCGCTACAGCGACTCCGGCCTGGGGTCGGGCAAGATGCGCGTGCAGGCCGCAGAGTCCAGCTACAAGAAGACGCAGTACACAGAAGGCGCCGACGGCGCCGAGGCCAAAGAGCCCGGGTCGAAACAACAGCAGAACAACAACGGCAAGGGCGCGGGCAAGGACCGGGAGAAGGTGATCAAGAAGACGCAGAAGCTCGACGCCAAGCTGGCCGACTGGTCCGACGACGAGCCCGCGTACGTGCCGCCTGAGCAGCGCACGGGGAAGAAGGACAAGATGGTCATCCTCAAGCACATGTTCACGCTGCAGGAGCTCGAGGACGACCCGGCGGCGCTGCTGGAGATCAAGGAGGACATCCGCGAGGAGTGTGAGAAGCTGGGCGAGGTGACCAACGTGGTGCTGTACGACCTGGAGCAGGACGGCGTGGTGAGCGTCAAGTACAAGAAGCCCGAGTCGGCCGCCGCATGCGTGGAGCTCATGGACGGGCGGGCCTTTGGCGGGCAGAGGGTCGAGGCCTACATCCCAAGTGGGCGACTCAAGTTCCAGAGGTCCAAGGACAACAACGACGACGCCGGGGAGGACGACTGAGGTGTCCCGAGGGATGAGGTGAGTTAGTAATAATGGGGGGTGCTCCTCTTCCTTTTGCGGCGTTCATCGGAAGACCTCGATGGCGCAAGACGGCTTGGCACAGCTCATGAGGGACACTTCAGTCTTGAACTGTTTGCTGCTACATAGTCGATATAGGTACCAATCTGCGACAATAGAACAAAAGTTTTCAATGAAACCAAAGAACACCATACACCAACACCCAGCCATGAGCCAATCAGGTTCCCCAACGCCATTTTTCGCAATTTGGTACTCCTGATTTTCAATTGCCCCCAATCCCAGCTCAAAAGCAGACGTTATGCTCGCAAGATAATATAGATGAATGCCCACGGGCCCAGACCATCCCTGGAGTGTTAGGGACCAACATGTGGAGGATGTGAAGACTCACAGTCCGGACGATGAGATTAAGACCACACGACAATACGGTTTCAAACCTGTCGGGGCCGCGGGAGGACGGAGTGCTGTTTGTTTGCTCTGGCAAGAGGCAGGCAGGAACAAGTGACTGTCGCCGCGCGTCAGTGATTGCCCAGCGCAAGCGATGGAGCTAGGAGGCTTTTTTTTTTTGTCTTTTTTCTTTTTCAGATTTTGGTCTTGGTCCCGGTTTTCCTGCCCCATCTTCCTTTTCCCCCTTCAAGGTTGGATCGGGATCCTTGTGGGGTTCTGGTGCTTGAGACTGTTACTCCAGCAGGGACTCGAGGTCGACACGTTCCTCGACCGTGTACCAGATGGCCGACTCGATGATCTTCAACACCACGCGCAGATCGGTATCGTCTTGGGGATGGTCAGCATATTCGTTCCAACACACAAACATTCGATACGGGCCACAGGAGGAACACAAGCGCAGGACGCTGTGCGACCTAAGAGGGGACTGCTCACCTCGCGGTGCATAGACCAGGACGAACGTCTCAGGAAGGGGGCTCCTCGGCATCATCCAGGCCCTGGCGGCGCCCGCGGCCTCCCTGTTGCCCTTCCCCCAGGCCATGGGGTGGCGCTGACCCCAGCCCTTGGCGAGGACCTCGGCGATGTCGTCCGGGTGCAGGTTCATGTGCATGCTCCGATCCGAGTTGTGGAGGTGGCAGACCTCACCGTTGCCGCAGACGTTGACGGGGTGGCGCGCGAAGAGGGCGAAGCCATGCTTCTCGATGCACGAGGTCGCGATGCCGAACCGCGCGGCCTGCGCGGCCGACAGCCTGCTCATGACGCCCTTGAGCGCGGCGAAGGCCGCCGTGGACCCGTGCTGGTCGAGCTGGCGCTGGGGCGCGAGCCCCGCGACCGTTGGGCGGGGCCCGGGGCGGTAGGGGAGGTTCTGAGGGGCGAGGATGCCTGATGCCGGGCGGGAGGCGGCGCCAGCCGAGGGGGCGCTGAAGGGGTCCCGGAGCACGAAGAGGCGGAACCAGGCCAGCCGTGCGTAGCCCGATAGGGTGGGTGGCGTCCCTCCGGGGCCCAGGCGGAGGAAATTCTGGTAGTCGTTCCAGACGAGCAGGAGGATCGGGACGGCGAGGATGAAAGACTCCAGGAGATAATGGGGGACAAAGTGCATGCCCATTATGAGGAAGACCGAGCCGGCGAGGAGGGCATTGGCGTCCAATGTCATCGAGAAGGGATCCTGTCGAATGACCATGTTCACGGCCTGGCTTGGGACGTCGGTGGCCGAGCCGAGGATGAGGCTTTTCCTCTCGAGGCGTGGGCTGTCCATACTGACCGGGACATCGGTTACAGTGTCACTTGGTGCGAGTTGTTCCGTCTGAGCAGTCGCTAAGAAGGACATGGCAAAACTCCGGTGACGGCCCTGAGAGGCGCGGGAGGAATTGAGTTGTATTATTGGGTTTGTGCCCACTTGGTTGGAACGTGGGGGTTCAAAGGCCAATGTGGAAGCAGAGCAGTAAGGAGGCAGTCTAATAACTGGTGTCAAGTAAAGCTTGACAATATCATGAAGGCACACACGATGATGAGGGGCCAGGTCAGCACGCACGACGCTTACAGAAACAAAATGATGAGATGGGTGTAATAACTGTGGGACAGGGTGACGGAAATGTGCGGTAGTTTGGGTATGTGGTCACAAGGACGTCAGTTTGAGACCGGGGCGATCTTCTGTCAAGCGAGGAGAGAGGAGATGCGGCTAGAGGGCCTCCTAAGGCGAGGAAAAGGGGCGATAGCCTTCCCGTTGACAGCTTTCCGGGCGGGAAGAGTTTCTTTGACAGCTCACCGTTGAGTTGGGCAACGCAGATATGGGATATAGAGTCCAGGGCGTGTTTGGAGACGGGAGTGCGTGCGTTGGCGATAAGCTCGAGAAGCCCAAGTCAGGCGAAGAGGTTCGTTGTCAATGCAGCAGGGCCGCAGCAACTGGGTTTAATACCTACGCGAACCCCACGAGGTTTTGCCGTCTCATGCGGCAGTCGGTATGGGAAGGCGGCCCAGCGAAGTGGTATGCAGGATGAGGGTTGAAGTCAGCAAACTAACAACGGCCAGCAGCTCAGGCAACGGGCAGGCGGGCAGTGGCTACCGGTCAGCTGCCCTGCTCTGGCTCGATTCCGACTCGACGAGGCCAGCAGTCCCACGCCCAACGCCCATGCCCATGCGGGAACCATGCAGTCTCGCCTTGAGCAATGCATTTGTGGCTCTGCGTGCGACCTCAGGGACGACGTCGGACGCACCAGCCTGGGCGTTGTAAGAAAGGGGACGACGGCCGGTGGCATAACGGGCCAAGTCCTCCGGCACATGGACGCAGATCTGGGGCAGATTATGGCAGGTTGGGGTAGGTGGGCATGGGGGAGGGGGCACATCGAGCCCCGCCTGGTGATGCTGCTCAAGGTCAAGCCCAGCATGGACCGACCGGCTCGACCCAAGGACGGTAAGCGGCTTGGGGGAGTCTGTGTCAGCCTGCCAGCGTGATGTGATGCGGCTTCACACGGCCTGAGGTCGATCGTGAGCACGAGACCAAGAAGCCAGGAGACCAGCAGCCACGCAGCAAGCTGGAGGAGAGGGGTTCGTTGGACAGACAGGTCGAGAGAAACCCGCCCAACAACGTCCGCCTGCTGCGAACACGAGCTGCCGAGTTCCTCCTCGTTTTTGTCTGCTCGCCCTCTAGCCTCTGGCCTGCATCGAAGCAAGCACGGCTGACACTGCTGGCACACCGACATGATGAACGTCTTGAGCCATTGTTTGTTCGTGAACTACTAATGTAAGGCAGCGGAGTCGGGGTGTGGACATGGAGTAATGCAACGCGGGATGACGTCGATTCTGGGCCCTTTTTTGGGTTCCACTCATTCACGAAGCCCGGGGTGTACAGGCGGAGGTGGACGTCTGGAGAAGCAGAGTGCATCGTGACGGATCAATCTCAAGGTGGCCGTCGCGATGCTGCAGCTGTGCACTCAGTAGACAGCGGGAGCCGGCGGTGATGGTGAAGGCGAACCTCCGGCGACCGGCTTGAGAGTGAGTTGACTGGGAGGCAGACTCAGGCAGTTAAACTCTGCTGCGATGGATCTCAGCTGAAGATTCTACCAACTACAGGTTGCCAAGGCTCGTAGTCAGCCTGCAACATGTGAAGAGAGACGTCCAACCTGGCGCCAGGCGGGTGCTCTGCTCGTATCCACGGCAACGCCCTCGGAGAATTTTCTGCTGTGGCTGGCGAGACTCGACTGTGTGTCTCTGTGCTCGCTGTCCAAGTCCGAAGGGTGAAAGCACCGCAGTGCAGACTTGTGGCACTGCACCATCCACAACAGAGGACGTCCGTAGGATTCAGTATTCGTTGGCATGTGCTCTGTCGGGCTGCTTGCTGACTAGGCTGGTGTTGGGTTTCACCAAGCAGGGGCGTAGGGAGCAAATTGCCGCCGCCCCTTTCCCAGGACAAGAAGGGCGACTGCTGCATGCTTGTCGGGACGGAAGGCAATTCAGACGACGTTCATCGCCATGGGAGGACTGGAGGGACAATTGGGAATGATTGGGTCGCTGCTGGCTTCTACATGTAGCTTTATTCGCTGTCGAACGTCCGGAAAAGGAGAAGGTCGAGCGAGGCGCGACGAGACAAGGGCGGTATCAATGCCGTCTGTTGCTTGCACCAGACGAAAATAGAAACGCTGGGTTCTATTGCCTGGTACCTGAACACATACTCTGGTACCACGTCGGCAATATTGCTTGCAAAATCAAGATCGGGAGCCCTGGCGTGCGAGCGTGCGTGGCAGGGCGATCGGATATTAATTGCAATCCCAGCCCTTGCGGCCCCAAGAGGTCCAGACTCCGAGGTCGAGTCGAGGAGGTGGGAGGTCAGGTCATTCACTACTGCACTTCAACGGCCTGTTTGTCCTCGGTCTCAGGTCTCAGGAGGGCCCCCGGTTTTTCATCAAACCAGTTTCGCTAGAGACGGGAGAGATACGCGTCCGTCTCCTAGTCATTTAGAAAAAAAAGAGGAGCCGGTCCAGCCATCCCAGAACACCTGGCAGCCAGACGCCTGCAGTTCTCGCAGTGTATGTACTTGCTGCGTCTACTGTAGTGACGTCTACGTGATTATCAACAATTCGTGCCTCGAGTCATGGGAGAGTAAGAGAGTTGGCACCTGCCGGATTGATTGCTGAAGACGTGCATTGGCACTGCGAGTACAGCAAGTATCTCGCGAGGAAGAAGAAAAAAAGGAGCCTAATCCAGCCAGTTCCCCCGTGGCGAGTAGACCATCTCCTGTTAGTCTAGGCCATAGTACAGTCTAGTATTTCCCCCGAGATCCTGGACAATGTGCAGCAATCTTGAATTGTATTCGGCAGAATGCACACGCCCCCGATGGCGTTAGTGCCTGCATGAGCTTCGCAGCAAAGGATGGCGGGTTGCGGCTCTCATAGGATGAGAATGTCCGTTGCTCAGCAACTTTTCCTGCACACCAGGCTGGTGCAGGCTGGACCGCATCCCATGTAACCCACAGGTACTGCCCACCTGCGGCGCTGCAACCCGCATGACGACGGTCTCCAGCGTCCCTGCCAAATTTCAAGGGAAATCAATCAATCGATTGTCTGTCGCCCGGTCCCCAGCCCCCCAGGTACCCAGGTCCCCACACAATCTAGGCCCACCCGCTGGGTACTGTGCGGTGCAGCGCCCTTTTCCTGTCTTTGTCCTCCAATGTTTGAATCCGGCGACTGGTCTCCATCCCGCGCTACATGTGCTCTTTCCTCGGCCAGGGACGACTAGCGGTACTAGTGAGGTACATCCAAGCTAAACCTTGGCCTTTCCATCCCAACCCCCTCTCCCACTTCTACAACATCCACGCTCATGATTTGTTTTGCGCTGTGTCTCTGGAAATTGGAAACGCTCTTCATCCCGCAGTGGACACCAATCTTTCTCCTTTCAACCTCGCAGCCCAGGCGTCGTCCCAACGAGCACTCCTCGGCCTAAGGAAAGACGGACGGGTACACGCGCGATAACCCCATAGTCGCAGATCTCCTTCTCGACTTGAATATCTCCAGCCAGCCGTCCCTACAACGCTCCATTCTGTCCTGGCCGTCCAATCTACTCCTGACGTCTCTTGTCAACCTCCTTAGTCACTCCTCCCTGCCCCTCCACCGACAACAACCTCCTCAACCCCCGCGACTCTGGCCCTGTTTACTCGCTGCCGCTGCCCCAGTGATCATCAGCTCGAAGCTTGACCGAAACATTCCCCCCAAACCTTATTGCGACTCTTCGGACAAGACACGCAGCAACTTTTTTGTCTGCCTTTCTGGTCAGCGCCACATGTCTGAGCTGCCTCCCCGACCGCGTCCATCTTGACTCCCCGTCTGCCGCCTCTGGCACGGCTCCCAAATTACCTCGATACGTCATGGGGTTCTCTAACCCCCTCCGCTCGAGGCACGGCCATGGGCCCCAACTCCCCGTTTACGAGAAGGTCGCCAAAGATCAATTGTCCTCTCAGGAGGAGTACGATTCCGAAATCACAGACGACGAGCGCGAGGACGACTCCTCCGCCGCATCATCCCCCAGCCGAGACTCGAGGCGGACAACGTCCTCCCTGTCTTCGAAAACGAACATGCTCAAGCGGAAGCTCAGCATCAACTCCACCCTGGCACCGCCAACAGCTGCAGCCGCAATGCTGAGTCCTATAAACTCCAGGCGGACCACATTCACCCTCTCGCGCCGTGGCAATGGCTGGAAATTCTACCGACTCCCCCACAAGATCACACGTCTGCTCTGCCTCGGCCTCTTGGTAGGCATGATATTATTCATCTCCGCCCTATACCATGCCGGCGTGTCAGAAAATAGGAGGGTAATGAAGGGCGAATTTCCGCCGCGGCCACCGGGTCCAAACACATGGGAATCTTTCAGCTTTCTCACACGGTACTACGGAGGCATCAGGACGCTTGTGCCCTTCAAGGACAACGTGTCGCAATACCCAAGACTCGTCGATGAACTCCCCTTCAACGGTACTGAAGGCGAAGGACCGGCGTTCTTCACGGGCGCACAGGAGCCTGTCGAGAGCAGCGCTGTACCTCCGAGCAAAGCATTCGCCTCCGAGTACAAGAAATCAGTATTCGCCAACGCCGACAAGGTTAACGAGTGTTTCTTGGACAGTGAGCAGAACTTCAAAGTTCCACATATCCGATATTATGATGGGCGTCCCGCTGGATTCCCTCAAAACGTCCTGGGCTCCTATGAGCTTCTGGATCTCCCTGAGGATATTTGTTTCGAGCGCCACGGCAGGCTGAGTCCATATGGATTTGGATATTCCGTCCGGGCGGGTGGTCTAGGTATTGGCGAGCATGGGGACAAGGAAGGTTCGCAGCTGGTGTGGAAGAATGGTCAGAAAATTGACTGGCGCAACACCGACTGGGCTGATGTACAGCGTCGGTGCTATCAATCCAACGCAGAGCGTTATAAGCCCCTTACTCGCAGGCACCACCCCCCTCGCGGGTTCTATATCAACGAAAATTTCGCCAACGAGACCCTCTTCCGGAGAGATGACGCCATATCCAAGATCGGGGAGGCTCAGGCGCCTGGCGCGGTCTCGGACGTCGCCAGCCCCCCACCGAAGGAGCACAAGGGCAAACCTGCCGATGAGGCAGCCGACAAAGCAGTGCAGAAGCCAGAGAATGGCGATTTGCCCCGGACAGCTATCGTCATTCGGTGTTGGGATGAGTACCCGTGGAGGGAGGAGGACATCCTCTATCTGAGAACGATCATCACTGAGCTGTCTCTTGCGTCTGGCGGACGTTACGACGTCCATCTGCTTGTTCAGGTTAAGAACGATGCAGCATATCCCATCTGGGCCGACGATGAAGTGTACGAGCAGAGGATCAAAGACACCGTTCCTGAAGAGCTGCGAAATATGGTTACTCTCTGGACTGAGACGCAAATGCTTTCTTTGTACCAAGGCATCCATGACCTGTGGACTCGAGGAATGGACTTGCCTGTTCATGGTGTGTACCGTGGACTGCAGATGGCCATGCAGTACTTCGCATACAACCACCCAGAGTATGACTACTTCTGGCAGTGGGAGATGGACATCCGGTATACCGGCCACTACCTCGACCTATTCACCAAGATGGAGCAGTGGGCTGTGCAGCAGCCGAGAAAAGGTCTCTGGGAGCGCAACAGTCGCTTTTACCTACCAGCAGAGCACGGCACCTGGGAGGATTTCAAGCAGATGGCGCGTGTGCAGTCCGAGATGGGAACTCCCAGTGCCGAGAACATGTGGAATGGCCTGGGCAATAAGCCGAAGCCACTCGAGTATTCTCGCGGGGAGAAGGTCATCTGGGGCCCAGTCCGCCCCGTCGACGAGAAAGACTGGTACGAGCCCGAAAAGGATCCAGTCCCGCCACGAGCGTACGAGCACGACAAGTACCAATGGGGCGTTGGTGAAGAGCCCGACCTGATCACCCTGAATCCCATGTTCGATCCGGAAGGCACGACATGGCTGCTGGCTGACGATATCACCGGCTACAACGAGTCGGAGGGCATCGGCAAGCCTCCCCGTCGCGCCCAGATCATCACGGCTTCTCGAATGTCTCGCCGCATGCTCCTGACCATGCACCGTGAGACGGCGTTCAAGAAACATCATGCGTTCCCCGAGATGTGGCCCGCAACGATAGCCCTGCAGCACGGATACAAGGCCGTCTACGTCCCACACCCGCTGTACGTCGATCGCGAGTGGCCCACCCAGTACATGGCTCGAGTCTTCAACGCCGGCAAGAACGGCGCTACAGGTGGCTCGAGGACATCAGTATTCGGCCAGAGAGAACACAACCTCCAGGGTCTGTCGTGGTTCTATAACTCGGGCTTCGCGCCGAACCTGTACCGGCGCTGGCTAGGGCTGAAAGTCAACAACGACGGCGGCGAGGAGTTCGAGCAGATGAGGGATTTGAGCAAAGACGAGAGCACCGTCGGCCAGATGCGAGGCGGCGAGGGACGCATGTGTCTGCCACCGATGCTGCTGCATCCCATCAAAGGGGTAGAGCTGCCGGTTGAGGAGGACAAGGTCGAGGAAGTAGTTGTTGAGTCAGACCCGGCGGCATAAGCAGGAGAGATAAAGTCGGGCGCATATGTATACGGCGGAAGGATCGCTGCGCTTACATAGGTGACACTAAACGGCCTCCTCCCTTGCGGAGGTCTCACACATGGGCAACCGGCCGATCGAGGCGGGCAGCCGGAAAGCACTACCAGGAGTTCTTGGCGTCAGATTTTCGGGGAACACGGGCCAAATCACAGAGGCCTTTTTGGCTTACGGGCGGCGGGCGCAAACACGCTCATGAAAGCATATCATCATGTCTGGAGCAGGGGAACGGGGTGTCTGGCCTACTATAAGCTTGGCTTTGTTCTTTGGCTATCCTGCTGCGCTTGGGTCTCGCCCGCCTGTTGAACATCGGATGGTTCTTTTTTCATTTTGTTTTGTTCCTCGGCGCCTGTCCCTCCTTCTTTTTCCGCCATCCATATGCAGAGAGATGCGGTCCTCCTCATTCATCATAACTGCGCGGGGGGAACATCTGAGGCGCTGGGTAGAAAAAGGGATGTACTGTACATACTCTTGTGATAGAATGCACCACGGTGCTCTAATTATGAGTGATAAATGACCCTGGACACCGTTGCTTGTTGGACTAGGCCATTGGTGAGGACTTTGTCTGTATCAGGCTCCGCATTCCGGACGCGCACAGGGTGTCCCGATGCTCGCTTCTGGCCGCCATGATCAGCGGATTGGGCTGGATGCTGACATGCTGTACGTGAAGATCTGCGGGCGCGGCGATGGACCACTGTCTCACTGCCCGTCACACGGGGATCCGAAGGGCCAAGCAGCTCCCACGAGGCACTTTGCTCGGCGGTTAATGGAGCTTCGCCTGCAGAACGTCAATGGTTGTCGATTCTGAGTTGTGAGATCTGACCCAATTGTGCACGGCAGAGAGAGGAAAAAAGGATGGAATAGTCTAGGCGTTGTGTCCTTTCGCCGGTCGGACAGCATCCTGGCCTGATTTCGGCCGAGATGATGCTGATACGTGTGTGCATTTACAAGTAGGGATAAGTTACAATTTACTCGCAGCTGGTCTGCACCACATTTTTTTGCTCTGATGTCTTTGCTCTGTTCAGTCCATGATCGAGACGTTCTCCTCGCGTCAACGGACACATACTGATTAGGACTTCGTTCTTCAGATTTCCTTCCTGTGATGTATATAACCAACCCCGTGGCTCTTCTTTTGGGTGGTTCCGTTCTCTGCGGCCCCCTTTCGCAACTCTCCATTTGCTATCTTGAAGTGTCTACTGTGGACCGCGCTTTTATGCTTCGCCTGGATATTTTGCGTTCCATGCCCAAGCCTCACGGCCACGAAACGAGTTGCTGTCACTCGTATGAAATGCCATGTTGGTTTTCATGCTTTGACCGTTGAGTATTGGAAGGCTGGTCACCTTTAATTTCTTTGGTTTGATTTCCATGGATCGTCGAGACCTTATTTGCGGTGCTCCACAGTAATATCTCCTGAATGATAGGGTATCTGATATAAGCTTCTCGACAGAGCCTCCATTAATGTCGTAATTGTGTGGATATCCAAAATAGAAAACACCAAGATAAGTTGGTTAGTGCTTTAAATGGTATCACCGAAAGTCGCATAAGCAGGCTAGTCGGCCGAGTCGCTTGCTTCATGGACCTTGTCATAGACTTTACATTCATACAATCGCATACATGACAATTATCCGTCATGATCCCTCTCTACTTGCTTGCAATGCTCATTTTCCCGATACGCCTAAAAGTGCACAACGCGCCGACTTGCATGTTCCTCGTCTGGGGTATTGAGAACAGAGCCCGCTCGTATTAATCAACCATCCGTTGCGTTTGGGGCAACGTCTAGACGACCCTCTTGACTTCGAAGAACCTCCTCAGCCACCAGACCTGGAACACAGACTCGCCGATGACCACGCCAATGATGAAGACGTTCCACCACTTGACCCGGCTGTTTGTGCTCTCGGCAGTGTTTCGGTGGGTGCGCTCTCGGACGACAATGTACGACTGCTCGTCCTTGACCTGGGCGAGGATCTCCGACAGTTTGCGCACTGAGAGACCATGTTAGTACAGAATGAGAGAATGACAAAGACAAGGCGCCTTTCTGTTCGCGTACCTTCAGCCTCGAGGGGATCCTGAGGCGTGTCCGATTCGGAAACGTAGACAACGCCGTGGACATTGAAGGAGACCTCCTTGCTGGACGAACCCCAGTGCTCGTTGCCAAAGCAGTAGAGGTATTTGCCGTCGTGCTTGGCATCGAAGGAGTGGTCGCCGTTGGAGGTGGACTTCTCGAAGACTTCGTACTGGCCAACTGGGTTTGTGATCTAAGCGGAGGCGCCTGTCGTCAGCAATTGAAATATTACACCACTCGCATCAGGCAACAAGACGGAAGAAGCTCATACCCAGAAGTCGATCTCCAGATTTCCTGCGCCGCCGAATTCCCTGTCCCCAACCTGAAAGGACACGGTCATCTTGTCATCCTTGTGGAGGACCTCATGGAAGCACTCCCGGCCGTGGGCTGGCAGCTGGATGTTGTGTGCTACTGCCGAAGTGAAGAGCCCGGCTGCCAACAGCAGCGACGATGCTGAGAGGAACTGCATCTTGGGCGTTGTTGTGGGTGGGGTTGGGGATATATTGTTTGTGGTGATGTCTTGTCGTCGCGGGCGCGGAGCCTCCAGCAAAAAGGGACAAGCTGGCGATTATTCACAAGCTTGGAGCTTTCGCAGCTGCGACTCGGCAGGCCCAGCGACCTTGGGAGGAGCGGATCGCGTGCTGTTTCGCCGATTGGGTGGATTCTACGGGTGGAGATCGATACGGAGGTTGGGCTGAGAGCTACCTACACATTGCACAGTGGACAGTGGACGAAAGAGGTATCGGGGGACGGACCCGAGGTACCTGGATTGGGCGGACCCAATGGCACGAATGGGTATGCAGGAGAAGGCGAACAGGATTGAGGAGCACGGGCCCACCTGCCCAGGTAGGCTGGTCTGGCTGGTGTTTGGGTGGGCAGGAGAAGCCCACAACCCCTCGCAGGTGCATCTGCGCACCTGCCCAAGTGTTCTGGCTGCGTACCTGGGTACCTAGGTAGAGTGGAGGCGGCCGCTGGTTGGTCTGGCCCCCTCGATGCCTTGCTTCTGCTCCCGACTGCTCGCCGAAAATCTGGGCCTCAGTGGCCGTCACCAAGAGGTGTTAGGGGCGTGGTCCGCCTCCTCCCTGGCAGCGAGCCCGGTACTGTCGTTGGTAGACAGGTAGAGAGTGCTGATTCCCTGCCGCCTCCTGTCACTGCAGTCGCTGTTAAGCCAGGGCCAAGGCAAGTAAGGCCTGTCCCGCTGCCCGAAAAAAACCACCAATCTGTTCTCATTCAACAGGCCCCGTTATTTTTCTACCGCCCAGTCTCTCCCACGTCCAGTCCTCCCTTCACACCGACAGTATCCCAACGACACGACACGACAAGACCACGAGCATCACCTCGCCCGACCTCTATCAACACTGACACTGTGAGACCCCACTGCATGTGAGTCTGGCCTGCCCCCTTTCCTTGACTACCGCCATCATCCTCTCTCCATCGCATCGCAACAGTCCACCTCTATCATTATCATCGACATCGTCATCGTCACTCTCTCCCTCCTATCAAGGGGCAACCTGCAAACGACACGCGTGTCTTGTGACCCTGACCTCAATCCCGTCCTGCACCCTCTACCCATTTACCTGTCACCTTCGCCCATCTCAGCGGCAGCCTGGCGACACCTTCTCTGCATTCCTGCTGCCTTGTCCCCGAGTCTTGCCTTGCGGCGCCCGTTCCTGCTATCTGTCATCTACGCCGCCTCCGAGTACAAAGGTGTGCTCTCTCTGCCGTGGCATCAGCCCTCGCGCCGCCCACCCATCCATCGCAAACAACTCGTCACCATCCTGGCACAGTCGAGTATCCGACTTGCTGACCCCGATCCGTTCGCGCAGATAAAGGGTCTTCTTCTCGCCTCCCCAGACACACCCTAGCTCAACCGTCGTCACATACCGCCAACATGGGTCTCTCCATCTCAAAGCTGTTCGACCGTCTGTGGGGAAAGAAGGAGATGAGAATTCTGATGGTCGGCTTGGACGCTGCCGGAAAGACTACGATTCTCTACAAGCTCAAGCTGGGTGAAATCGTCACAACCATCCCCACCATCGGTATGTCGGCCCAACTCGCTCCAAAATAACCCTCACTTGCTTGTCAAACACGGGATAGCTGGCATGCTGACCCCCGTAAAGGCTTCAACGTCGAGACGGTCGAGTACAAGAACATCTCTTTCACCGTGTGGGATGTCGGTGGACAGGACAAGATTCGACCTCTGTGGAGGCACTACTTCCAGAACACCCAGGGTATCATCTTCGTCGTCGACTCTAACGATCGCGATCGTATCGTTGAGGCCCGGGAGGAGCTGCAGCGCATGTTGAACGAGGATGAGCTGCGCGATGCCAACCTCCTGGTCTTCGCCAACAAGCAGGATTTGCCCGTAAGTATTCCCTCATGCGATCTACCGCCCCCCCCCCCCAAGTCAAACGAATGTCTTTTCTAACTATTTGACAGAACGCAATGAACGCCGCAGAGATCACAGACAAGCTTGGCCTCCACAGTTTGCGACAGCGTGCCTGGGTATGCCTCAAACCCTCCGTCCTTTAACCCTGGCGCAGTACACTGACCAACTAGCAGTACATCCAATCCACTTGCGCTACTTCCGGTGATGGTCTTTACGAAGGTCTCGAGTGGCTTGCCACATCCCTCCGCAAGGCTGGCAGCGCCTAAGGTGTCACGTTCGACGGATATTCCTCGGCAGTCCGCACTCGGTTGTGCCTCGCAAGTAACCTCAACGCAATCGATTTTATTTTAAGGACATTGAACCAGGACATAATGCATCGCAAGGTGGTCACGAATGAATCAGTAGAGCCGCTAATCGGGTCAATCGAGGTCATTTCGCACGCTTGGTCTTTCGCGGAAAGAAAGGCGGGGAACGGGGCGCAACGGGGCAAGGAATCTTTGTACGATTTGAGGATATGATTCCGACTTTTTCAAGACACGTCACGTCCCTCTTTCATCAACAGCATTGATACGAGGGAGGGAGTGGGTTACGAATCAAAACGAAAGGCATTATATTGGTCTGGTCTTTCTATCCTCGCCGCCTCTCGAGCTTTAGATACGCGAGTGGGAGAGAAGGAGGAATCAGTGGTCCACCCTTGCATCAGCTCGCTCCCCCCGCCTCTCGGGCTCCTTCTTGATACGCAGAGCAGGAGTCTTCTTGTTATCGTCGTTTTACATAGACTGGTTTTATTTTGCTCTTCCACTGCGCCTCGGTCTTTCTCGCACGCGTCATTGGGAGAAAGAAAAACCTCACGTCTTTCCGTCAAGCAACCGCTCACTGTCTTGTGCCAAGGGCGTGGTTGGGGTCGGCATTTGTGCAGTCAAGTAAACAAAAAAGTACGCAATACAAATCATCGTCTTTCTAAGCATTTGGCCAGCTCCCGCTCGCCGAGGTGTGTTTGTTGTCTATTTGCAGGCTGACACTTGGTCATGCTGCAAAAGTTTGTCTATTCTAACACAAACAACAATCCTCGAGGAAACATTCTAGAAGCGAGAGCGAGCCTCTGGTCCCTTGGTGCATGCGCAAACGTCAGCATCTGTCCGGCTCGGATGACCACACTAGCAAGTCGCTGTGTTTCATCCCTCTCACAGTTTGGTTCCCCTTGGCCCCTTGGTGGTCGAGATTGGATGAATCTGGGTTCTTCAGTGGACTGTACATGAGTGCCTCTAATGCTACTGCCTATACTCGCTTTCGAAATGGAGAACAGGTGGGATCTACTAATTGTGAAGCCTAAAAAACTAGCTCCCCGCCTCCCCCCCCCCCAAAGCCAAACTACCGTCAGGCTCTCGAACAAGGCGATGTAAGCAAGTAGCTCTGCAACCTCGAAACGAAACAGGTGGCCTCTGCTGTCGACTCGTCTGCCTCGTCGTTCTTCCTTTGTCTCGCCCGTCCCGCCCCGGCAGGAGTTGACACGCTCCCGGCTGGGCCTGCGGGTCCCAGGGTCCTCTCTCCCCTTCTTCTCTTGGGGGGGAGTGTCAGGGATCGGATCGGTGCGCACAGCCCGTGTGAGAGGATGGGGTATCCTAGGACCTTCTCTCGCCTGGTGCTCGATGTTCTGGACAATGGAACAGCACTGTCCTGGACATTGGCGAATGGGTAGGCTTCGCGTAGACAGCCTATGCTTGGAGTCTGTACGTTAGGTGCGGTAGCCGTTGGTTGTCGGACTTGTGTGCCGAAGTATTTCGCTTCAGGACACATAGAGTAACAGTAGGTGAACGGTTTCCGTCATGGGAGTTATTTCGAATCATCGAGATGATATGCTAATGGTAGTCTTAGAAGTTGGAATTGTTGGTATCATGAGAAGAGATGTAAATGTATGTACAATCAAACGCCGATACATGCCACGGTCACAGCCTTTCCCCACGAGACACAGAACCCTATTTCCCGAACGCCATTCATGAAATCATCACCCCCGGAAACCCCTATGACTTGTCCTCGGCCTTCACCTCGAGACCAGACCCGTCCTCCTTGACAGACACCACAGCCGTGTCGCCCATCTTGATGTCGCCCCTGATGATCTTGTCCGCCAGGTTGTTGCTGATCTGGTGCGTGATGAGCCTGTTGAGCGGCCTCGCGCCGTACTTGGGCTCGTACCCCTTGTCGGCGAGCCACGTCCGCACGCCGTCGGGGACGCTGAGCGTGATCCTCCTGTCGTTAAGGCGCACCTGCAGCTCCCCCAGGGCGGATGTCGACGATGTCCCGCAGCGCCTCGCGCGACAGCCGCTTGAAGAAGATGAACTCGTCGAGCCTGTTGATGAACTCTGGCGGGTAGTTGGCGCCGACGACGTCCATGACGGCCTTCTTGACCTCCGGCGAGATGGAGCCGTCCTCGCTCTCAGTGTAATTGTCACCCACGATTATGTCTGCGCCGAGGTTCGAGGTCAGCACGATGATGTTCTTGAAGTCCACCTTGTGGCCCTGGGCGTCGGTGAGGTAGCCCTCGTCGAGAACCTGCAGCAGCAGTGCGGAAATATCACGATGCGCCTTCTCGAACTCGTCGAACAGCAGCACAGCGTACGGCTTCCTCCGCACCGCCTCGGTCAGCTGGCCCGCGTCTTCGTAACCAACGTAGCCGGATGGGGCACCGATGAGCCGCGAGATCGTGTGCTTCTCCTGGAACTCGCTCATGTCGAAGCGCACGACCGCGGACTCGGTGGAGAAGAGGAAACCCGCGAGCTTCTTGCACAGCTCCGTCTTGCCCACGCCTGTCGGGCCTAGGAAGAAGAAGCTGGCGAGCGGCCTGTTCTCGCCTGAGAGCCCGGCGCGCTGCATACGCACGGCGTTGGCGACGGCCTTGAGGGCTTCGTCTTGACCCTTGACGGACTGCCGGAGAGTGTCTTCCATGTGTACGAGCTTCTCGATGTGCCCTGACGTGAGCTTGGACACAGGTATACCCGTGATGCGAGCGACCACTTGAGCGATGTCGTCCGCGGTGACGCTGTCATGGATGAGAGTACCGTCTGTCTTTGCCTGTTCTCCCTCCTTGGGCAACTTTTGCTCCAGAGACGGAATGACGCTGTACCTGAGCTCGGAGGCACGGCCGAAGTTGCCCTCTCTCTGGGCCATCTCCAACTCGACCTTTGCCTTTTCCAGATCTGCCTGTGTCTTCTTGATGGTCTCGATCTCACCACGCTCACTATCCCATCGCTCATTGAGCGTCTTGACCTCGTCTTGCAGCGCCTTCAAGTCATTCTCTAACTTTTCCCGACGCTCCCGACTCGCAACATCTTTCTCTTTCCGCAAGCTTTCCAGCTCGATTTGAATGGTCATGATCCTCTGGTCAAGTCTCATGATGTCCTCAGGCTTGCTCTCTTGCTGCAGTCGCAATGAGCTTGCAGCCTCATCCATCAGGTCGATAGCCTTGTCCGGGAGGAATCTGTCTGTAATGTAACGGTTCGAATATGTGGCGGCCGCAACCAAGGCCCCGTCTGTGATACGAACACCATGATGGACCTCATACTTGTCCTTGATACCACGCAGAATGCTAATGGTGTCCTCCACTGTGGGTTCATTGACCAGAATGGGCTGGAACCGCCGTGCCAGCGCGACATCCTTCTCGATGAGCCGGTACTCGTTCAGCGTGGTCGCACCACAGCACTGGAGCTCGCCCCGTGACAGGGCCGGCTTCAACAGATTCGAAGCATCGATCGAGCCCTCGGCCTTGCCGAGCCCGAGCAGGGTGTGCAGCTCGTCGATGAACAGGATGACCTGGCCCTCGGCCGCCTCCACCTCGCTGAGCACCTTCTTCAGGCGCTCCTCGAAGTCGCCGCGGAACTTGGCGCCGGCGATCAGGCTGCCCAGGTCCAGCGTGACGACGCGCTTGTTCTTTATGGACTCGGGGACGTCGCCCCTGACGATCCGCAGGGCCAGGCCCTCCAGGATCGCGGTCTTTCCCGTGCCCGCCTGGCCGATCAGGACGGGGTTGTTCTTGGTCCTCCGCGAAAGGACCTGGATCGTCCGCTGGATCTCCGCGTCCCGCCCGATCACCGGGTCGAGCTTGCCTTCTTTTGCTTTGGCTGTCAGGTCGATTCCGAATTGTTCGAGCGCCGGCTTCTCTTCCCCGCCACCGCCCATATCCATCCGGTGTGTCCCCCCTGGTGGATGCGGCCGGCCGTTTGCATATTGTCGAACTGTTGAGACGGTGGGGAGAAGTCGCGGAGAGTTAAATTTTGTTGTTGTCGTGGGTGTTAAAGCTGAGTCGGCGATATGTGGCCGGAGAGCTAATACTCTCGTGGTGGCTGTTCGGCTGGTTTGCGCATTTGCGATGCGCCGTGTGGACGAAAGCAGTTGTCTTCTCGATAACATGATGAAGCAACAGTGATGATGTATGGATCTATGTTGCAAAAGGGAAGTTGAGAAAGAAAACAGTCCCTCGTCCTCCCCATGAAATAATTCCTGGACTGGTGGGCCCACCGAATCAACATCAAAAAGCCGAGTTTAACCACGCTATGACGACGAGGAGACTGGATATCTCGAGAATCTTCGAGCTCCGGCCGCGGCTGCAGCTCTCAACACCCTTGTCGCCACCTTATCGATAAGGAATTGAGACCCACATCCCTGCTTCCCCATAAATAAGTTTTCGGCCTCAAATTTCCAAGCACGTCTTTTCACATTCTCACCACACACGAGGGGACAGGCAAGCAAGCGCCTCGAGCAGGCGCCTCGAGGTCGTATTTTGCGATATCTGTCCCCAATATGTATTAGAGGTAAGCGATTGACTTTACATTGCCCCCCACCAACAATACCTACGTGATGAATAAATTGGTCCGTGTTTCTGAGCAGCTTAAGACCCTGTTCATATGAGGAAACCAACAAGCACTTCTGTGCGTTTCTGATCTCTTGCCTCACTTTGCACTCTTGCAATTTCGTCCCATATAGCTCATCAGAATGCTGACAATTGCATCAGGATATGTTTCGTCCCCGGCCTTGCGCTAACGTGGGCATGGGCCTGCTGTAGAGCAGGAGCATCGCAGCCACATCACAGCCTGTCGGGTGCTGCGATGATGGCTTGACTCAGAGGGCTGCCCCGTGTATCTGCCCAGAGACGATCCTCGCTGCCATTGCTGTGGCTCGGGTGTGTCTCAGATAAATAGCACCTTCTAGCTGAAGCTGTTGCCAACGATTCCACAAGAAATTAGCGTAAATGCATCAGGAGACATAGATCTACCAAAACTTGTCAACTATTTGTTCCAACTATCTCAACATTTTTGGCCGCAATGCAAATGATCCATACCAAGATTGAAGGCCAGCAGTTCGACTTTGAATTTTGACTGCTCCATTTGATATTGCAGAGTCGTCTTGTGACGGGAGTCCCGGTCTCGCTACGGTCCAGTCAGGGATGCCATCACCAGAGAGCGACGACCGGCCTGACTTGGGCGCTGAGAGGCCCTCCGAACTTCTCATATTCAACATGCACAAGACGTTGTTCCAAGCCGGACGAGATATCGATTGCTGGAATTGGACATATCACAAACTAATTAAGAGGTTGGAGAAACGCGACTAATCACTAAACGCCATTCCTCATTGAATGTAGATGTTGAAAGCTCGGCAGCCACACAGTGTTGAAGAATCTTTTTGTCCCCGCTCCGTATCCCATATGCCCAGACCAATCTCTTCTGTTTCAGCGTTTCGTGATGTCGTAGGTAATCGCAAATGCAAGTCATGTCAAAGTTTGTGAAATGGGTATCTACACCGTCTAACTGGTTCGTTCCGCATCCGCGTAAGACCACTCCTGCCCCGGCCTTTTAGTGGTGGAAAAGGCGGATGTTCTGCTCGATGAAGGTGATGCCCAGGTTCTCTGCCGTCTCGAAGACGGGCTGGTCGTTCTGGCTGCCGCCTGGAGCCGCGATGTACTTGACTCCGGACTTTGCGACACGGTAGACGTTGTCGGTGAAGGGGAACTGTGAGAGGAATCAGTCTCAGGGTTCTGTCACAACATGAACAGTGGGGTGTACTTACGAAAGCATCACTCGACACGGCGACATCAGTGAGCTTACCAAGCCACTCCTCCCGCTCCTCGGGGGTGAACGCCTTGGGAACATCGTCGAAGGCTGCCTCGAAAGCCTGCCTCTCCGGTCCATCCTTGGGCAGCTGGCCGCTGACGAGCAGGTCGATCGCGTTGCTCTTGTCGGGGCGCTTGGTGCCCTTCTTCCACTTGATGCCGAGGACACGAGGGTGGAATCGCAACCACCAGTTGTCGGCCTTGTCACCAGCCAGACGCGTGCAGTGAATGCGCGACTGCTGGCCGGCGCCGAGACCGACAACCTGGCCTCTGGCAGCGTAACAGACAGAGTTACTCTGCGTGTACTTCAGGGCAATGGTAGCGATCGTGAGATCACGAAGAGCATTCTCAGGGACGTTAGCATCCTTGGGGGTGATGACGGTACCGAACGACTTGGGGCTGATCTCGAAGTCGTTGCGCTGCTGAGCAAGCGTGATGCCGTAGACGGTGCGAGTCTCCTTGGGGTTGGGCTCGAATTCAGGGTCCATCTGCAGGACGAGGTATTTGCCACCCTTCTTCTTCTTAAGAATCTCCAGAGCCGCAGACTCGTAGCCGGGGGCGATGACACCGTCTGAAACCTCCTTGGAAATAATGCTGGCAGTGGCCATGTCCACGACATCGCTCAGAGCGATGAAGTCACCAAAGCTGCTCATGCGGTCGGCACCGCGGGCACGGGCGTAGGCCTGGGCCAGACCGGACTCATCGATGCCGGGAATATCCTCGACAAAGTAGACCTTCTTCTCTTCGGCGGTAAGGGGGAGGCCAATAGCCGCGCCTGCGGGTGAGACATGCTTGAAGCTGGCCGCTGCGGGCTTGCCCAGGGCTCGCTTGAGCTCCTTGACCAAGGGCCAGCTGTTCAGAGCATCCAGCAGGTTAATGTACCCCGGAGAGCCACCCAGCACCTTGAAGGGAAGCTTCCCCTCCTTAACGTAGGAAGCTGCAGGCTTCTGGTGTGGGTTGGCACCGTACCGGAGGGCCATGTATTGCAGACCGTCGGCGGCATATTGCTTTCGGAAGAAGTCGGAGATGGCCGCATCGTAGTCCGCGGTGTGCTCAAAGGCCTTGAGGGCGTACAGCCGGCGGCTTGACTCCTTCACCTCACCTGCCTCGATCTCCTTGAGGAACTCTGCGTAGTCGGCAGGGTCCGAGAGAATTGTGACGCGCGAGTGGTTCTTCGCAGCTGCACGGATCAGCGTGACGCCGCCAATATCAATCTCCTCAACAGCTTCGGGAACGGTGACGTTGATCTTTGCGACGGTGTCCTTGAAAGGATACAGGTTGCAAATGACGTAGTCAACCTTGTCGATGCTCTGCTCGGCCAGGTCCTTCTCGTCCGAGGCGAGGTTGCGTGCGAGGATGCCGGCGTGGACGGCAGGGTGAAGGGTCTTGACGCGGCCCGCCAGCATTTCGGGGGCCTTGGTGATGGCCGAGATGTCCCTGGGACAGAATATCGTGAGCAAAACCAACACAGCGGCCACACAAAAAGTTAAATGTTGCTGGGTTAAAGATTCTTCCATACTCGACGGGAAACCCAGACTCGCGGATCATCTTGGATGTTCCTCCGGACGCCAGAATGCGGACATTTTGCTGGACCAGCCCCTTGGCAAGGTCGAGCAGGCCAGTCTTGTCGTAGACGGAGACAATGGCAATGCGCTGTCCTGCGGATTGGGTTTGTGTGGCCATCTTGGTGGTGTTGACTATTGCCTGCTGCGAGATCGGTACTAAGAGGATGACCGTTCTGTGTTCGAGTGTATGCAAACAACCAGCCAGGTGAGGAAGACGGCGGCTGAAGAAACAATTCTGAAAACACAACAGGCTACAGCAGCGCCTCTTTTGGAGTCTGGAGAAGATGCAGGTGTTTCTCTGCTCTGGCGGTGCACAAGAAGAGAAAAAAAACCAACTACAACAGCTTTGCTCCCGCGGGGTACAGAAATTTGGAGGGGCTTATCTCGAACCCTGTGCTGCGCTGTAAGGCCTGTGACGTCCTGCCCAGATCCAACAAAGTTGCAACGATTTTCATTGGGTGATCTGACAGAGAGTCCTGGCCGTTCTGAACGCTGAGCTCCGTTGCCCCCCTGTCCCCAGGTCCCAGGATAGACACTTCCGGTGCTTGCTTGGACTGGGGTACGCGAATAATCTCCAAACGCTCTTTCATCAGACGCGTCTGTACGACCTCATGCCCCAAGGGCCACCTTCTCTACCTCCAACTCTGCCAACCCCGCCAGTCGAGTCGCCTTTCTGCCTTTTCTCATAGCGACACATGCATCCCGATGCCTATGTACGGTGAACAAGGGAACAAATTGGTACTTTCCCCTCTGTCAGGGCACCGGCGAGTCCGTGGACTTTAATAATCCTGAATCTGACTGACCAGCTCGTTCCTTCAAGGTCGGTCATGCCAAGAGGACACAGAACCTGGCGAACCTGCCTCCATACCAGACCGAGCTCGTCCGTGAGGTCGCCCGCGAAGTCCGAGATCTAGACCGTGATGTCGCCAGTCTTCTTGAGCCCTTCCAAGGGTCCTTCGATCCCAACGCTGACCAGGCAACGGCGTGCACGCTCCTTGTCAACCACCTTTCGATGAGGCGGAATAAGCGGTGTCTGCTCGCGTATCACAAGACGAGGACCGACAAGCTCGAGGAACTGGTCTGGAGCGGCGCGGATGTGGTTGACCTGTCCGGGCAGCAGGTTAGGGAGGGGGCCGGATCTGGTCCTGGCGGGGCCGGCACGCGTCCTGGCGACTCGGGGACCAGCAGTCTCAGCCCGCAAGAGGAGGACTATGTGAGGCAATTCGGCGATCTGCTGGCGGCATACAAGGGTCAGTGGACCGATGTCGATCTTACTGGCAGCCTGGAGCCTCCGCGAGACTTGTTCATCGACGTGCGGGTGTTGAAAGACGCAGGCGAAATCCAGACTGAATACGGGTAGGCCAGGAACATCGGATTCGGCTGAGACCAATCGCTGACATTTCTGTGCAGTGCCATCACTCTGACCAAGAACAGCCAGTTCTACGTTCGACAGGGAGACGTGGAACGACTCATCGCCCAGGGTTACCTCCAGAAGCTGGGCTAGAGAGCGACATCGCAAGGTGTCACGCGCTCGACCCAGCAGATCGTGTTGCTCGAGTGCTCAACGCCGCGGGGCCTGCAATTGTCTTTGGATGAATTGGCCTGCGCCGAGGACTGACAAGACCAGCGAGCTAGCCGTCATTTTTCCGCGGAGTTGAAGCAAGCAAGCAAGCAAACAGAGCTCGGCCAAGAGGAGCATGCTGCGATGCTGTTAAACAGGTTATCGCCTGCATGACCTCTGCATTGCTGATTTATCCAGCAACAGGGTCATGATGCGCAAGACCTGACGACGACATGAGATGGCTGGGCCCTGGGCTCTCGCGAAAGTCCTCTTGTCACGCGGGCCAGAGCAGCATGACAATCATTCCCCCACGCCATGTCCGACATCGTAGGAACATTGGATTCGAGCTCACGAGGTCCGCGGTCTCGACCATTGGATCGGCTTTACAGGCAATTCACATGCATGAGGGGCCGTGCGGAGTGAGGGGGTTAATGAACTGATGGTGTCACAGTCGTCTGTCCTGCCAAGCGGGGGACTGTAGGCAGCGTGGGAGGGGTTATGCACGATGGGCGTTGTAGTCAATATGGTGACCAAGTTCCTGCAGACATTGGAGTCGGGCGACAGAAAATTTCCCACATGAGCCGACAGCCGTGGGGGAGCTTGGGGGACTGGGGGGAGTAGCTACTTCGGCTAGCAGATCTGCTGCAGGTATGGTGGGAATGGGGGCCAAATATAGCTTGAGCTTGACAGGTCCTGTTCCGTAGCAGCAGGTCTGGGGAATGATCGCCGTCGAAAGCCGCGTCGGCAGAAATTGCCTCGCGTGGGCGGTGCGAGGGTGAACCCAGACAGTGGCCATTGGAGTCTCAGCACATGCCTAGACAAGCCCAGCACCTGGACCAAGACGGTGCTCGATCCTGATCGAAAGCAGTACACGCAACGCAGCTTGCAAAAGGCCCCAAAGTTTTGTCAGGCACTCAAGAGCATGTGGAGAGGGGACAGGATACCTAGGTAGCCTACCGAGATTCGAGCGGCCATCTCGCAGTCGACAATGCTATGATAGGAGGTTGGTTGCCTCACACGAGTTTAATCCACCAGAATTCATGGAGTCTGCTGCTGGTCATGTCAGACCCAACGCCGTGGGGTCTCAATCAGTCGTACCTGAGAATCAGGAGAACCAGAGGACTGGGGATCAAAGGTGGCCCTCCCTGCCTTGGTGGTGGAAAGACAAGATTCTGGCCGTTGGGCTGTTGCGAAATAACGACTGGCAGACATCTTCTCCGGGTGTTGCAAAAAGTCCCCCTTTTCACAGCCCCCCGGTCCATGCGGTGTCCCCATCGCCCCCCGGTCGTGCTGATGGGACTTCTCATTCGCCAATTGACTGCATCTGACATCGGCCCCTCCTTCGCTGCGGAAACTTCTCCAACTTCTTGACGTGATGTGTTGTCTGACTCCAGATCCAGCCTCGTCAAATCACACCCTCCGTCTGTCTTTAACCTCGCATCTTCGACAGATGCTGTGTGATGCCCCGGGGTGTGCTGAGCTTATTGCCCAATTCTCGGTGTTAATGCGCACTCGCACACTCGCTAGGGCGGGCAGATACCCAGCCTTTGCTGCTATGTGCGGCGCACTAATGCCTGCCCATCGACACACACGCACAACAGCCTGAGGTTGTGAGTGGGTCAGAGCTTCTTGCCCACCTACCACAGGAACACCTAGCCTACGTGATTTTCTAGCTTCTACGAGTCGCAATGGGCAGGGCCAGGCCGGGCCAGTTCCAGGTCGGTCGGTACCCGGGTACCAGTACCTTGGTGCACCACTAGTCGTTGTTTCCCACTCCACTGCGAGGTGGCGCGGCCCCCGGATCCTTGCTCATGAAGGCTTTGCATGGACATCGGATCCTAGACCGGAGTGGCATTGGCATCCACATGCTTTTCAACTTTCAGCAGGGAGGCCGTTCTTCAAAGTCCACCAGCACCCAAGCTCCAGCCTTTTGCCCTGCTAATCTATCATCTATCGTCTGCATTGCACATCCCTCAGACCGGGCCTCTACCACGGTATCGCATCCGCAATTCCTGCTTCCCTCTTTTGCCCGTGCAATTCTGCCGCCTGTGGCCCTTTCCTTCCCTGGAGCATCGCGACGATCGCTGCAGTTGGGCTGGCTGCCGCATAAATTCCGTCATCCTGACTGCTGTGCTCTGTACACTCCGACCCGGTAGTATATCACTGATCCACCGAGGGAAAACCTGTGGCACGCCCGGTGACAGGATATCCGTGGACGGCTGTTCCAGATTGCATCATATTGCCATCCGAGACATAAGTTTTGCTCATTGCAAGGCCCCGTTGGATGGATGATGTGGCTCTGGCCCGCCCGACTCGTGAGATAACACCACTACTGCGACGATGGCATCACCATCTACCGGCTCCTCTCCATGGCGCAGGAGGACCCAGTCGGTCAGCTCGCAGGACCGGGACTCCTCAACCCCTACTCCGGCCCTCCTGACCTCTCCTCGCTCTCCTCGAGCCAAACCACAAAATATCGGCGACGCACGCCTCCTGTCCACGTCGAGCTCAACCGCCCACAGAGAGCCCATACGTTCCTTTATCTCTGGCAGCGCCCGAGACAGCCCAGGTGAGCACCTTGATGTCCTCTGCATTCCAGTCTGTCTTCACATGCTTCACGCTCTGCCGGCCATGCATGTATCCAGATTACAGTAATTAGTTACTGTGCAACACATAAGTCGTCACACTCACTCACTCGCTCCCTTGCCTCAATAACGTTCTTCATATCTGATCTCTCCCCGACCAAATATGGCAACCGCCACCTTACTAATTCATACGACAGCGCCCATCGACAGCGCACAGTACGCGAGAAGCGTCCGGGAGGACACAGCAGAGCTTGCTTCCTATTTTCTTTCTGACAAGACCCAGCGTGCTAGCCCCAACTTCCTGTCCCGCCAGAGATCCCAGTCCTCGCAGCAAAGAACTGAAGATCTGCTTGTGGGTGAGGATGACGAGGATGACTCCCTCGCTGGCGGAACAGCAGACACTATCCTAGAAGAGTCTGAGCCTCCCTCGCCTGAAGAGCTCTCCGAAGATCCGCACGAAGATGACGGGCCCTCGATGCTCACAAATATGCTGAGGAGATCACCCCCGGAGAGCTACAAGGACGTCTTTGTGCCCAAGGATGCCCAGCCTTCACAGCAGGAACAGATCGCGGCTCTGTCTCCCTCCTACAATGGACGTCCAAGCTCGGCAAGACGAGACGACAGCAAATTATGGACGCCAAGTGAGGACATAGCAACCGAGAACGACACGGAGAACACGCCTCTACTGCGCAACAGGTCGCATGGGAGCTCATATCTCCAGCATGGGAATGGCTCTGCCGCCGGAGTCGACATCGAGAGCCAGAAGCCACTTGAGTCGCGGAGCTGGCTGGCAGAGAGAGCGGGCCGTGCAAAGACGGGCCTGCAGGGTTTCGCAAAGGCAGCTCGTGATCCCCGGTGTTGGGACGGCAAGGCGATTCTGCACACCGTGGTTGTTGATCCCGTCAAGACCCTGCCGGCAGTGATTGTCGGTCTCATCCTCAATATCTTGGATGCCCTGTCGTACGGTATGATTCTCTTCCCGTTGGGCAATCCCATTTTTGCAAATCTCGGGCCGGCCGGGATTTCAATCTTTTATGTCAGTACGATCGTGTCTCAGATTGTCTTCTCAACGGGCAGCATATTCAAGGGAGGAGTGGGGTCCGAGCTCATCGAGGTTGTCCCATTCTTCCACAACATGGCTTCCACCATCACAGCGCTTGTCGGGGAAGACAACCCAGACGCAGTCATCGCCACAACCATCTTCTGCTTCTCTTTCAGTTCTCTCATCACGGGTGCCGTTTTCTTCACCATGGGCGCACTCAAACTTGGGGGCTTGGTCGGGTTCATCCCTCGCCACATCCTCATCGGCTGCATAGGTGGTGTCGGTTGGTTTCTTGTTCAGACCGGTTTTGAGGTGTCCGCGAGGCTTGAGGGAAGCTTTCACTATGACTTGGACACCCTACGGCTGCTATTCCGGGCCAACACTGTTCCCCTCTGGACGATACCCCTTGGCCTCGCCATAATTCTGTACATTCTCTCAAGCACCAACAAGCTCAAGGACAACCACTATGTCCTCCCTGTCTTCATCTGCTTGGAGCCTGCCATCTTCTGGTTCTTTGTCGTGGTCCTCGACTCGCTCGAGCCTGAGCCACTGCGGCAAAAGGGCTGGATCTTCGAGGCACCGCCTGCTGGTGAACCTTGGTGGTATTTCTATACACTGTTCAGTAAGTGCAACCGCTTCTCGTCTTTCCGATGACAAACTAACGGGATTGCAGAGTTCAATCTGATCCACTGGGAAGCAGTGGCAGAATGTATACCAGCCATGCTGGCTCTCACCTTCTTCGGCGTGCTGCACGTCCCCATCAACGTCCCAGCCCTGGCTCTTCAAACCGGAGAAGACCACGCAAGCCTCGATCGTGAGTTGAAGTTGCACGGCCTCTCTAACTTTCTTTCCGGCTGTGCAGGTAGCATACAGAACTACCTGGTCTATGCCAACAGTCAATTTTTCATCAAGTCTGGTGGTAACAATCGGCTTGCTGGATATCTTTTGGCCCTGTTCACTGCCATCGTTTTGGTCATTGGCCCGGTGATTATTGGGTTTATCCCGGTCATGATGGTAGGGACTCTTATCTTCATATTGGGCTTCGAGCTGCTGCTAGATGCGCTCTGGGACCCTAAATCCAAACTGAACATGCTCGAGTACTTGACGGTATGTGGACCCCCGGAGCCCGGTTGAAAATGTAATGCGCCAGCTAACAACAACTCACAGGTCGTCGTTATAGTACTAGTGATGGGCATGTACGACTTTGTTATTGGTATTGGGGTCGGAGTTCTCTTGGCCTTTGCGTCGTTGATCTTCCAGGCATCAAGAGTCTCGGCCATCCGCGCGACCTACTCGGGTGAGGTCGTTGGATCCACCGTGCGAAGGAACCCGTCGCAGCAACACTACCTCCAGAAGGTCGGAAATCAGGTCTTCCTGATGAAGCTGTCAGGGTTCCTTTTCTTTGGCACAATAGTCGGTGTCGAAGACAAGATCCGCAAGCTCATCGCTGATGAGGAATTCGCGAGACGGCCCATCAAGTACCTGATACTTGACCTCCAGCAAGTCACGGGTCTGGACTACTCGGCAAGCGAAGCCTTCAGCACTGTCAGCCGGTTGCTCGCGGCCAAGGAAATCATCCTCCTTCTTAGCGGTGTAGACACGGACAGCCCGATAGGTCGGGACCTCCGCGCGGTGGGCTTGGGTACCAGCTCCAACGGCACGCAGGTCATCTTCAGCCCGAGCCTCAATTCGGCACTGGAGAACTGCGAGAACGAGCTCCTCCGGACGTTCTACACGAGCCAGGAGGCGTTCAAGTCGTCCAGGAACGCGGCATTGTCGGGGCTGGACGTGCCGGTGGGGAAGATCCTCGACGCGGACAACAACCACCTGAGCGACAACCTGCTCGGGAGCTCGCCGCGGCGCACCCACCTGCACAAGGCGGCACAGGAGTCGCTGACGCAGCGCGAGGTGGTACGGCTTTCGCGGTGGCAGAACTTTAAGGAGCCGCTGCGGTTGATGCTGCAGATCTTTCACGACCTCTCTGACCGCAACGAGGACTTTTGGGTGCGGGCCAAGGACTTTTTCGTCCGCAAAGAGTTCTACCGGGGCGACGTGCTGTTCCGGGCGGGCGAGCCGGCGGAGGGGTTCTACCTGGTGGAGAGCGGGATCCTCAAGGCCGAGTACGACCTCCCGCAGGGGTGGCTGTACGAGAGCATCGTGGCGGGCACGACGTGCGGCGAGCTGCCCTTCTTCTCGGAGACGAACCGCACGGCCAAGGTGACGGCGGAGCGGGACTGCGTTGTGTGGCTAATGGACCGCGAGAACTGGGACAGACTGCAGAAGCGCGAGCCGGACGTTGCGCAGGAGCTCCTGAGGATCGGGCTGAAGCTGACCAGCGAAAGGATGAGCAGCATCACGAGCTACGTGTTGACCATGGCGGGATAAGTGCGTGGAGTGCGTGGAGTGGGAGGGCAATGAGAGCGGGCAAAGGAGGCGGGTTGCTTCTATGCCCCCCCCCTTTACCTGTCTCTGTGCTTGACATATGTGCATACCAGCGGTCGACTTTCACGGCGTCTAGATACCAAAATGGGGCTCAACGGTTTGGAAAAGCGTTGTCTTAATTGACATTCGACACCAAAGGTCACTGTACCTTAGTTGAGATTCTCGCAGTCATCCGATTACTGTCGTGGCTGGAAAATCCAATGTGGTTCTTTTGTGGACTTGGGATTTTACTGTGCTCTGCTCTGCCCTACTACTCTGCTCTGTGACTTGTGATACTGCCAGCATCTACTACGCTACACAAATACTCGGGTGGGTGGTCGTGGAACGGGTTCGGTCGCACGGCGTTATCAAAGCCAGGTCCCAGCTACTATTCATGTCATTGGTGCTGGATGAGAAGAAGCCTTTTCGGCCTTCCCCCCGCGCGCAGTCTAATCTCGTCGTCGAGATCCTCGAATTACAGAGCGGGGAACCGTTGAGGCTCTGTGCAGGCCGCTGCAAGCCACGCCATGGTCTCATTCTGGCCCATGATTGCGAGCATGTACAGAGGGCCAGGGCCGGGGCGCGAGGGTGTGTGCTGTGATGTGGTGTGGTGTGGCGGTCTTGCAGGCAGTTTCCTCTGGTGCTTGTGAGGAGCAGTCCGTCCCTGTCCTTGTATGCAACGCCTGCAAATTTATGCTGCAGTAGCTCGCCACGGCGGGTTACTGGAACCAGTATTCGGATCTGCCCTGGACATGGTGAAAACACCGACGTGCTTTGCGCCATCGGAGCCAGTCTCCCTCCTGCGCTAGTGCTGGTGTGGTGAGCCGTGTCTTGTGTGCTCGCGGGAGCTCGACATGTGCAAGTCTAGGTACTGTGACTGCCCAGTGCGTACCCAGGTAGGTACGTACCTGGGTAGATGTTTTGGAGGGAGGGGCACATGTGAGAGTGAGGTAGAATACCTAGGTACGTACCGAACTGTGAGGGGAAGGGTTGAACAGCTCAAATCTTCAGCTGTAGATCTCACGGCTGTGGATCCAGTCTCCCGCCTTGGTCTCACAAAACCTCACAGTCGTCAACATATCCGTCCCAGGAAGGGTAGCAGCCGTCGTCTTGTCCTCCGCCATTATGATCCGAGGCCTGCAGCTATAGCTCCATAACGCCATAGCACCCATAGCACTGCAGCCTTGCTCCCCCATGTGCCGGTCAGGCCGGGCCTGCCACTCCAGCTGCTAAGGCGCGAGCCAGTGCTCATCGGGCGGCACCTTCCTCCATCCGGACGTCGCAATCATCGCGTCGACCGTCCTGCCGTGCCCTGCGCATCCCGCTGTCGTGCCCGACCAAATCCTGCATCAAACTCAAATCTACCTAGATAAATCTGATCTACGCGACTCTCGGCGTGCAGCAATCCCATGGCGGCCCCTCGACCCGGGGGAAGCCCATCTTCCTCCTACTCCCACTCCCCCTCCGCCATCCCAGGCCCAAGTCCAAGTCTCCCGACTGTGAGCAGGGCCAGAACCGTGACCGCCACCACCGCCTCCGGGCACTCCATTCCCACATCACAGCAGCTCCGGAGAGCCAGCAGCGGAGCGTCCACGAAGCTGATCCGGAGGGTCAACACTCAGGACAGAATAAGCGACATTCTAGAGGTATGCGCACTAGCCTGTTAAACTTTCTGCTTACTGCCGTCCCGTCTCTCTGCCAGCGCCAAGAGCGTTGTTGGATTATCCCAGTTTGGCAATCGATCGCTACCGGCTCATCGGTCACATGTCCCCTCCAACGGCCGTCCCATGACACGGCCATGGACGCAACCACATTACTCGTTTTCTTAAACTGCTACTTTGATCTCCTTGTCCCCTCGTTGTTTGTTTGTTTGTTTGTTTGTTTGTTCTACCCTGCACAGCCAACCAACCGCCCCCGTGACTGACGTGCAAATGCGGGCTCGTAGCTGGGCCGTGAACGCGCCGAGAGTATGTCGCCGGCTCGAAGCCCGCCAACCTTCTTTCGCCAGGGCGGCGGCAGCAACGACGAACTGCCACAGCAGGAGGAGCCGGACGAGACAACGGAGATCATCACGCGCGCGCCCAGTGGTGGTGCCCACCCGACCATGAACTACCAGAGCACAGTGGAGTCCGCGGGCACGAGGGCCAGGAAGGCTGGGGCGGAGAGGGGCAGAGACTCGCCCGCGGACGAGACGCGGAGGCCCGGTGACGCTAGGAGTGCGAGCAAGGGCAGTGCTCCGCTGGCCGGGGCCGGGAATGGCGCGCAGAACGGCCACGGAGATGCTGGGGGCAAGGAGGCCCAGGCGTGGTGGAGGACGAAGCTGGAGTACTTCGGGTCGATAGAGCTGGAGAACAAGGGCTCCGTCGCGAGGGACCACTTGGCACTTGGTAGGCAGGCCCCGGACCACCGGCGAGGAGGGAGGAGGGAGGAGACCGGTCGTCGTCCTCGACGACAGTGACACTGGGGCGCAAAATGGCTTACGGCTTACATCTACCTGCAGAGCGGACATTCCTCGCGTGGCTGCGGACGTCACTCGCCTTCGCCTCCATCGGTGTCGCCATCACCCAGCTCTTCCGGCTCAACACCTCCATCGCGGACAGCCCGTCCGACAGCGCCAGCCAGCACACCCTGCGCCACCTGGGCAAGCCCCTGGGCGCCGTCTTCCTCGGCATCAGCATCCTTATCCTCTTCCTCGGCTACCACAGGTACTTCCAGGCGCAGAAGTACATCATACTCGGCAAATTCCCGGCGAGCCGCGGGACCGTCATCCTGGTGTCGCTCGTGGCGCTGGTGCTGATGGTGATATCCCTGGTCGTCGTCGTTGTCGTGCAACCGAGCTCTCGTGCGGGGTGAGATTTCTCGGCGAACTGCTATGTGATGAAGGCTATCTATCTTGGGTGACGAATCTGGGCCGTGGTCAGCATGGTTGATGTGGAGTCCAATGTCATGGGCCAGGACTGGCGTTTGGGATGAGTAAAGCATAGCACGGCGCCGTTGACTCTGGGGTGATTAATATGACTGCATGGCTGGTTACGGCTGTCCAAACGAGACTCAGATGCCCGTTTAAATTCTCGCACTTTTTACGATATCAATGTTGGAGTAGTTAGTTGCTCGTCACCTGATTCAGGAGTCCCATATGTGACGTGATGCGAGGAAACAACGATGCTAGGCTGTATGAAATAAGATCGACCTCATCCACCAAATCAGTAATTTTTTTTTCCTGTCTCACTCACCTCACAAGTGGCGATTTTGAAAGTCCCTCGCTCCAATTGTCAGCCTGAGTGCCTCGGATAATTCCGCCCAGGCGCTTTCCGATCCACAAATAGCTCATGCACGATGAGCGGCGAATCTGAGCCCCAAGGCCCCGTGAGCCTCGCGTCACACCTCAAGGCCCTCGCGCCCCAAGACGGCTCGCGGGCGGAGCTGTTCGGCTCGGTGATACCGGCCGTGATAGACGCGGTGGGCGAGATCGCCAGGGCGCTGCAGAGGGCGCACCGCGTGTCACTCGCGGGCACGGCCAACACGTTCGGCGACGACCAGCTCAACGTGGACGTGGCGGCCGAGGAGGTCCTGCGCAAGGCGCTCGCGGCGCAGTGCGCGTCGGTCGTCACGGCCAGCAGCGAGGAGGACCCCGTCGAGAGGCCCGTCGACCACATCACCGGGGAGACCGCGGCCGGCACCGCCGTCGCGGCCGCGGAGCGCTACACCGTCGCGTTCGACCCGCTCGACGGCAGCTCCATCATCGCGCCCAACTGGACGGTGGGAACCATCCTCGGCGTCTGGGACGGCGCCACCGCCGTGGGGCGGGCGCCCGACGAGGGGCAGGTCGCGGCGGTGCTCGGCGTGTACGGCCCGCGCACGACGGCCGTGGTCGCGGTGCGCATCCCCGGCTCGGAAGCCCCCGCTGCCACGTGCTTCGAGGTCGGCCTGGGCGGCGACGGGTCGTCTCGGGACGCAGAGGTGCTCCGGCCGGCGGTGCGGCTCGCGGCCCCGCCGTTCAAGACGCGGTACTTTGCGCCCGCGAACCTGCGCGCCGCGGGGCAGGACGCGCGGTACGGGGAGCTCGTGAGCGGGTACATCGCCGAGGGGTACACGCTGCGGTACTCGGGGGGCCTGGTCCCGGACGTGGTGCACGCGCTGGTCAAGGGGCACGGGGTGTATGTCAGCCCCGTGACCGCGCAGAGTAAGGCGAAGCTGCGGAGGCTGTACGAGCTGTTCCCTGTTGCGCTCATCGTTGAGGCTGCTGGGGGGAAGGCTGTTGACCCCGCTGACGGGAGGAGGATATTGGATGCTGTGCTGCAGGGCACGGATGAGAGGGCGGGTCTGGCTTGTGGCACGGCGGACGAGGTTGATAAGGTGCGGCAGGCGCTGGTTGGCTGAGTTTATTAGGGGGGTACTTGGATGGCGGTGATGGCTCCCTTGATACAACTGTAGAAGTTGCTATGCAAGGTGGTTGGGTGTGAAACCGCGGGAATTGCCCTTCGACGGCCGTCAAGACACGGTCTCCCCAAACAGAACTCCAGCTGTCTATGGGCATAGTTGTTGGATTGCGACTATGCTTCCTCTCCCATGGGACGCTTCCTCTGAATTCCAGACCCCTTCCCTGGTATCTGTCCTTAAGACCGTGTATGCTGCGCCTGTTCGGTCGATCTGGGAGATAGCAGGATGTCATACCGCATAGCAGCCAGCCTGTACGTGCCACCTGCTCCGGCTTAACATATACCAACGGGGGCACGATTTTATCCAACGTCCAGGTCGACTGAGGGCCATAACTCTCCCATCCTGGCGTTGTTGACTCGCATTTGTGTCACTTGACCACTTTGGACGTGATGTTTACGAATCAGGCCGCCCTTTTCCATTCGAAGTCAAACAGCCCTCACAGCTACTACGACAGTAATTTTGCCAGTAACAATCCTTCCGTCTTATGGCCTTACCGTTTAGGTTATCTGCTGGCAGATTGAGATTACACAGTGCCTCGGCCAGTTTCTGCTTGGGAATCAGAGCAGGGAGTCCTTCCCCGATCAGTCTAAGAAACACGTGAACAGATCAATAGCACCACAGATGCTATGAAGGTGTCATCTATGACAGAAGTATGGACGTTTTATTGATTGTCTGAGTGTTCAGCCTACCATTCCGTGCGTGTCATTCATCTCAATCTCCATTTCAACCACCTCATTATGGGCGAAAGGAACAATGCAAGATACGCACATGGTAGCGATTTAAAAACGCCTTTGGCTTCGTCTTTTTCGCGAAATGGAAGGGCCGTATTCCTTGTGAAGGACATTGTCTCAATATCAACAACCTCACTTTTCCTTGTTCGGGTAGTGGCCCATTACCCGAATTGTCACGTAGTAAACAATGCCTCTAGACCCGACAGACAATGAAGACCTAATTCACAGTTCAAGAGTGTAAGACCCATACTTGAGGCGTCGAATATATAATCTCACATTAATTCTCACCTATCCCTTTCTCTTCGGTTCCCTCACTCTTCGCAAACTGCGGAAACCACCCACACCCAAAACCACCATCGTCTCTAAAGCTTGCAACTACAATGTGCTACTACTACAGCAGACAACGACGCTGCGAGTGTGGCTGCGTCACACACTCGTGGAACTACCGCATGATCTGCCTCAGGATGCGAGCCAGGGCTCTCCTCCGTCGGTCTCCAGAGGAGGATCTGTTCGGCATGTGCGGTACCGTTCGCTTTGAACTTTGCAAAGCGACCATCTCGGTCTGTGGCCCTTGCGCGCTGCAAGACACTCGGCAGCAACTGCTGGGAGGCAGCCGGACCAGGACCTAGGAACACCTGGACTTTGTCACGATCTGCAGAGTCCCTACCGAGGAGTATGAAGGAAAGGCTCGTTAGTTTGTGAGGACTAACAGGTTGGTTACTAGGGAGGTCCGGGAAACCCTGTGCTCTGAGTCCTGCTTCGTGACTGGGATCAATGTGACTGGTCACCCAAAGTGATGAGACAATCTACATCCAATGTTAGTGTCTCATAGAGCTCTCAGAGTTTAATTGGCCACTATTTCTTGCGTCACTTACTCTCAGCTCACCGTATTCTATCTGTCTGACGCACTTCTCAACCTAAGTGTATTTGTTCATTTTTGTCATTCACCTTTTCCCGCATGCGGAGAGCAACTTCGCTATGGACGAACAGGCTGGATGTATTAGAATGTAAAATGTTTTGGCCCGTTCTTTTATACTATTATCATTAGGTCTGCCAAGTGCCAAACTCTGTTGTTACCTCTACCTGAACTTGTGTGGGTGGCATTGGCGTATAAGATGATATTGACTTCAGTTGTCACTGTCAATGAATGCCAGTGAGGCACACCGTCTAACCTGGGTCTACAGTTAGTATTCCCAAATATACTACCGTTTGCTAAGCTCTCAAATCCCATGTGAGTGTCGGAGGCAATTCAGCCCGTCCATTACTGTGTGCGCAAGGATGCAGCTGAGAGTACTTAATTCGAGTGGTAATAGGTAATTAGGAAATCGAAGGCGCCTTGTTCCGCAAGGTCTAAAGGTAGACACCCAATACCAGCACAATGTGACATCATGCATCAACAGCAGTAAGCTATCGAGGTAACACTGGTAATGTAATCTTGTTCCCAAATAACAGAATTGTCTGCTACAGCTAATTGAGGCTTGTGTACGTACTGCGTTTGACTCAGAAACGCGACTATGTTCAACAATGCCGTCTTGTGGAATATAATTGTAATTGTTCCGGAAGATTGGGGATGCATTTGCCATAGACCGTACCCTGTACTCCTATAAACAGATAATGAAGGAGGAAAACAGATTTGAAGGCGCAAGCTACCTTGCAAAAAGCATCAGACAACATGAAGGGTACATTCAGACCACGTGTGAACGGGGTTTCAGAATTAGCTCTCCCATAACCGGTCCAGCAGGCTATCGAGCGTGAATGCTATCCCTTCATCAATCCGTGCGGTTTCTTACTTGTCACATGATGCAGTGATTTGTTGGACGAACGTTACCCCGGTTTTCTTACTAGTGTACTGAATAGAGATCATTCATGATGAAGGACAGAATAGCAACATTATGGATATTCAAATCGGATTAGTCTTGCGAGGAGAGTAGGACATGTTTTTGGCCTGTTTGTTTGTTTGTTCATGAGCCGTGGCCGTTTTGCCAGACCAATCAGTTTTGGTTGTGTTTGGCATTGGGCTACGGAGAAGTCTCCGAATAACATGGGTGGTTCTGGTACAAAAAAGAGCAAGTAAGAACTGACAATTTCCGGCTGGTGAACACAGTCTCAAAATGTAGGGAGCCACACGATCAGGGTCTGGGGGTGGGCCTGGGGCTGCCAGGGGCCACCATGCCCCAGAATCTGTCAGCGACTCGAGCGGCTGAGGGGCCTTCTGCCAATGAAAGATAAGGTCAATCCTTTAGGTAAGCTTACACTGCTATCGACTTTCATGGCCGAGGCAAAAGCTCGTGGTCAGCATCGCATCGAGATTCCCTGCCTTTTCATCAACATCATCTCTTCTTGACGCCGTCAGTCGCCTTTCCTTACGCAGACGACCCAGAAAGCGACCGCATACGACGACGTCGCCAATTGGTACCGTCGCGCGAAGTCATTGCTCGCTCTGCTCCACCCCCACCCAAGCATCCCACCATGTCTGGCCTCCTCCCAAAGATCGACCGGTCCAAGACCGTCAAGTCCAAGGACTACCGCGGGTCCAGCTCCTTTGCGACGTTCATGATTGTCGGGCGTGAGTGATCATTCGCTGGCGCTGCATCCCGCGCTGCTTGTTTTCTGTTTCGGGGAAACCGCATTACTGACCTACGCCACGCGACAGCCGTGTGCTTCTTCCTCGGCATCATCTTCGCGCAGTTCCCCTACGACTACCCGCTCCTCTGGACCTCCGAGCCCGTCGCGGCGTCCTTCTTCGACCAGCTCGAGACGCACCTGAAGTGGATGCACCAGTCACCGCCGCTCATCGCCCGCCTGCTGCACATCGTCATGGCCGTCGGCTTCCTGGGCTTCTTCATCAAGCTGTTCAAGCCCTCCGAGAGCAACATGCTCTTCGACGGCGCCTCCCTTGTCCTCTACGTCATCGGCATGGGCGTCTACCTCGCCAACATCGTCAAGGGCTTCAGGACCATATCGAGCGACCTATGGAGCAGCGGCGAGTTCCTCGAGAAACACGACGGCCCCATCACCGGGGAGATCATCCTCGGGCGCGACGACAGCCTCAAGGTCATGGCCGCGAGCAACACGATCCTCGCGCTGGTCCTGGTCGGGATCCTGGTCCTCCAGGGCGGCCAGTGGTACGCCGAGAAGAAGGAGCTGGACGAGTACGAGGAGATGGAGAAGTCGGAAGAGCAGGCCAAGGGCGCCGCGAAGAAGAAGCAATAGACGGGGGTTCGGGGCCTGCCGCCGGTCTACCTGCGCGGGAGGTACACCGTGCAGACTTCCTGCGCTTTGGGACGGCGGGAGCCGGGGTTTGGGCCGCCGATGCCGATCTTGAGTACTGCAATATGCTAGGTAATGCGATGTGAGACATGGGGGGGGGGGCTGTCGGATACTTGGGAATCTCGCTGCTATTACAGCCCAGCTACACCCCATTCAGGGCCACACTAGACGATAAGGTGTATAACACATGTACACACATTAAACAGTGAGAAGACAGTATCCACAGAATCCCACACGTCCCTGGCCCAATTCGTGCTCACTCTGGCATGCCCACACAAAAGAAAAAGTGTCATGACTGTTTTGGAACGCTCATTCAGCAGTGCAAATCGCCTCTGTCGTCAAACCAGTCCACTTGTTTCCTGCGATGGACGGTGTCACCTCGAAAAGTCGCTCGCTCTACAGCTCATGCCTGAGTACTTGCCTGATGATAGTAGCGCATGCGATAAAACAACGCGCGGCAGTCTTGTCATCACCCACGAGGCGAGTGGCACGTGCTTACCAGGGCTCTTGTCCATCTCCGCTCATCCGCGGAGGGAGATTGGGTGGCACCGGGAGGAAAGCGATGAAATGACGGTGCGATAGTGTCTTAGCAACAGGCTCAAGAATGCCCTCATCCCTCAGAAGTGGCTCGGTGTTTGAGGGCCCATCGGTAGAGAGGAGAGGGCTGCAGACGCAAGGTAGGATCAACAATGGTTGCCCGCCGATGATTGTTGAGAGGGCGCGAAAAGAAAAAAAAAAAAAAAGAAAGAAAACGGCCTGTTGCCGAGCTCGTTCCTGCGCAATGGACATTGTCTTGTGTGTTGGTGCATTCATCTCTTGATCTCGGGGCGTGACACCGAGGTTGGCAATCTTCAGAATAGGCGTTGTGTTAATCGAGTTGTTACACATTTGTCTGTAGTTGAGGTTTGCTAATGTCGGTACATATATGCAGTGTGAATCGAGGATACGAGAGAAGCACCGAGGTTACTGAGACAAAATTAAAATTCTACATACCAACCTCAGAGCTTAACATGGTCACTCATAGGCTCTTTTCACATATGAGCTACCGTAGGAGGCTGTCGCACCGTAATGCATACATGCCCTCCCTGTATGACATAGTCCAAATATAAGCGTGTCAATACTTCAAAATCACCACAAGGAACGAGTATGCTCAGGGAATTAATTATTCGAGACTCCAATTGCTATCAGATGGCCATCCCATTGAAGGAGTGTGGTACCTATGTGTTGGCAAAGTCTCACCGTCAAACAACTAAGTTGGCTAGCTACTCCACTCTCTGTCGTTTTCTTTTGCGTCTTGCGATCATCAGCTTCTCTCAGCCTTCTTTCTTCAGCTTCTTGTTCCGTTCACCTTCAATATTCAATTCAAACTCAATCAACACTTTCAACATTTCTTTCCGCTCGGCCCATAAGCCCTTCACACACCAAACTATGGGCTTGCGCCGTGCATCTCCAGAGAATACAAGAAAACAGAAAACAGAGAAACATCCAAGGTATCATCGGTATCGTGTCGTATCTGGTTGTGGTATAAGTGAGAGGAGGAAACGAAATTTGGAAAAAGAAGAACAGGAAACATGAGAACTTGAGTGGGGGAAATAGAAGCAGAAGAGAAAAAGAGGTCATTATGCCCAAAACGCCTTTCCAAAATGCAAATTAGCCACCCCGATAGTTCGTCAAATCGTCGTGAGCAAAAAAGGGGGCCTAGTGTGCTATGTAATTTATGTGATGCGGACTGCGCCCCTAGATCATGTTCCCGTTCACGCTGACCTCGAAACCCTCCCCCTTCTGGCGCAGCGCCTTGGCCAGCATCAGCTCCCTCATCCAGTCGATCCTGTCGTCGCGGCTGCGGACGGCGAAGTGGTGCGTCTTGCCGGTGCCGTTGACGGCGTCGGGAGGGGGTGGGGGGGCGCCCGCCGTGTCCACGGCCATCGCGCCGTCCCAGCTGCCGTTGCGCTGGTGGCGCCCCACGGCGGCGCCGCTCATGGAGCTCTCCCTCTTGCGGAGCCTGGGCAGGCCGCCGGCCTTGATGTCGCCCTGCGGGATGAGCTGGAAGCTGAAGGCGGCGATGTCCTCCTTGCTGATGCCCTTGTCCTTGCGGATGCTCATGGCCTTGAAGGCGGCGTTGAGCTTGGACGTCGACGCCAGCGACGAGCACGCGATCGCGTAGTCGTCCACGTCCACGTACTCGAGCGTCCTGTCGATGGCCTCGTGGTCCTTGTGCACCGCGAGCCGCGTCCCCTTGAGCGTGACGTAGTGCTCGTGCCACTCGTGGCGGAGCATCTTGGTCTTGCGCTTCTTCATGTAGCCCTGGTACTGGTAGTTGTTGGGGTCCTTGGCGTGGCCGCCCAGCGGGGAGCCGATCTTGGTGCCTGAGGAGATGCTGCTGTTGGGCGTGTGCTGGCCGCTGCCGCTGCGGCTGCCCGATGAGCTGCTCCCAGGGCCCTTTGGCAGCGGGGCGATGGCCGTCTCGAACTGCCGAGCACTGGCTGGCGGCGACCAGGGCCATTGCACCCGGGGTGGGGGCTGAAGTGGCCGCTGCTGCTTAGACCTGGGGGAAGTCTCTGATGTGGTGATGGGGGAGGGCACACGGCGGTGGTTCGCGGCCTGGGTCGCATTGTTCTCGTCCAGAGGCGGCATGGTCAGGAATGATCGCCTGCGGAAGGTGGACCGTGATAGAGAGCGCGGTGGGGGGTTGGTGACCGAGTGATAGTTCATCTCTGGGGGCACGGACTGAGAGGTGTCTCGGGCGATGGGTCCCATAGGCACTGCAGTGACTGGGACGTCCATCTCGGAGAAGGGCGTACCGAAACGATAGACGCCATTTGGCGTGTTTGAACGCGAGTCCGGTGAAGGGGATGGCGATGGCAGGGAGAACTGACGCTGTTGGGCAGCGAACGAGGGCTGTGAAGGTTGGTTGAAGGGATGCGCAGAGGAAGGGTATGCTGAGCCAGGGCACGCCGAGCCCGGGAAGGCCGACTCTGGCACGTCCTCGACCGGGCGGCTGCGGCTGCTGGGCTGGGCCGGGATGGACAACTTCGAGAGGGACCGAAGACCCCCGTGAGGTGCCTTGCGGGGAGGAAGCATCTCAAACGGTGGAGTCGGTGGAACCTCGCTTGAGGAAGTGGTATTCTGGAGCTCAAGGAACTGGCGCACATTGTCCCGCTTCTGTTGCTCCTGGGCGTTGCGCAGGGTGGCCTGCTGCAGGTACTGAAGGGGAGGGAGCCCTTCTGTACCGAGAACATCTGACGAAGCCACGACTGAAGGGACGGCGTCAGAAACAGGGCGGAAGACAACCTCCTCATCAGGCTCGATCCTTCTGGCTGTCTCAGGGTTCCCTGGGTCACCGGCAACCATGATGACGCCGCCGCTGTCCATGTTGACGAAAGGATGATCGTTCTTGAACGCCTCGATCATTCTCTGCTGTTTCCGCCACTTGCGACAGTTCTCGCCCTTGGAGCACTGGTGCGGCTTGGGCATGACCTGCTCGATGCCGACGATGGAAACGGACTCCCCGGGTCGGATAGTGTCCTCATTGTGAGGATGCTTGCGCCTGCGACTGCTCTGGCGACGCTTCAACTCACCGCCGTTGTCCTGTTTGTCACGCCTCTTCTCCTCCCTCCTCACCTCCCTGCTCGGCTCGTCCTCTATGGGCGTGTCAGGCTCGGGCGGGGCAGCGCGGATGTCCTTCATGACGTGGATTTCCTCCCAAATCTTGGTCCTCACGCCGAACGAGGCAATACCCAGCTCCTTCAGATCCTCAAACTTCAAGGTAATCAAAATCGCGCCATTAATGTCATTCTCGACGAACGTCTCTGCGAACTGCAGCTCAACGCCAGCATTGAGCATCCACTGGGCGACCATCTCGGGGGACCACTGCGCCAGATTCTTGGTTTCCAGCTCCCGGCTCGTAAATTGGAATGGCCCGTCGCGAGGCGCCCTCGGCGTCGGAAGATCCAGATCCAGGGTAATGGGCATCTGGTAGTTGACGTCGCGGTTGAACACCTTTGGTGTGATGGGCGACAGCGAGAGCGCATTTTCGTACTCGACCGAATTCGCACTGCTAATGGAACTGCGAAACAGGTGAGGTCCTCTTGGGCCGACAATTGGCTTTACGGGGTCGGGCCCCATCTCAAACCGTGCGATTGACCGCTGCTCGGGAGTGCGGATTTCATCGTACGTCGACAAAGTTGTCATGCTAGGCCCGCCTCTGGACTATATTGGGATTTTGCGTCAGGGAGAAGACTCTCTAATCGGCTGAAGGAGCCCATAAGGCCAGGCAATGGCGCAGCGAGGTACTTACGGAGTCGAGACTCAGACGTGGAGACGAGTCGCCGTCGTCGAGCTCGCTGAGGATGTCATCTTCCTCCCAGTCTGTCTCCATAAACTCGGTATGCACCGAGTCCGGCCTCGGTGGGGGTACATTCTTGACCGAGAAGAAAGTTTCGCGGAAGTGAGACTTCTCCATCATTTCTCGGTGTGGCCTCTCGGCCATGGCATGCCTTGAGGCGAATTCCTGTGATGTCAGCGAACTGTGGCTCTGGGGCTGCTGCCGCGGGCTAGATGTTGTACTACTCACCATTTTGGGTGGCTCCGGTGTTCGGTGCCGGAGGTTACCTGGACGGTATATTTGTGCGTTGGGACCGTTCCGGGCTGCTGTTGCCAGCGGTGGTTCTTGTATTTGTTAAACAGTAGGAAAAAGTGCCTGTTCGCATTGATGATGTTGTCGGTGCCAGCAACACTGAAAGGAAATATCCCGCTATGCTCATATAATCAAGGAAAGGTCGCAAACCAGGAAAAGGTTCGGACCACGATTCGTTTGGGCGGGCGCCTACAGGAGGTTATGTATGGCAGGACGAGACAACACCACGCTTGCGTGAGAAGATTCACAGCGCCGGCATATGCATGAGAACGGTCGGTCACAGGTGTGATGGCGGGCAGAGAAGAGTGTTTCGAACAAATAGAGCACGGCGGTGGGGCGACTGGGAGCAGGTGAGGAGAGGTAGCCCGGCGCAGTATCGGTGAGCAGCTGGTACATGCGTCCACGCGAGGTGGAGAGGGCGGAAACAAGAGCGAGAAAAAGCCTTTCTCTCGCTAGACAGGCCTCCGCATCCCAGGCCGGCAGTGTATGCTTCTCGCTTCTCAGTTGTGATGGGCATGGCAGGTTGGAGGCCGGACAGGCACTGACAGGGCAGACCGACCCTCCACGAGCAGCCGGCGGTGGTGCCATGGTGCGTGTCCCGTGTATTTTTGGCAGATCCATAGCGAGAGACGGGCCAGTCAAGCACGTCTCGCAGCGGCAAGCGGGCCAGAACCGCGGGCTGGTTGGCTACAGAGTCGGGCATCAGGGAGCGACAGCAACAGCGACGGCCATGAGAGCTGCGAGCTGCTTCTTCTGGGTGGTGATTGGCGTGGAGGTTGGGGAGGTCCCTCCCGTGATTGGCTCCTCGCAAGCGCCGGCCGTTGACCTCTGCCCATTGGGCGGGAGCGAGGCATGGGAATCCTCGCCTTGGGCACGTAGCGTGGGGACAAGGGCGAGGCTGCCAGGGTCCGGGGGGTGAGCAAGAATGCGACGTTGAGCAAGCCAGGGTAAGGATTGAGGGGTATCCACCGCGGGCCCCGAGGAAGAGGGTGTGCCTCCATGCACCTGTTCACTATCACCGCGAGCTGCAGGTCCACTGTTCATTGTTCATTGTTCGCGGGTGTGGCTGCTGGGGAGGAGGAGGTGGTGGCCTCAATTGGGGCTGGCAGACTGCTGTCTTCCTGTCTGTCTGTGTCTCCGTCCGTCCACCAGTCAACTGCATGCCGACCCTCAGGGTCACAATCTTCCCCAGCTTTTGAGCTGTCTCCTAGAGAGATGGGTGACACAACTTCCTCGCGAACACAGTGAACACAGGACGGGGTCCAACAAGCTCGCATGCTGCATAAGCTGTGGCTTGCGTGGGGTTAGCATGGGGAGGGAGGGAAGAGAAAGACGGCAATACGGGAGGATTTGCTTCGGCTAGCACTGCATGACTCTCTGCTCGACGCTTCCCCTCATCTTGTGCTCCCTGACCATATTACTGCATGGGTCTCACAGTGGCCACAAGCAGACAGTGGCCGAACGGCCCAAGGTGTGCGCGGGCCGCTGGCGAGCGCGGGAAAAGAAGGGTCTCGATCGTCGCATCATGGGGGGCCGCGAAAAGAGAAGACGGCCGACTAGACCACTCGGTCGTCCCCCATGTTCGCCTTCTTTTTCCCTGCTTGTCCTCGGAAAGCCTAGATTCGGCCTGCCGTGGATCTCCCTTCTCCTCTTGGGAATGCCCACAGCGGCCCCTGGTCGAGCAAGATTTTGCCTTTGTGGGAACCGTCCAGGTCCGCCATTCGTCTCTCTCCGTGTGAGACGGGCTCGCCCGGGAGCTGTGTCCAGGGAATGGAGACCAGGCGATCTGCCTCATTCCCGCTCCTTGCTCCTCACACGTCCAATGGACTCGATGCTCGGCATACATCGTGACCACGCCTCGGGGCCACATGACCTGTGTAACGCCGTTTCTGTGGCTCGCGACGAGAGCTGAAGCTGGGTGCCAGATAACGGGTCGCCGAGGTCACCCCAGCAGGCCCGTCTGCCTGGCAGGCCTGTCTGTCCAGCTGCAGACCAGACATGGGGGAATGACGCTATCTGCGGCCAATCTGCAGGCCATGTACTGCGGTAGGGCTCGAGCTTCACCTTGGTCAAGCCTCACTTTTGGGGGACCTGGTCGATAACCCACAGTTGGCAAATTATGCAGGTGTCACTCGGTCCGCTTCCGCAAGGAACTCTGGGTGCAAGCTGCATATGCGAGGGGCTTATCACACAGCATCACTTCTTTCATTAATCAATGCCTGCGGGACTGCTTGCCTTCTGCAAAGCATACTGAATGGAGACGAACATCTCCTTGGCCATCTATCATCAGACTCGGTACCAGCCGCACGAAATCTGCTCGTGTCGTTTTGGGAGAGCTGTTCGGGGCACAGTGGCAATCCTTTTCCTCCTCTTGGTGGAACTGGAAGAAGAGAGTGTGTGTGTACGTGGCTGTTGGCGAGCAAGCTTGGGATTTCGATTTCTCCCGTCACCCAGCCCGCGATTGCCACATTGTCCCACATTTAATATGCAGGCTTCCTGCTCACTGCACGATGCAATCGTGAAATCGTGAATCAAGCCGTCGACCGCTTCACTGCATGTCAGGTCGGCCCAGCCACCAGGCGCCCAGAGCACGATGACGAGCACCGAAACCCCCACCTCAGCTCGCGTTGTTCCGCAGCTCACCGACAATCCGATCCATTCGAGAAAACTTCAGTCATGTCGTACATGGTGTAAGACCTTGATTCACCTTGGGCACCTTTGCCTGCTTTCGTGCCCGAACCCACGGGGACCAGAACGGTGTCGTTGTCTCGGGCGGGCACCGACCCACGTTTCGCTTCGGCCCTGTGCTTGCGTACGGCGATGGCGGTCAGATTTGGATCGTATTTTGTCTCCGGCATTTGGCCATCTGTAATCGGCGGCCCACAAAGCCACATGACAACCAGAGCTCCTGGAGAAACTGTTCCCACCAGAGGCCGCAAAATGAATTTTTTCTTGTCCCCCTTGCACGACTCCGCACGAAGTTTTCATCGATCTGCTTGTCCGGCCTGTGAGACCGGTGAGGACCGATCCTTCCTCACAAAAAAGTTGACAGGACCCACCCAGCCGAGTGATAGATTCACTCCCATTCTGAATGAGGAAAGTGGACTGGTTCGCTGCGAACCCACACCATCAAGTTGCTTGCTGGCACACAGAGGCCTGTTGTGCAGATGTATGCAGCGAATGCCCACAATGAAGGCGACGTAGACACCTATTGTGGCCATGAGGGTCTTTGGGAGGGCCTCACATGATGATGACAGAATGCGAGGCCAATGAGCCTAGCCGGATCGTGGTGTGTGGTTGACTCAGAGGGACACACCAGCCGTTGCGCGTTTGATGACAGTCCACTCCTGATTGATGAAAACCCACTCCCACGCAGAGGAACAGGTTCAATCAAAATGGCAGGCGAGGGTTCCCGCGGCTGCACTAAAACGATGCAATTGATGCAAATCCACATCCGGTAAGATCGTCTGCCAGGCCTGACGGTTTGGGATGATTGTAGGCCCACGACAGCTCTTGCCCGTCGCCACCCTTGGTCCTTTACAGAAGGTGTGTGTGCATACTTCCTTGTGGCTGTCGGTAGGGTCGCTTCAAGGGATATGAGCAGTCTCGTAGACAAGATTGCTGACCATGGGATATGAGGCCCCTTGAACACCAATATCTCCAAGGACATATCTCGCTTCATCGCCTAGCACTGCATGGTGCGCATTGACCCACGGTTTTGGGCATGAAGCAACCCCGGATCCCGCGTAATGGGGACGCAGCAATGATCTCCAGATGGCCCGAGTGGGAAGCCGGGAACCGTAACCACGGTTGATGCTAGATTCCAGTCTGGCGTCGCAGTCCTATGGAAGTACTGGGAGACTAGACTGTTGGGAACTGCACCTTCTCAAAAGCCTCACAGGAGGTGGCTCTGGAGCCCCCAGGTGTTTCCTTGCGCGGGAGAGTTCATGCAGCAACAATGGGGATCTGGGGCATCGTGAAGGTTCGTGGATGGCATTCGCTCTTCCGGGAATTGACCAAGGCTCGAGCATGATTCATGGCCTGAAGACTGATTGCTTTGTCATGACTTGGATCCGACGAGATAGCGTTCCGCTCCCACATTGCGAGCTCGCTCTTGGCTGCTGACGAAGATGGACTGGATTTCTTGAATGGATGGAAAATGCATTAGCCTAGCCGAATGACAAGGCGACGACACCATCTCCGGGATCTTCCCCAAGATAACGCCTGATCGAGACCACGGAAGCTGCAAGGCTGGTCCTGGACATCACGCATCACATCAACTATTGGCTGACAATTCCAGAATCAGAGACGCGTATACGAGTACACCCCCTCCGAAAAGGGGAAAAAAAGAAGTTTGCCATAAATGAAGCTGGTGATAGGAAGGCCAGATGTCTGAGCGCTCATCAATGCTGAAGCTTGGGCTGTTGGGACGACATCTCGCATTCCTTCGTAATCAAACTCAACCATCGGATCAGGGCAGGAGTGTGGTTGCAATTGGGGAGTGACGCGGACGTCATACATACACAACAGCAGCCGACACTCGTGCCAGCCCAAGGAAGCCCCCTATGAATCCCCATGGGTCGAGGACGAGGCCAAGGACGGGACCGAGGGCGAGCAAATGTTGATGGTTTCTTCGGGTGTGAAGCTCCTCTGCCGACATTCCGGCTTGAAAGACGGTTGTGAGGTGACAGAGAGAGACCCGATGTGGATATATGCGATATTGTCCTATGGGCCAGGGTCTCATTTGCTGCTGACCGGTGTGGGTGGTGAGGGTCTAACGTGAGTTCCCGAGTGCGAATTAGACAGAGTGCACAGCTTCTGTGGGCTTGGGACTTGGACGATGAAGCCTATCACGGCATCTGGCCTAAGACCATGAGCGAAGATCTGCCCAGGCGAGCGCGGCGAGTGGATGGCAGGCGAGTCAAGGATGGGGCTTGAATGCGATCAGCCCAAAGAAAATCTCGGGTTCGTCCAGGCCCCAGAGCCGGAGGTAACGTGGGAGAAGTTGGGCCGTGGGAAAGGGCAAGCTTTCCCGCATGTTGCGGCATGGAAGGATAAATGGTGGGCCAGCAGGCCGTATCGAGGACCAGGGTGGAGGCCACTGCTCAGAAGGGGACCAGGCGAGATGGCTGAGTAAGAGGCTGCGGCCCGAAATTGTTAGCGGAGCATGTCGAGGCCGAAAGCTTCTTGTCGCCGTGACGCCATAGGCGACTCACGCGGCGGTTGCGCTTGTCGTGCGAGCCAAGGCCAGCTCGAATTGGCCGTGTAAAAATAGCATGCGCGGATGTCGAGCTGCCGGGTTGCAGCGATCGATCAATAGCTCGAGCACAAGCGCCGATGGAGGGCGGCTGGGTGAGCAGGAGAAGCCTGGGGAACCGTCGATTCTCGTCGTCCTGGCAGTCTGTCAGTTCTGCGTGCCAAAATTAGACCAAGGACGGGTCCCCTGGCTGTTGAACGCTTGTTTAGCGCGCGCAAGCATCGCATCACAGGCGCGTACTGTGCAGCTGGACCTTGGAGACAGGGGGGATGCTCTGGGACTTTGGTACTTGGGTCTTCATCAGCCGATGGGGAGGGGCGCACGTGCCACAGCGGAAGGAGCCACCAGCGGCCCTACTGTCGCGAAGTCGTGCAGTCCTTCCGCGATGGGTGCAGGCCAGTGCAGCCATGCGCCCCTGGTCCCTGAGCCTGAGCCTGACCCCTGGCCCCTACTTCCCGCGGAGTGGGGCTCTTGCGCTTTCGTCCCATGGGATGCGGGCCCGTGCTTCCTGTCTGCAGGTCGCTTCTGCACGGCCATTGGCCCAGAGGCTTGCCGGCTGCGGAGAAGGTTGCTGTGCATGCCTGTGCCGCTCGAGCCAATCCGATCTAAGAACGGCCCGAAGCTACTAGCGCGGCCCACCCCAGCGTTACATCGACCTGCCTGCGGTATGCAGCTCCCACAGCTCGTCACTTCGTCTCGTCCAATCCTCCTCCATCTCGCACCCTCCCCATGCAACCCTCGACACCCGCGACACCACCAGCCCGACACCAAGTGCAACCCCATTGTGCCCCCCCTTGGCCCGTCCAGCCCCCCTTCCCAATTCAGCATGCACCGTGCGCGCAGCTGCATTGTGCATGGAAGCTGACCACCCGCCTCGACCCAAGCCCAAGCCCGACCTCAACCAACCGACAGCTCCTCACCGGTGTGCTGCACGCCTACCCTGACGTCGTGCAACGCTGTCCGTCCTCACCCTGCCTCTTGCCATCTGAGCGGCATAGCGCGCTACAGCCGTCTCCCACCTCCCAGCCGAGCATTGCTTGCAGAAATCACTGTCAGACGAGTAGTCGTCCAGTAACACGAGTGTTACTCGATCACACGGCAACAATACCTCCGGCCCACGCCTCTATCCGTCGTGCCTCTCCACGAAATTCGCTCCATGCCACGCCCGAGGACGGCCTGTGAGCTGGGTACCTCGCAGGGATCGCCGTCGTCCCCCACCCCCGATCCTTCTTGTCCTGCCACGAGTCGCGGCCACGCTCCACGCAGAGGAACGTAGTAGTTGGTGCTGTCTGCTTCTGCCGCACGGTACATACCGTATCAGCCGTCCTAGCTATCGTCAACCAGATCATGGTCCAATGTCCCCCCGACTGGGTTGCTCCTGGCCGGTGCGGTCCCAACTGGCCCTCGGCCCACCACGGATGGGGTTTTCCATGATAGAAGGATACAGAACATATCAAAGAATAGATACTGTACAGTCTTCAGCCCGGACTCTATCCTACGTCGACATGGATCAGTCCACCATCACGGCTTGGATCGAGAACGCTTGGAGGAAATCAAGCATACCTTGCAATACTTCCTAGCTGCCAACAGACCTTTCCGGACGGGCTCCATCCTACCCTGGCCCCAGCGGATGCAACCACATCGCTCAACGGGCTGCTCATCTCAAGCTAGCTTGGACCCATCATTGCGCGTTGGGGTCGGGGAAGCTATGGGTTGCTGCATCTGCATTCGTGCAATCTAAGATGTGGGTGGCCTAGGGGTAAACGGGAAGATGATCATCAGATGAGAGTCGAGTCCGCTCCCACGCCTGCCATGCTCGCCGTCCACTACCCCTCCGAGACATACGCTACAGATTTTTCAGCCACAAATGCGTCCTCGAGAGTGTGCTATTGATCTCCCCCCCTGGCCAGTGAGACCCGGCACACTCAACAACAGCCGGTTATGTGGTGCTGAGGAATTAACCTGCGGGGCATCGATGTCAAACTTTCGGCAAAGTCCCGCTTCAACTTGTCTGCCACACGGCAGTAGTCTACATGATCACGACTGCGCTGTACAGTGTCATGACCACCGCCCCCAGGTGGTACGTCGTGACCTAAACTCCATCCCAATCGACAGGTCGCTATATTCCTACGCAGCAAGGCGCGGCCATGGTTCAATGCATGCGTACGGCCGAGCTGCCCGGTGCTGGCCATTTTCAGACCACCATTTGGGGTCGTGCGCCAAATCTTGCGGGATCAGATCTGCAAGGCAACCAGGATCCAGGCAAGCCATGTATGCATGGCAATGGGCGACCGTCGTTAGCTTCCTTGCGGGCTGCATGATCTCTGCACAGTTGCGCCAATAGGTGGGATTACACGGGCAACCATCAGGCCAGAGCTGCCTCTTTAGTCGCGCAACTGCATCGGCCGGCATCGCGAGCGGTACAATACCCTTGTGCCCTTGTCCTCGTCCTCCTACCAGAGCTCGACAACGCCATCTCTGGGTGGGGCAGATGCTGGCTCCCACATCCGAGTGAGACCTTCTGGGCGACCGCTCATTGGCAACAATAAGCGCAGGACCCATATTGACGTGTGAGCACATGAGGGGGAGAAGGTCACTTCCCGCCCATTGCGCTATGCCCAGGTACCTGGGCCCTGCACAGAAGCCTGGCCAGTTGCGTGCCCTACCTGCTTTTCCGTGGTAGGGCGAGGAAATGTGGCCCAAAGATAGGAAAGCGTGTCATCGTGCTGGCAGTTCCAAAATTAGAATCTCACTCAACCCGCAAAACCAGCAGCGGTTCACGGCCGTCGAGATGGCGGCCACGATATAAGTCTTTTGAGCCATCCAACACAGGCCCTGCGATATTTTGTTTCTCTCTTGTTCAAGGTCTATGGGTTATTAGGTGTCGTCCAGTTAGAGTCTTTGTCTTCTCTTTTAATATCCCCCCTCACGGTCTATCAGCACACGGTCAACATCGGCTTTCCTTTTTTCGAAACAAATCCAGTCAACAGCAAGCCGGCCTTGCTCGCAACCAGTCAATCATTCACATACCAAACCAAACAATCGGACGAAAATCGCCGTGTCAAATTCTTAATACTAGTATCTGGCTCCGGAGAGACTGGGGCTTTGGTTTTTCTTCGGCACAACAACCCCGAACTGGCCCGTCGAGCTTGCCTTGCGTGAGAAGCGAGTGCGGATTGCGAGCTTCTGGACTTCGACAAGGACTTGGGAGACCCCGGCTTGTGACCCTCCCGCTTTCGCTCGGCCCAGAAGATCAACCAGGTCGACAGTCCACACCCACCCCCCCCCCAGCCACCCCTACCCTCTTTACTCCCACGCCCCCTGACCGGGTACCCCTGGAGATTGCCTCTGCACGCAAGGTACCTGCCTTGAATAGGTCCGAGGATACAAATGTCAACACAACCCCCCAACGGTCACCACCACCGAGAGGAACTCATGAGAGCATCGCAAGCCAACATGGCCGTCGCACAGCCAACAAAGACCAAGTCGGCCTCCAAGGCTACCAACAATGCCACCTCGAAACAAAAGGCACAGATGCATCGTCGCTCCAGAACAGGTTTGTGCCGTTTTCCTCATGTGCTCCCACTCACTGCTCGCTCTGCTGGACTTACACCAGCGCCGCTTTCCCTTCCTGGCCTGCCGTCTTGGTCGCCTGCCCACCCCTTCCGTCCTCACTCTGCAATTTGGGGGCTCCAACTGTTGGCCATCACACTCAGAATTCAATGGCTAACATAATTATTTCTTGGAGGCTGCTACACTTGCAGACTGCGACGGAAGAAATGCGACGAAGGCACCCCCATGTGCTCGGCGTGCAAGCATCTCGGTCTCGTCTGCGAATACAAGCGACCCATGTGGTGGAGCAACAACGATGCACGAAGAAAACACAAGGACGACATCAAGATGATCATCAAGAGGAAGAAGCTGTCCGAGAAGGCCTCGCACTCTCATTCTCACACAATCCAGACCTCGATGCCTTCACCACCCGGCCTGTCACATTCACTCCCCACATCGGCCACCTTCTCCGATCCCCTTGATCGTACAAGGTCTCAGTCGATTGATTCTCAGTTCGCCTTCGACTTCAACAGCCCACCACAAGTCACCGAGCCATTTGCATACAACACGCAGATGCACCCGGATTTTGTGTTCAGTGGCATGTCTCCCTACGCGCCTTACGAGGTCGACGTCAAGACAGAGCGGCAAATGTTTGTCAACGACGTTCCCACCCTGAGGGAAACCTCGACATCGACGTTCAGCACCTACACCACTCCCCCACCGCCCGGTACCATGCTCCCTTCATCATTTCCCATCGACGGGGAGTGGACCGAGCAGGTCAACTTTGAACGAAGGGAGTCGTTGGCTGAGGAGACTCTGAATTGCAACTTCTTCGATTTCGCCCACGGCCCTGCAATGGACACAAGACAAGTTGCCATCGAGCTTGATGAAAGCGACCAGAGACTCCTCGATCACTTCATCCAGTTTGTGCTGCCTACCTTGTTTCCTGTCCTGGAGTCAAATCAGCATGGGTCCGTTGGCTCGGATCTCATCTTGCCCGCTCTGCAGAGCAACAAGGGCTACCTGCACTGCTGCTTAAGCATCGCAGCGCAGCACTACAAAGCCATGATGACCCAAAACGGCGATGTCGACACCGATATGCTGCAGCAGATTGACAGCGATATCATGCGCCACAGGTACTCGACCATTTCCTCCCTTTGCGACGCCCTCAACAAGGATGAGGACCACCAGGAAATCCTTGACGCCGCTTTGGGCCTCATCTTTTTCCAATGCTGTGTCGGCCGTTTTGACGACGCGCTCCCCGACATTGCCTGGCACCAGCACTTCCAAGCTGCCATCTCGCTTGTGCAGAAACTCGACCTACCCCACATGGTCTCCGACGAGCACCACCCCCTCTCCCAGACACCCTTCAGCATGACACTCACCGCGTGGATTGACGTGCTTGGCGCGACCATGATGGGCCGTGCGCCCACCTTTGCCCACACTTACCGCGAGAAGCACTTGTCCCAGGTAAACCACTCACTCGGTCTCCGCGAGCTCATGGGCTGCGAGGATCGCGTCATGTACCTCATCAGTGAGATTGCCTGCCTTGAAGCGCTCAAGCGCGATGGCATGGACGATATTACGCTGTGCCAACACGTCCATGTCCTTGGTGACCAGATCGGTTTCACGGAGATGGGCGAGACTGGTCCCAAGATGCCCTTCAACGCCAACGGCACGCTGAGCCCTAAGCAGCTGTCCAAGAACATGACACAGGCTTTCCGCCTCACAGCGCGCATCTACCTGTGCAGTCTTGTGCCTGGATTCAACCCATCCCAGCCTAGCTGCATCGACCTCGTTGAGCGTCTGACGAACGTCCTGCAGCACATCCCGTCCGGGCCAGGTGGCTTTGACCGTTCCCTGGTTTGGGTCTACCTGCTCGGCGGATCTATGAGTGGCGTAGGATCGACGTTCCGAACGTTCTTCGAAGACCGTGTCGCCCAGCTTGGCGACCAGGCTGACTACGGCTCATTTGGCCGCGTGGCTTCCTTGCTCCGCGAGGTGTGGGCCCGTAACGCTGGTCTTGCTTGCTCGCCGAGCACCGCGACAAGCGCAGCGGCTGGCATCAAGCCTGAGGAACCGCAGCAGCAGGGACAGCAGGCGTTTGTCCACTGGAGGGACGTGATGCAGATGAAGGGCTGGGATTTCCTGCTCATCTAGATGATGCTGCGAAGGGATACCCTGACATCTGTGCCTGCGCCTGCTTCAATCTATCGCTTGTCCCTGTTCCTGACGGTGGTGACTGGAGCGATGCAGGGTATCGCTCCATTATCGACACACGAAAAGACGAAACTGAAAAGAACACGCACACATACCCATTTATATTTCAACTTATACCCCCTTTTTATTTGAGATTTGACCAAAGACCCTAGAGGCTGCCGCAAGGCAAAATTGAGATGAGTGGACTTCATCAACGATACCTAACTTCTTGGACGACGCTGGACCTTCAATGGACGACCGCAGCTGGACTGGAAAGCTGCGCTTTTATTTTTGGATTGTTTTGAACGATGATACGGATAGGCGACGGCACGGGTTGCAAGCGAGATGTTGACAGGCGAACAGTGCCTTTGGGCTTGATGCGATGGATGATAAGACGAACTTGCTTGTTGTTATTTCCAGCTTTTCCCGTGGTTGTTCGTCATCAATTGGCTTTCCTCTCGGTATACCAAAGCATCATATGGGGCCAGGAGTTTTTTGCTGTATGCTTTCGACGTATCGGGATCGCTGGTGTTTCCTGGGATACCAATCCAGTTGTTTGGAACAACTTATTGGGGCATTTGGAATTGTGTCTGGGAAAAGACAAAGAGATGGTCAGGATATACAGGCGAGCGCGCCGCTTCCTCCTCTCTTCTTGGGAGTCGCCCGACCTTTAACCTGGGGGCAAATGTGTAATTAAGTCGATAAATACTCTCCCAAACAAAGAGCAGAACCAAAACATTTGAATCAAACCACTGCTGAGAAGCCGTCTATTGGGGACCTGATAAGTAGACTTGAAACCATCCTGGGCTCTGAGGGCGGTTACTGTCGTTGCCACGGAAGCGCACAGCGAAAAAAGAATGGGGTGTCGAACTTTTTTCTGGCCCTTCTAGACGCGCGCGAGGGACCACGGGCTGAGCTCTGAAGCCATCGCGGCCAGTCAGCATCGAAAACCGGGCTGGCGGCAAGGAGATGAGTTACGTAGAAAGCCCCCCGTCCGCCCTCCATCCCCTGGGCCGGCGTGCCGCCGACTTTGAAATAGGGATGCTCTCATATGGGATTGACGCTTTACTTATCTCTAGCTCATACTATTCTGAGTTTCATGTAAATTTTCAAAAATTACTTCATTGATTGAAGCCCGGCTGCGGGCAATCAATCTGCACATCTTGTGTCAAGACTGCGTGATGTCCTGGCCGAGGCGGTTACGAGCAATTTTCACGAGTGTCGCGGAGGCGGCCACAGGCGGTCGAGTCGCGTGGCCATCTTACTTGCTCGAGACACGACTTCTCTCGTCAGCACTTGGGTACGGAAGGGAGCCAACCGGCTACACAGTTCTCACATCATCATCTTCACAAAATCCTCAATTCATCAACGTTGACAGTACTATCTGAGCATAAGCATTCGTCCCACTTACACAGACCCTAACCCTTGCAGCTTGAGAGGAATCAGCACCCTCCCTCCCCCGGCGCTGAAGAAAACGAATCAGTGGGGGCGTACGGCGCTGGCCGTGCTTAGGCACAGAGGTGGCTTGAAACAAAAGCCCCTCCCCAGGATGGGACCCAGCCACGGCAGACAGGGCAAAACCTGCTTCTCCATTTACCAACGTCCAGTCATCCGACTGAGGTGGCAGCCCATGTGACCGCTTCTCCTCTCCTGCAACGACAGCATTCCAGTCATCCCAGGCCACGTCAAGAGGAGGAGCCATCCATTCGCCCCGTCTCCTCCATTCGCATTCGCAGCAAGGCGGAACCGTGACGATGGTGAGGCACAGAGGAGAAGGAAAAAAAAAAAAGAGTCATCGTCACGAGCAAGGGAGGGGGCAGGGGAGCGAGAGAGAAAAAACCTTGGTCATTGGCAAGCGAAGCGGACACCAGCCGATCAATGTGGCTTCGCGTCTGATTTTTTGGGTTCTTGATAGACCTACTCCCTCCCATGTGACCTCGGTGCGCTACTACTGTAATCTACGTGTTGAGTTTCACGATGGGTTCACCGATGATTTGGCCCGTGGCGACGAGTCGGTGAGGAGCTTTCGCCGCCGGCCCCAGTTGCGGGTACCGGCGAAGGCGTTGACTGTTCCAAGGTTGTGGCTTGGTCCCTCTCTCTGGGTTCCTAAAGGATGAGCGGATAAGTAGCTCGGGGCGATCGTCGGAGCGAAGGGATGGAGGGGCAAGGGACAAGGGCATTGTCCGTCGAAACCCTGACGAGCTGAATTACGAGGAATTCGGGATCCCGTGGATGGCATTCTTTGCATGTCTTGCAAATCCCGCCCAGTATCGGCAGGGCCTGAATGGTTCGCTCGACCCTCGACAGGCCGGGACAGGGATGCGGGCGGGTTTGAAAGGAAGACCGGCCTCGAGCTTGTTCTGGACCGAGGGATGGTCACCTGGAGAGGGAGGGACGGGATCGTCGAAGGCTTTTCTTGCTTCGGCCCAGGCGAATCACCCCAGCCCGTGCCGTGCCAGGCCCAGCCCGGTGCTACTGATTGATTGATAAGTTCGGGCGGGCCATTCACGGTGAGCGGTGTGCCACGCCGTGGCTGCTCATGTGATCGCTCGTGTCTCGCGGGTTACCATCGGCCTGGCTGTGTCGAGACGATAATAGCTGACTGACCCTGGCTGATAGCAATCGCGGGAGGCCACATGAGGAAATCCATGAAGGCGCCGTGCAACGTTCCTTGAGGGCAGAGAATCCGAGTATCGGAATGTGCGTGACTGCGTGCACGTGTGTGCAAAAGGCCCAAGTTTCGCAGGGCCGATCTCGTCGGTCGCAGGCCTCCCTCTCTCACTCAGTCACTCAAGCTCATCGGTTTTCACGGCGTCTCCACATGTGGAGTGCGGGTGCCACTGACTGGGTACGGTGACGTGCAGTCAAGTGAGGTGCAGTTCGGAATCGTGCATGACTGCTGGTGCCAACACGAAAAGTTAGATAAGAAGATGGTCCTTCTTTTGCGACCACGTCGACATTCATGTGTCCGCTACGGAGCTGCACAAGGTGGGCAATGTGGCACAGCAGCAAAGCCGGCCATTTTGGACTTCTGGCTGTGTGTGCAGTAGGTACGTACCCAAGGTACCTGCAGGGTGTACACAACCCGCACTAGACACCGTTCTGGCCTGGGCTGATCTGAGACGGGCAGACCACCGCTTGAGCCGTGCGACCCCGGCCCTGTCTGTTGCTGTTCGTGCCTGGCCCTTGTCTCTGTTTGAATAAGCGCCAGCCAACCGTTTGCGGCTTTCTTTGACAGACCTCGACGGCTGACCAACCTCAGCTCTCGCTGCCCTCGCTGCCCGACCCAGGCCCAGACAGCTCTCAATTTCTACAGTTCCTGCATTATCAACGTGGGCCAGGCGCTTCTTCGTAGCCTCTCGTTCACGGCGTCTCGGCCACGTCGAAACGGCACTGCCCCGTACCGCGTCTCGCACCCGCGCGCTCGCCCACCCATACCCGCCAGCAAGAGGGACGACCTCGACCCCGGATGCGCCCCGGATGCCCGTTTGGCACCGCCGATGACATGTTTCCACCTTGCCCACCGCGCCCATCACGCTCTTCTGCATGCCCATCTTGCGTTGATCGTGTGCCCTGAGACATCCTAGGGGCTTCTAATTATGACATGGCGCCCCTCTCTGACTCCCCACACTGGCGGCTACACCACGGCCACTCGCCTTGACTGAGCATTGCCCTGCTGCCGCCAAGCACACCCTGTGCTTCGCCTTCGACTGGACGTGGAGGCCGCACGACGGGTCTCCTGCGTCTAAGTGCGTCTGCCTCATCCAAGCGGACAGGCCAGCAGTCGTCCTGTCATCTGGCGATGGATGGCCTGGGCGAGGTCTTTGTCACCTCAGCCGGCACGCACGGCGGTCGTCTTTGTCCACACACTCGGCTTGTTGGAACGTCATATCCGCATGGTTAGGCATGCTAAGGTCTGTATACGGACGCAACTTAGCCCCCGGGGCCTCGCTTTCTACTTCTCATTACACCGGCATTGTTCTCGATCTCATTTTCCCAAGTCTTTGTTTCCTCTGCTTTGCCGCCCGAGTCACAAGGGATTGTCATCTTGACTGCCTTTGAGAGCGACCTGAATCACACTGTTGATCATACTTCTTGTGCCTCTCGGCCCATAACCTTTCCAAAGAAAGGGCTTTGCTCTTTTGGCCTCCCCCCCCCCGTAATTCTCCACGTCAATCCCCTCTGCAACCGCCGACTATCTGGTGCTCCGCAACTCACGCATCACCCACCGCGCTACGCGCCGGGTCTTGAACACAACCGACATCTAGCAGCATTCCGCGAAACAACAATAAACACACAGTATCTTTGGGGACACACTCACATCAATGAAGAAACAAACGAAAAGCCCGGCGCTGTCCAAGGCGTCGGCACTTCTGCTCCTCTCCGCAATACCCTCCTTCGCCTCAGCCCTCTACATCCAAGTATCACCAGCAGAACTCTTCGGCCGCCAGGACTCAACATGCGGCGACTCGTCATACAAACAATGTACTACGGCCGGCCTTCCTGATGACTTCTGCTGCCCCTCCGACAATTCATGCATTGCACTCGCAGGCAAGACGACGGCACTCTGCTGCCCTGCTGGCAACGACTGCACAGCCGTCAGGCCCATCCCTTGCGACGTCAGCCTGCAGGACAAGAGCCTCCACCCGGAAAATGTAGTCATGACCAACGCACTGACGGGATCGCTTCCAAAGTGTGCCGGCATGTGCTGTCCCTTTGGGTACTCCTGTGATGGTGGCGGGAACTGCATCCAAAACTCCGACCAGAACGCAAAGCCAATAACGACCGGGGCGCAGTCATCGTCCACGACGGCGCCATCCACGGCCAAGAGCAGCGAGACAGTCGGTGTGACCACCGCACCGCAACAGTCGGCGTCCGCGACAGCCTCTGCAACCTCCTCTGGCTCTGACGCGGCTTCTGCGACTGCGACGGATTCCGATTCCGAGTCATCGTCCTCGTCGACAGCCGCCGCCGCCGCCGGGGAATCCGATAGCTCTTCGAGTGGACCCTCGGCTGGCTTGGTAGCCGGCGGTGTCGTGGGCGGTATCGCGGCTGCCGTCTTCCTGGGGATGTTGGTTTGGTTCTTCGTCAAGAGGGAAACCAAGCGCAAGAACGATGCCGAGAAAGAGCCCCCGCGATCGTCGCGCTCGTCCTCCTTCGGCAACATCATCAACAACCCGATGACGAACTCTCTGCGGGCCGGCGGGTGCCCGGTCATCTCGAAGCCCATTGTCGACGAAGGTGCGATGAGGAGCGACTTTGGGCGGAAAGTCAGCACGCGGACTGGATCCTTCCAAAGCGGCAGTGACGAGGACGCCGACTACGAGAGAGATTTCGGCACGATGGGTGAACTGGGCCGGCCCGTGAGCGACGTCGACATGACCGGCCTGCACTCGGTGCCCCGCTCACCCCCGAGGATAACGAACCCGAGGGCGGTGAGCTCCATGTATGGCGAGCAGGGCTACCTGGACCCGCACAACAGCGCGTACCAGGCACCGCTCAAGATGCCCTCGGCAAGGCAGTTCGGCGGCCAGGACAACAGGGTCAGCGTCGGCGCCGAGGACCGGGACGCCATGGGGTCGCCGATATCTGACTATGGTGGCCAGCCGGTGCAGCGGGATCCAAACGGGGCGTACATCGATGTCTTTGCTGACTCGAACGTGCCTCTGACGCCGCCGCAGCCGTCTCATGCTGGGGACAGGATGACTTCCTTTACGGACATAATGGACGAATCTCAGGGTAGGAGGAGGTAATGTGAAAGACTGCAGAGCGCACAAAGCATGCATGGAACGGCGTTGTATAATTTGGTTATGTCTTTTTGGGATGAGGGTGATGGTCATGGAAATAAAGAGATACCTGTCTTTTACGAGCATCTATTGCCAGCAAAGGCTACCACTTACAATTTTAACATATAAGAGTACATATACTTTTTTCAATTCTGGACACCTCATCTACATTGACTCCTCATTTCTGAACGTGACAACTGTATCATATGCATCGCGGTCGTTTAGCAAGTACCATCAATAAGACCAAGCGATTAAGGCGGGCACTGGTTGCACTGGAGTCTATTTTGATCTCTTCATTTGGGTGCTTTTGGGGTACTTCATACACTTGATATGTCACTGGCTTTTTGCATCACGAGCGACGGAGTTTCACAAGAGCCTCCACCGCTGCTGCTTCACTCGCTTCTATAATACAAGCCCCAGCATCATCAAGCCCTGTCGCTGCAAGCAAAGCAAGCATCTACTGAGGTCCACCCAACGTGCTCTCCGCAGCAGCGCCCGGGGCGGGCTCAGGCACCCGCCCAATGGCAGGGCCGGCGCCGACCTTTGGGGTCGTGCTCATCGGGCGGCTCGTGTCCATGCGGGACAGCTCCTGCACCCTGCCCCAGTCGATGATGTTCCACCAGTTCTGGACGAAGTCGGCCTTGCCGCCGACGCCGTAGTCCCACATCCAGACGTGCTCCCACGTGTTGACGCACAGCACGGGCACGACGGTGGTGCCCCCCGGCGGGATCCTGTTGAGCCTGACGTTGAGGTCGGAGGCGCCGCCGCTCCCGTGGATCGGCTCGCGCAGGTTGCCGACGTTCTGCCGGTCAAAGTACTCCTTGATGACGGCGCCGCCCTCCCTGGCGCCGCCGTGGTTGTTCATGTCGATGCCCTGGCTGCGCCAGTGGGCGGTCGGGTACGGGCTCCCCGCCTGGTACGTCGTGAGGACCTTGAAGGGTCGCGCGACGGCGCCGGGGCCGTCCATCTGCTGCACGAGCCAGACGAACCCCGGGCCGAACATGGCGTCGGCCGTCATGATGAGCTCGCGCCGCAGGCTCTCGAGGCTGCCGAAGGACCGCTCCAGGTAGGCCCGGAGGTCGTCCGACATGTGCTCGGTCTTGTCGGCGCCGCCGGTCTTGGACAGCCCGCTGAAGAAGAAGTGGTTGTTGTGCGCCATGGACGCGTAGTTGAAGGTGGCCGCCAGGTGCGGCTCGCGGGCCGTCGCGACGAGCGTCTCTTTGGTGCTCTTGTCGTCGAACGGGGTGCCTGGAGAAATGGCAGGAAGCCTGATCAGCCTGGTGATGTAGAGAATGGTGGGCTATGCCGCCCACAATGGCGTCGACAATGCCGCGATGGCTGCCACGACAGCGTGAGGTAAGGGATCATGGGGGCAATACCTGCTGTCATCTGGTTCAGCTTCTCCAGCACCCAGCCCTGGTAGTTGGTGTATGCGATATCGAAGCTCTCGGGCGACATCAGACCCGGAACGCCATCGCGCTCGAACCTGGCATCGTCGGTCAAGGGGGCGACCGTGTGCAGGCGCCGCGCCGGCGAGGCGTGTAGGGACCTCTGCTGTTGCTGCTGTTGTCTCGCGGGCACGACGAACGGTGACGACGGCGAGGGTCGGGGGGCTGCTGGGGACAGCCTCGCGGCGCCCGCCCTCCTTGGTATCCGTAATCTGGGCTTGAACATGGCTGTGTCGCGTGTGTGAGTCGACCTGCTGCTCCCCTACCGAAGAACAGTGTCGCGCGGTCAATCAGTCAATCGCCCAGGCTTGGATCATATGGAAGCTCCGAACTTTTTTGGAGCCGGCCCCTGCAGGTATGTTGGGTTACGTAATCAGTGATTGGATCTAATCAACGACCGCACCGAGGTAAAACCACATTAATCACCAGCAAAAGAGATCCTCATGATGATTGCTTTCGTTCGATTTTGAAACAATCAAAATTCTTCCTATAGTCCTGCACCAGTGGATCTGGGCTAATGGTCTGCCCTTCCTAAGGCCGATTATTGACCATGCACCTACGTGCTGTGATGAGGAAGACAGAGCACACCGGCCGCCTCTCATAACTCAGCGGTTTGTATCTGCTACTGAAGATGGGGGACTGGCATGTCGCGGAATGGCAGACTCGCACATCCACTGCCATTTCTTATGCAAATCATTGTCAGTGGTGGCAAATGTCCACATTTGCATGAGCATGTGGCTTGGCTGTGAGTTCCGAACCGTTTTGCTAGCACTTTGTATGCTCTAGAATGATGATCTGGCTGCCAATAAAAGCAGAAGAGGAAGACAAGCTCAAAATTGTAGCAGACTGTCGTCTGCACTCGCTTTGAATCACCCATGCTAGCATGGCGAGAGCTAGCACTGTTTATGGACAACTCATACAAGATCTATAATTACACGGACGGTGTACAAGGTGATATATGACACTGCCCTTGTTCATTATACATCAATATTTTTGGAACACGAAGACTGCACTGTAGCAGCAGCAGTGGATGTACAAATTACCCGCAAGGAACCATGCCAGACACCACGAAACATCGGCCAAAGATACCAACAGCTCAAGACGGCAACTCGCTCCTCGGTCTTTCGGACGGCGTCGAAGCCATCTCAGCCGGCAGAGGAGACTGCGCCGGCATCTCCTGAGGCACCATGCCCTCGTACATGGAGTGCTTTGGTGAGCCCCCCAGGTGGGACAGCTGTTGCCCCTGTGGAACCGGCGAGTAACCCGGCGCCGGGGCCATTTGGCTCGGATACCCGCTGCCACCAGGGCCATGTCCTTCACCGTTCGCGAGGCCGTTTGCGCCAGCCGTCTGCTGTCCCTGGTTCCTCCTGGACCCCCTCGTGAAGAACCAGATTGAGCCGGCGACGGCAACGGCGAGTGGGATCCCGACACCTAGGCCGACGCCGAGACCGATCGTGGTTGTGCTGCTGCTGCTGTTGTCGTCACTCCCACTTCCACCGGTCGAGGTCGCCGTTGGTGGAGCCGTTGGTGTTCCCGTTGCACTGGTGGTTTGAGACAAGGGCATCTGAGCGACGACAGTCGGGATCGAGTTGCCCAGGACGAAGAGATTGCTCGAGTTACTGCAGCACGCGTTGCCCGCGATTCCGTCACCCGGCTTGACACAACAGTAGTGGGTGCCCTCGTCGATACCGTCGCAAGGGCGGATGCCCGCTGAAGAACCCGGTGCGTCTATAGGAGTCATGCATGTTAGCCAAAACCCCACCTCGAAAAAGGGCGGTGATCGTTCTAGGCTTGGAAAACATTTCCTCTCTGTTGCGAGACTTACATCGTTCGCATCTCTTCAAGCACGCCGGATCTTCCCAAGTCTGATCCGTGCAGCCCACTCTTTGATAATCTGTCTTGTCGTTGTTCGTAGTCTTGCAGACACCGTTCGAATAGCAGACGGCTTCAGGTTGACAACAAGTCGTGTGGCCTGTCGTTTCGTTACTGCACCGAAACTGTGCAACTCAATGTTAACTCTTCCGGGTCCTGAAAAGAGAGATTGAGGAGCGGCCATTAACCGAAACTGCCCCGGCGATGCGGGCACTTTGGGTTATCCGATCTCTTTCACACAGCGTGATAGCCCGTAGAGCATAAGAAATGCTCTTTCCAATGTCGTACTTACGCTCACTGTGCTCACGGATCCATCGACATTGTAACAGGTGTTGCTATCGACAGCTGCAACCAGCGTCGTTACTGCAATGCAAAGAAGGGAGCGCATTTTTCATGAACTTCCAAGTTGACCAATCTTTCAACAAAGCTTTCGTGGCTAAAGAGCGAGCGGTTAATCAACAACTATTGCCGAACCGGCGTGGTGTCGGTCGCGATGCGATCAAAGACGGGCAAGCAGCGACTTCAGGTAGGAGAAAGAATAAGAGACAGGAGAATTCACCACCATCTGCGGGGGATGAGAACCAGGAAACCGATTTGCGGCTCTGCATACTGCGGTGAACCTCGTGCATATCCAGGAATAACTAACTCTATTGCAATGTTCCTAGGCAGCCATCCTGCGGAAAGAGTGTCAGTTCACTTGTGGTGCTGTTCCAAGGGCCCACAGTCATCCTCCTGGCGGCCAAGTCGCCTCGTTGCCAGAAATGTGGTCAACGGCTGCCATCCCTCGCAAGACGAGCCAATAATCTGAGGTTGCTCCTGGCCAATGGTCACATTCGTGAGTTACTTCCATGGATTGTGAAGTGATATAGAGCGCGAGATGCTGTCGAAGACTTTGTAAGCTGACTACAGCCCTTTTGAGGCAATGCTCAAATATTCTCCATTTTATTTCCGTCGATCGTGGCGATCCCTGAACTTGGCATAAGCCGTATCCCTTTAGCCACAATGCTGTGCGAGGACCATTGATCGTCGGTGGTGAGCGCAAGAGCCTGATGGAATTGGCCCAGATACTCAGGTCTTATTCAACAAGAGTAATATCGAGGGTCTTATGTCCCAGAACTCAAGCAAGAACGCATTCGTTGGTCCAGTGGCCCGAGACCACGGCGATCACCGCTTCTTGTCTTTCTCTTGCTGCGATAATAAGAGGTCGCGCATCGCAGCTCGTGCGTTCCTGCTGCCGCCCAGCTTGGGCCCCTTGAGGACCTCCTCTTGCTTCGCTCCCGGCCGAGCCGGCTGCGGCGCAGCCTTCCTCCGTTGCTGCCGTCTCTCAGACATTGCGTCCATGAACTCACGGCGGAATTGCTCCGCGATCTTCTCATCCGCAGCCTCGTCGAAGCCGGGCTCGCCGGTAGCCTCCGGCTGAGCAGGCACGTCGTACACATCAACTGCATTTGGGTTAGCTGAGCACGTCAAGTTGACCGGGACAGGGAGACTTACGTCTGTTCTCCCGCATGAGTTCTTCCACGAGCTGGTCACGTTTGATGTCGTCGCTGCCGCGCCTCTTGCGCCCACGCCAGGGCTTGCCATCCTTGCCGATTCTGGCTCGCTTCCTTGGGCCATCGTCATCGGCCTCGATGGCCTCGCCCGCAAGGCGCCTGCGCGCCTGTTCCGTCATGTTTGCGTTGCGCATCCGGACTTCATCGCCGAGATCAACCTCCTGTAGCTTGCCGTGCATAGTCGGCCGTTCTCCGAGTCGTTTGGTCGGATCTACGCTGGTCGAACCCGTAGGTTGCGAGGATTGTTGTTGTTGTAGGTTTTCTGCTTCAGTAGCTTTCTCGGCGGCGTGCCGTCTAGCCAACTCGGATTCTATATATTCCTCCCTACATGATCAGCCCATATCCAGGGTGGCGTGGGGTCAGCGAAGCGGATGGGGCAACCTACATATGCTTATTGACGAGCTCGCCGACAAGTCCTGCCTGCGGTGCAAAGCGTTTTGATATCCCATATTCCACGGAGTCTGGGCCATTTGGATCGTCTTTAAGAACCAGGCTCCGCTCCGTGCTCACTTCGTCCGAAACCTTGGACGAGTCTTCTGGTCGAAAACCGACTCCCTTAAGTCTTGCCTTACGAGCGTTGCGCAGACGCAGTGCTTCTGCCACCGATGACTCCTCGGTATCCGAATTTGTGTCGTGTGAACCACTAGGTTTTGCCTCGCCATTTTGGTCTGGGAGCGGTTGGGCAGCAGCCTGATGCGTCGCTTCGTCTGGTTTGGTCTCGGACTCCTCTGCACGCTGTCTGAAGTGCTTGCGCTTCTTGCTAGGTCGGAAGACAACCTGTGGTTCGGGGTTTTCGGGAGTTGGCGAGTCCATGTTGGCAAGGGGCTTTGGGAATACACCCGGAAGGGGTGTGATTGATTGTATGATTTGTAGCTGTTGGCTGTAGCGGTTGGGTGATGATGAGAAGTGAGTGGCTGAGACCTGGGGTGGTCCATTAAGCCGGGAGGCAGTCAAAATAAGCCCCCTTATCTTATCAGTGCAGTCCAATCCAGCTGCTTGGAGACCCTGGTTGTGATGTCACAGCATACCACTCCATATGGCATGGGTCAATAACCTCTATGGCTCATAACCCATACCCTCAGACGCTCCAGCGAACTCCAAATAATTGGCAAACTCTCAGAACAACAATCGCCACAATGACACGACGTGTAAGTCCATTAGTTGGCCAGCTCATAGCAAGCGAAATCAAAATCACAAAGTTGACCCTGTCAGGTGTACTTCGTCGCCCACGGAGGCATGGTCCAAGGTGTTGGATTCAGATACTTTGCCCGGAAGCAAGCAAATGCCCATGGAATCACTGGTTGGGTCCGCAACACCCCAAACAACAAGGCAAGTCAATTATAACGCTTCGTTTATGAGATCTTCGCGATTCTAATACAGCACCAAAGGTCGAAGGAGAGGCCCAAGGAAATGAGGACGTCCTCCAGACCTTCCTGAAGGACGTCGACACGGGTCCCCCTGGTTCCAAGGTCGTGAAGCTCGACACGGAGGACCGAGACGTATCAGAAGGCGAGACTGGCTTCGAAGTGCGACACTAGGTGTCTTCGATGGTGGATCGTACATGGCATAAATTAGGCGTTCAGAAACGGCCTGGAGATACGGACTGGCTTTCTACCAATGATATCTCTATAGAGGCTTACCTCGTCCACTGGACTGAGATTGCTCCATCATTGACTTGAGATCTCTCAGTGGATCCCTATTCTTCATCCATGGATTCGTCCCCGTCTCCCTCACCCTCGCCCTCCTCTTCCTCCTCGTCATCATCATCAGAGTCGCTCTCATCATTAGCAACACCAACAAGCCTCTCCTTGATCTCTTCGTCCGGCTTGACATCAGGGAGTTTGCTAGCAAATGCACGACGGACCGTTACATTCGTGCTGGTGTCCCAGATGTGCATTGTGCCTTTACTTCCAGCCACTGCTAATCGGAAAGCAACCTCTGGATCGGGCCCAAATGTCGTGGAGAAGACCTTTCCAACGTCAAGGTCACGAGACACCACCAGCGAAGGCCCCGAGGATGTGATATTCCAGAGCTTGACCGTCTTATCTGTAGACCCCGTCACCATGAAACCCGGTATTGCGCTGTTGAGGTCGAATGACGAAACAGACTGGTCGTGTGCCTGCAGCGTCCATACTGCTTTGCTCTTGACCGGGTCTGATGGCGGGTTCCTGACGTCGTAGTAGTGGACAACGCCATTCTCGGTAGAGACGAAGAAGAAGTTGGGGTCGTGCGGGTCCCACCGCACGTTCTCGACGTCGCTCTCAACACCCCACCTGGACGGCTTCGCATCCGGCGCCCGCATGTCCGCCGCGACGACGGTGCGGTCGTAGCTACCACTCAGGAGAACCGTGGACTCTACGGAATGCCATGCGAGGGAGCAGACCTTGTCGGTGTGGTAGGTGTAAGACTTGGCGCACTTTGCCGTGTGCAGATCCCACAGCTTGACGGTCTTGTCGGCGGAAGCGGAGGCAAGGAGATTTCTGTGTTTCCTGTTCGCTGCAAGCGACAGCACTGCGTCGACATGGTACTCGTCGTTGGCCTTCTTCGACTTCTTCTTTTTCTTCTTCTTTTTCTCGTCCTCCGGGTTACCTCCTTGTCCCAGGATAGCATTTGGGTACATGCAGTCCACTGTGTCAAGATCCCAGAGCTCGATATCGGGGTCCATGGTACCAACGGCGACAAAGTTGGCCGTTGCGTCCTTGTCGAGGCTCGACTTTCCGCAAGCAATGTCTAGCCACTCAACACACAGAGGTATGGCGGGGAGCATGATGTCGTGGTGTACATAGAGGTTGTCGGAATCATCTTCGTATACGTAGACCTCCAAATGTGCCAGCTCGTCCTCGACTTTCGCTGCGAGCACCAGGTTGTCTGTCGCAAGAATCTGTAGCTCTTCCCGCTCCTCGTTGTCGTCCACCTCGTCGGGTATCGTGATGTACGGGTCCGCCTTGTTGTTTTCGTAGTATGCGAGTGATTTGACGTTGCCAAACATGCCCATGCTCTGTGCGACTTCTATGTCCTCCTCTGGGTCGTCATCGTAATGCTCTAGGTCATATTCTTTCAGGTCGTCGTCGATCTCAATGCTGCGGTGTGGTTAGCAAAGAACAATGTGAGAGCCGGGTTTCAACGCATACTCATCCTTGATTTCGTCAGAGGGCTTCTTTGAGTCCTCTGTGTCCGAGCTGTCCTTTCCTTCCTTTGCTTTTGCCTCTTCGAGGTCGTCGTTCGCATCATCCAAGTTGAGCTTGGCCAGCGAGGCGATGCGCTCGAACTCTTCCTCGTCGAAGTCATACTTTTGTGGGAAAGGCGCCGCGAACCCTCGCGGTGCCCATGTTGCCGTCGTGATCATAGACATCCTGGGAAACGGACCACAAGAATGCGCAGCCTGTTTGCGACTGGTAGTAGAACAGTTTTGAGAGTTGACCGCAAATCTCGACTTTCTGGGGAAACTTTTTGGTAGAGGGGCTTATCGATAAGCCCACCCTTGCTCTCTAGCTACTAGGCATTGAGCTGATGATTTGGAGCAGCCGCACGTCTGTCTAGTGCTTCCCCAGACTTCACACGCTCGATAGCTTCGCGAATCCACCTGGACAGGTGGATAGTTGGAGGCCTCGAAATAAAAGAAGAAGCACTAGAATCGGGCCATCGCAGACACGGGTGACAGATGGCATTGCCTCATTAGAAGTAGCCCATGACACAACGACGATAAAGACGATTTCCAAGGGGCTACCCACGACAGGAGGGCGACCGATCATCATATTTCGAAGTTGCGACCGAAGGAAGGCACTCTTCGTCCGACGGCCCAGAACGTGGAAGCTGGCACAGGTCAGCTTCATCATACAGCGACAATGGATCGCGACAGCAGGGACCCCAAGCGGAGGAGGTTAAACTTCAACCCCTTACGATCCGACGACCGTTGGGGCGACGTACCAGTACGGAACGGCCGCTTCTCATCAGGCCGCTCGACGCCCCGTGGCAACCGGGACGTGTCCACGCCCGAGCCAGTCAAAGCCGACGAGGACCTCGTGGCGCAGGATCAAGATGATACAGCTCTCGACCGGGACTGGTACGCCGGGGACGAGTTCGGGCACGCCTTCGGCGACGAATCTCACAACCCATTCGGGGCGTACACGGTGGCGGAGTCGCAGGAAGCCGAGCGAGAATTGGTCGAGAAGCGCGTGGGCCGGTTCGACAAGCAGAGCGCGCGGCAGGCGCAGAAACAAAAGGAGATCGACGCGTGGGAGACGAACCGGATGCTGTCTTCTGGAGTGGCGCAACGACGGGGCCAGGAGTTTGAGGACGACGAGGACACCATGCGTGTGCATCTACTGGTTCACGATCTACGGCCGCCATTTTTGGACGGCAGAACAATATTCACGAAACAGTTGGACCCGGTGCCCGCGGTCAGAGACTATCAGAGCGATATGGCCGTGTTTAGTCGGAAGGGAAGCAGAGTCGTCAAGGAAAGGAGACAACAGCGGGAGAGACAGAAACAGGCGCAGGACGCCACCAACATCGCCGGCACGACATTAGGAAATGTCATGGGCGTGAAGAACGACGACGACACGGATAGTGCGCTGCCCGCGCTGAAAGAAGAGGACGGCAAGGAGCCCGAGCCCCAGTCGAACAAGTTCAGCGAGCACATGAGCAAAAATGACGGCGCAAGTAACTTCAGTCAGAGCAAGACGCTGCGAGAGCAGCGTGAATTCCTGCCTGCCTTTGCAGTTCGCGAAGATCTCTTGCGCATCATCCGGGACAATCAGGTGGTCATCGTCGTCGGTGAGACCGGCTCCGGCAAGACGACTCAGCTCACGCAGTTCCTCTACGAGGACGGCTATGGCAACAGGGGGATGATCGGGTGTACACAACCCCGCCGTGTGGCGGCTATGAGCGTTGCAAAACGTGTTAGCGAAGAGATGGAGTGCAAACTGGGCGGCACTGTCGGCTACGCGATTCGATTCGAGGACTGCACGAGCAAAGAGACGGTCATCAAGTACATGACTGACGGTGTCCTGCTCAGGGAATCACTTAACGAGCAGGATCTGGACCGCTACTCCTGCGTTATCATGGACGAAGCCCACGAAAGAGCACTTAACACTGACGTGCTCATGGGTCTTTTCAAGAAGATCCTGCAGAGGCGCCTGGACTTGAAGCTTATCGTTACTTCGGCGACGATGAACTCTAAGCGGTTTTCTGACTTCTTCGGAGGTGCACCCGAGTTCGTTATCCCAGGCCGGACATTCCCAGTGGACGTTATGTTTCACAGGTCGCCGGTCGAGGACTACGTGGACCAAACCGTTCAGCAAGTGCTGTCAATTCACGTTTCGCAGGGACAAGGTGATATTCTTGTCTTTATGACCGGCCAGGAAGACATCGAGTGCACTTGTGAGCTGATTCAAGAGCGACTCAATGCCCTGAATGATCCGCCAAAGCTCAGCATCCTCCCAATATACAGTCAAATGCCCGCAGATCTACAGGCCAAGATTTTCGACCGGGCGGCTCCAGGTGTGCGAAAATGTATCGTGGCCACCAACATCGCCGAGACCAGTCTCACGGTCGACGGTATCATGTACGTTGTTGATGCTGGTTACTCAAAACTCAAGGTCTATAACCCGAGGATGGGTATGGACACGCTGCAAATCACCCCAATCTCACAAGCCAACGCGGGCCAGAGATCAGGCCGTGCAGGAAGAACCGGTCCCGGAAAAGCATACCGGCTATACACGGAGAAGGCCTACAATGATGAGCTGTATATTCAGACCATTCCCGAGATCCAGAGGACTAATCTGGCCAACACCGTGTTGCTCATCAAGTCCCTCGGTGTCAAGGACCTACTAGACTTCGACTTCATGGACCCCCCACCACAAGAGACGATCACCACGTCTCTGTTCGACCTGTGGGCCCTGGGTGCGCTCGACAACATCGGTGAGCTGACCGACCTAGGCAGCAAGATGAACGCTTTTCCAATGGACCCGTCGCTGGCCAAGCTGCTCATCATGTCCGAGGAGTACGGCTGCAGCGAGGAGATGGTGACGATCGTGTCGATGCTGAGCGTGCCCAACGTCTTCTTCCGCCCCAAGGAGCGCCAGGAGGAATCCGACGCCGCTCGGGAGAAGTTCTTCGTCCCCGAGTCCGACCACCTGACGTACCTGCACGTGTACTCGCAGTGGAAGTCCAACGGGTACAGTGACAGGTGGTGCTCGCAGCACTTCCTGCACTCCAAGTCGCTGCGGCGGGCGAAGGAGGTGCGGGACCAGTTACTGGACATCATGCGCATGCAGAAGATGGAGATGGTGTCGTGCGGGACCGACTGGGACGTCATCCGTAAGTGCATCTGCAGCGGATACTACCACCAGGCCGCCAAGGTGAAGGGAATTGGCGAGTACATCAACCTCCGCACGAGCGTCACTGTGCAGCTGCACCCGACGAGTGCGCTGTACGGACTGGGGTTCCTGCCGGACTACGTGGTGTACCACGAGCTCATCCTCACGAGCAAGGAATACATGTCGACTGTGACGAGCGTCGACCCACACTGGCTAGCGGAGCTGGGCGGCGTCTTCTACTCGGTCAAAGAGAAGGGCTACTCCGCGAGGGACAAGAGGGTCATCGAGACCGAGTTCAACCGCAAGATGGAGATCGAGGCCAAGATGGCGGAGGACAAGAGGAAGCAGGAGGAGAAGCTAGCCCTAGAGGACCAGGTCAAGACAAGCGACAGCACCAGCGCGGCGAAGAAGAAGATCGTCACGTCTGGAGCGGTCAAGAAACCAGTGGTAAAGAAACGGAGAGGCGGGATGGCCTTTAGGTAGTTTGTCCCTCGCTGCTCACCCAACAGGTCTGACGAGGTCATCCTCGCTGAGCTATTCAGATGGGCGAGCAGGACATATCGAGAGATAGCCCGTCTGTGGGCGGAACAATTCAACAAAAGTTACCAGGTGCCTGATGATCACATACTGTGTAATTTCGAAGCATCAATGAAGTGAGTGCATGATGTGTGAGCGTAGTGCAGGCGGCACTCGGCACACCATTTGGGTGCGCACGGCAAAGTAAATCGGCAATTGTATGATGCAAAGGAGTCAGAACAAAGCCTTGCCTCGCACACACTTTAAGCCCCATGAAGCATTCTCGGGTTTGATGATCTTCTAGATCGCTCTTAGCCCTGGCGGCTGGGTATGCGAATGCGGTGAGTGCTTGTAATACTGACCAGAGACAGTGTCCAGATCGGGATCTTCCCTGGCTGGCCTGGGCGGCGGGAGCGACCACCTGCCGATCATTTGTGCTCACTTCTGGTAAGACGTTGCCAGTTCTGGTCTTGGCTGCAGTGCCCATCCGTCAGTTTTGGGCATGCCATTTTGTCCGGCTAGCACAGGCGCTACAGCAGAGGTCGAAACGCATCTACTGCACACGTGTTGAACCGCACAGGAAGCGTAGAGGCCATGCGTTTGATGCTAGGCGCAAAATGGCTGGATAACGAGATGGCATGGGGACCTTCCGATTGTGGGCCAGATGGCACGTCTGGGTAGCTCTGCGAGACTTGTGGGTGCAGTGTGGTTCGGCAGACCACCTTACTACACAGGCGTCTGGCGCGCGCAAAGGCATTAAAGCCGCGGGCGTGTGTGGCTCGTCACTGACGGGCCGTTGGCACAGGGATTGTCTTGCACAGTTCCACAGCTGCCGCCGGCGCGGTTAGTCAACGAACGACAAGGGCGTGAAGATGAGCTGACAGGCTGGGCACATCGGGCGACAGCCGTACAGAGAAGCATGAAGAGTTCTGGGGGGGCGGCACTTCGCACTCGGGGACGATTTGCTTGGTTGGCTGTGGAGGCCTTGGAGGGTTGGAACATTGTCCCAATGGGAGAAACGCCTGGCCTCCGTCGGTTTCATCCACGGAAAGCTAGGCCGCTTGAGGTAGCTCGGGGTGCGGATCGCCCTCTGGGTCATCCCTGCTCGGCTGCTTTGACTCAAGGCGAACAAATGAGAGGCAGACCTGGGTGTCCGATCGTCCTTGGACCCTGGGTTCCACGCGGATGTCTCTCGATGCTCACACAACCGAGGGCGTGGCATTCGAGCCTTCGAGACCCAGTCGTTAGAACAGTTGGGCTGTTTCTCGCCCGCGGGCTGCCTTGTCGGGCTGGTCGACAGGTAGCGAAGGCAGAAAAGGCCCGGTTGAAGGCCGACGCTATGGCGCACACTCGAGGACACTGGGCGATCATCAGTGCGCTCCCAGTTGTTTTACCGGATGATCTGATGTCAACCAGTCTACCAGTCCGGGGTAGCAGGTACATAGATAGTGTGGTACCCAAGAGCCGGTAGGTGCGTGGTTTTTTTTGGGGGGGATTTTTTTTTTTTTGGTCCACCTCAGATCAAGCGGCCAAAAAAGTCTTAGACAAGACGCATCGCCATGTCATGATGCTGTCGTGTGCACGTACACGTTGCCCAGGAGGAGAATAGTGCATTCATAGTCTCTGCGTGTACATCGCACAGCACATGTGGGTGAGAGGGGGAACGGCAAAAGCGGGCAATGAGAAAGTGCCAGGTTCCGAAGTGGCCCTGGCTGGACGACCAGAAAAGACCAGACCAGGCCAGGATGGGACAGGCACGACAGAACATGATAAAAAAGGTGCAGTACCGGTGGGTCGTTGCTACTGTACGTACGGTGGTCCAATATGCAAGTGCAGGTGCAACTGCTACTGCGGGTGACATCCCCTCCTGGTTCCTGCATCGTCCCTGCCCAAATGAGATTAGAGAGGACTTGACCCCCGCCAATCAATGCTCACCCCCTGCTGCGGAGACAAGGATGCGGAGTCACTGCACCATCCCCGTGTGCCACACAGAGCACCCGCGCAGGCTAACAGGCTCTGGACCATCGAACTTGACAGTCCTCAGGCGGGAGGCAAACCGAAGTTTGTTTCCCGTCGCCAGTTGCAGCGTGGGTGGGAATGTTTACGTGGCAATCGACTCGACTCTCCGATCCAGAGCCACCGTAGCAGGTGATAGCCCCGAGAGATCACAACAACAGAGATTGACACTGCTATGCAAGTTCGCATATTGCAACTTCTCCTGTGAGACTGACTACCAACAAGTGTGGTGGTGGTGGCAGCTGACATTTACCCCCAAGACCCTCGCAACTCCTGGATGCCGAGATCGAAGCACAGTCATCCTTACTATTAACGCCCGCTAGCTGCGGTGCACACTGTTCAAAGTTTTGCCTCGTCGAGCGTCTCTCGAGCCGGGCATTCTGGGAACAAGATGGGGGGAGTGGTCCTCGGGACGCAAGGGTGCCCGTCATACCATCCATGAGCCAAGAGTGGGTACCCCTGAATTCGAGGTTCCGAGGACCCTCGATTTGCGTGCGCCGAGAACCAGAATCCATGTCTTCTCTACCTCTGCACCTGAGCTAGCCAAGTTTTCCCTTCGCAGGGAGATGGAGGACCAGACTGCCCTGCGTGCAAGGGTGCCATGCTTGTGCTCCGAGCTCGATCCACTCGACCTTTTCCACTTGACTTTTATTACTGCGCGTTCCTCCTCAGATGCCCTCTCCTGTAGGGCTTCTCTGTAGAGCTTCTCTCTTATTACCAGGCTTGCAAGCCGCTGTTATTCTTCTCACCCCACCCAGTCAGTCATTCCTTTTGGCGACAAGCCGTCACTTATTGTGTACGGTCTGCGGTACTGTGTCTCTCCCTTCACAACCACCCAACATTATCATCTACAGAATACGCCATCGCAGGTTTCGAGAACGATTTTGTAGACATAGCCGGGGATCTTCGCCTTTCCTTCCAGAGACCGCATTTGATAACCAGTCACCACAAACAGCCAGCGGCCCAGCTACTGCTCATACAACGACATTCACTCACTCACTATTCGGATCTCACCTTCGGGACATTGGTACTTGATCCAGAGTCACCGAGAACAAAAAAAAGCAAAACGAAACCCAAGTGAGGACTCGACTCAGGACGATTGGCCCTGACAGTCCTGGAAACGATTTTCGAAGCCCGGTGCACCGTCGATCCTAGAACATCTAGACTGCGAGCAGCACCGCTGAAGGAGGGGACCAAAGTCAGACACCGAACTTTGCTGCAACAGCAGTGACTTCCAAGCTCGACGTTCGAAACACGCTTCGCACCTGGTGAACTCACCCTGGACGCGGGGATTTGGTGCTCCAGCACAAAACCATCTGATATCGGCCCAGCTATTATCACCTTGACTTAGCTGCCCGTTACCCTCAGCCAAGCTTGCAAAAGGCCAAACAAGTCCTCACTCTTTTCGTTTTTCATTCTTCATGCAAGGACTGGTTCCAAGCTGAAGAGCATACCTCATTTCTTTCTCATCCGGACCACATTCTGCACTGCGTTCGGGCAAGCCTACCTTCTCTCGGCCTTCGGTTCTTCTTTCCGGTACCAAAGCTCGGGGACGCACATTTGCCGATCGCCACCATCCTTTCCAGAAGTCCCGACAGATAACTTGGCAGCCGCGAGACATATCCCGTTCGCTGCTCATCATCCGGATCAAATCTTGTGTTGCACCTGAGAAGGTCACCTGGGGATTGTCCGACTATCGGCAAGCGGCTTTTGGGGATCTTGGAGCCAACACTTGTGCACCCGACCGACTCAGCGCAACGTCAGACCCAATCACGCACTTCACTTAACTAGTTGGAGTAGCACCTACCCAGTCACCGTTTGTCGCATTTCACTTTGTGATCTCGTGGTTAAGACACGGCACGTCACACACTTCGCCCTGGACAAATTTCCACTGCACCGAGAGCTTCTCCTGTGACAAAAGGAGAACTTTCAGAAAGGAATCAGAAAATCTCATCCCACTTCAACCACATCCCAAAACCCCAGCAAACATGTCTTTAGCCAGAGCGTTTACGACCCGCCGGGCCAAGGTCTTTGGAGGCGGCGACTCAGAGGGCAAGCCTGTCAGGAGCCATACTGTCAAGACGTCTCTCAGCGGTCCCATTCGAAGCAAGATCTCGGGACCGGTCGAGCTGATTCACACTACGAACATGCTCTCTTACAACGCCCCGGATATTCAAAAAGAGCCCAAGACTGCCACATCAACGTCGTCTTCTTCACTCCGGTCCGACGGGAGTTCCGACCACTTCCCGACTGGGGCGTCTTCACCTCTTACAAGCCCAGATTCGCCTTTCCCTCATGACGACAAAGACGCCAAACCGTCCTCTGCTGCCGAGCCGAACCACCTTTCATGCTACTTCACCCTGCCTGGCCAGTCTTCCGTGCCTACACCAGAGGTGCCGGTCATCCCAAAGCGTTCGCCCTCGCACACAAAGAGATCCTATGAGCCTTTGGCTCGAAGGCCGTCCGTCTCGAGACTCGCAGAGTCAAAATCCCATGAGCCCCTCGGCCGCAAGCCTTCTGTGTCGAGACTTTCAGAGCAATCCAGCCGGACCGTTTCAACCAAGGGCAGCTTCAGCTTCTCTCGGTCATCATCCGCCTCAACCAGCACGACGGCTAGCAGCCACCACTCGATCGGCGGACACCAAGCTCCCAAAACCTCGCACATGGCGCCTCCACCTGTCCCTGCTGCGCTGTCCACATCTGCGGCAGCTCAGCACCACAAGGAGCCTGCCGCCGCCAGCGACTCGTCTCACCCGTTCGGCCAAGAGCTGGCACAGGTGACAGAGCTGGCCGAGGAGTATGCCTCCGCGGCAGCCGACAAGAAGCGCCCTGCGGCGTCAAAGGAGGAGCAGGAGCTAGCAAACCTCGGCCTCAAGAAGTTCACTCCGGAGGACTACATCTCTGAGATTCAGGGACTCTTTGCTACATTCTTCAACGAGACGAGGCATGCGAGGGCTCCGGCACCCCAGTGGATTTGAGATTCCTGAACCTCGACTGGCCACAAACGGATCGACTACGGACTGGATTTCTTTTTCTATACCCCACATTCAGGATGCACTTTCAAGGTTGGACAAGTGGTAGCGCGTGTCATGAGGCAGAGGCGTTGAGAAATTGTGTGAATTGAGTTCATTTTATTTTTGTATTTATTCCCCGTGCCCATGGTGGCAGCAAGAAGCGCGACTCTTTTTTCTATTCTTCACTTTCCCCAGCCATTCATTTGGGGAACTTATATCTTTTTACAACTACATTCCGGACTCTCCTTCAACCACATTTTTTATTTGTCTTCTCACCTCATGATGGATGGCTGGGCGGAAGGATGGAGCAGCGGGGAGGAGGCAGTGAGATGATTTGCTGCGGGCGATGGCTCAGAGCAACAAGGGAAGCGCACCGGAGGGGAAAAACCACACATGGTTGTCCGCGGAGGATCGCTCAACGGTGAAAATCCCAGAGCAGGCACAAAGAAACGAATGAAGATATTATGACACGGTCACACATGAGATGTCTCCTCTCGCAAGCAACGTACGTGACGCCATTGGCTGCTCGGGGCTCGCTGCTGTGGGCTTCCGGACTTTCCTCGAACGGTTGACATGTTTGAAGTTTATGAGGTGCTCATCTCGCGTGGTTCGGCCGTGCACAACCACTTCCTCGGTCGGCCCCTTGGGGGCCAGTTCGCGGGTAAATGATCCCAAGGCGCGCTAACCGCTTGGGGCAAAGGGCGGGACCGGGGGAGGCAGATCCAACCCGGCTCGGTGGGTTCAATCTATTCCTGACGGCGGCCGGCGGCACATCATCTCGTCTTGTCCCCAAACGCCATCTGAATATCTTGATTACATAGTGCGGGTGTATTTTATCCATAGACCATGGCTGCGGCACGTCGGTGTCGAGTTGGGGTGGTTTTCCCGCCGGGTTTTCAACGTCCCACGACGGCTTCAGCGGCCCCCGATGCGTCGTAGTTGCGGCAGGCTGCTATCTTCTCATTCCGCAGCATATCGTTGGAAGTGCCGCTTTGTTTTGGAGTGTTTCACGAGAGAACGTGTATGTGTGTGTGGAAGTCCCGAGTGTCTGTCTGTCCGTCTGTCCGTCTGTGTCCGTCCGCACAGCTGCTCCTGCAGGTCTGCCAACCCTCCCCACCTCCTGAGTGCAACTATAACGGCCAGCATATTGAACACGGGAGGCTTCTTTTTGTTTCATGCGACATTCGGTGAAACCCTAAACGCGACCCTTCCTCTCCTGCGTGCGTTCCCTGTGGGATCATATAACTCTATTCACCAAGCTTGATTGCCCTGATGCAGAGTGACGGGTGCTCAGACCTTTGCTTGGTTTGTTTTCTCTTTTGGCGATCGGTCCCACCGCCCCGGACCGCCGCGCCGGTGTCGTCATCGGGCAGGCGGCACTTGCTGATCGAAGTCTGGGGCGCTCCGACGCCGCGAACGGAAATAAATGGCTTCACACGGACGGAAGGGCCCTGAATGCCATCTGATTGTTCTCTCCCATCCCAGCTGTTCAGATGCGGCGATTTCATCCGGGGTGGCGACGAATATGTTGACATGATCCTCACCGCCAAGACAGAAGAGAGACCTTGCCACGATCATGATGCAGTGTGACCTCAAAGCGCGCAAAAGCAAGCGAGTCAGGGCTCTGATCAGGTCGCCAAGTTGACGATGCAATGTTTTGGTGGAAATTGGACAGTAAGACCTCTGCAGAGCGCACCGCGCAGCCGGGGCAACGGTGTCATCGCGAGCGCCACCAGCTTGAGACAACACTCGGAGGTGATGGAGGTCTTCACAGTGTTGAAAACATCGACTCAATGTTGGACCACGGAGTATCTGTGTATGCATGACAAGCCTCTCCCGTTTGTAATCGACCCTCATGACATAACAAGCAAGCAGACGCAGACATGGTGAACGCGCAATTTGCCTCGCTGTTACTAATACTCCGCCAGTCGTGTAACGCCGTAGTAACACAGTCTCAAGTGATTCCCATCGCCTGGTATCTAGTATATGGAAAGTGACGCACAGCTCTATCCCGGTACGCCCACACTATGCTCGTTGGTCCCAGTGCTATGCCCACATGCCGCTCATTCATCATGCTGATGCCCACCGTTCCAAATCACGGGCTCGCCGCCTCCAGCAGCTCCGAGACGGTGACAACCCTGTACCCCCGCCGCCTCAGCTCGGGCAGCACCTGCCTCAACATGGGTATCGTCCAGCTCCTCCGGTCGTGGCAGACGATGATGCCCCCGCTGCGCGCCATGCTCAGTATGTGCCAGGCGTTGAGCCGCGGGTGCGGGATCTGCGGGTCGTGCGGGTATATGCTCCCGAGGACGAGGCGGTAGCCCAGCCGTGAGACCATGGCGCGCATGTCGGTGCTGAACAGGCCGCTGCCGGGCCTGAAGTACTGGTGCTCCGGCCCCGCGGCCCGCGCCCGCATCGGCGTAGGCCTGGCGGATGAGGCCCTGGACCCTCCCGATCTGGTCCTCGAGGGTGTCGAGGTCGAGGGCGCGCGCCGCCTCGTCGTGCATGGCGTGGTTGCCCAGCTCGTTGCCCGCGGCGACGACCTCGCGCAGGACCTCCTCGCGGCCCTCGACCTGCCCGCCGATAACGAACAGGGTGGCGCGCGCGTCGTTGTCCTTGAGCAGCTGCACGATCTCCCGCGTGTACTCGGACGGCGCGTCGTCGATGGTCAGCGCGATGACCTTGCCCGCGTCGGCGGGGACCGACACCTCCCACAGGACGTCGGGCCACCGGTGCTGGAAGTAGCGGATCAGGAGGCGCGGGCGGTAGATGGCGTAGAAGGGCGCGAGCAGCAGCACGCACAGCAGGAGGAGGTAGAAGAGCGTCGCCATCCTGTTGCGCCGGGCGCGGCGCTTCACCTTGGACGGGAGGCGGAACAGCGCAGAGAACCGGATCATATCATCGGAGATGAAGGGCGGAGGAGACCCGATCTTTTGGGGGCCGCGCGGGCTTGGGGGGACGGAGGACGGAGGACGGAGGACGGAGGACGGCGACGGTGTGGGTTCTTTAGCGAATGGACAGGAGCCGAGGCTTCATCTGTGAGGGAGGAGGATGCGCATTGGAGTGTCAATGCAGCATGAGGACGGGTCTGCGAGCGAGTAGCGGGCAGGTTCGGGTGGGTTGTCGGAGGTTGAGCATGACGAGATGCCAAAATTGACGTTGGCACTTGCACAAAGGAGACAGACGACGTCTGGACCTGGGCCGGTGGTCAGTGCACCCCAACTACCGAATTCCAGGGTCTACGGTCGTAGGACGTGGGGCCGGGGTCCGCTTACCGGGCTCCCGGCGACCTGGCCGCCCAGAAATTATTGGGCCTTTTATCTCCAGGAAGTGCTCGCTTCATGGGTCACAGGTAGACGCGTTCGTGAACACATTAAGGGGCATCGCCTACAGTACTTCCAGGTAGGAACGGTAATTACTGTGTAATGCACGCTCTCATTCTTTCAGTCAGGGACACTTAATTACTTTGCGATGGGTTAGACGGCATGTCTGTACCGTCCAGGCCCGCTGAGCCGTTGAGGCCAGGGATAGTCTAGTTGCATTTGGAATCAACTGCTGAGGTGTCGATCACGTCGGGTATGCAAGAACAACATTTCTCATCATGACTCTATTTTGTAGAGAAAGCAAAACAAAGCCATGCCTACAGAAGTAACTCACGCACTGATCGATCGGGCTGAGCATGTTTTTGATCGGTCGATTCAAATGTTAGGCTTGATCTATGCCACAAGAGGGTTCCCAGGTATTCCTGTTGAGAGGCTACTGCCACTTCGCCCTAGTGGGGGTTAGGCGTGCCCCAACTTGGAGGGGAAGCTTACAGACGTACCGTGGCCATCACCCATAATCTCTCACTTACACCCAACCCCGACACAGGCAACCTGATACCACAGAGATAAACCTGGCTCACTCAAGATGGGCGACTTACCAAAATTGCCACTGGAGCTCATCTTCAACATCATCGCAAGCCTGCTGGGCGATCCTCAAACCATCTACGGCCCGTCTCACTCATCCACCGAGGCCCTCCTCTCATTCACCCTTGTCTGTCGAGCGACGTACTCTGTGGCTACCAACTACCTCCGCGAGCAGTGCCTGTTCATAGACGATGACAGACGCCTGCGCGACCTGATCCACACCGTCGAATCCACCAAGCACAGGGTCCAGGGCTACAGCGGCGCCGGGACTGACATCCCAAAGTCCCTGCCGGTACAGCCCGGCAGCAGCCTGCGGCCCATAGCAAGCCTGTACCTCTCCCCCTTCGGCCGGACCATCGACAACCAGCCAATAGCGATATGGATCCGTGAGCTGTTCTGCCTTGTCCACCCCACGCTGCGCCGCCTGGTCATAGACATGCCCCTGCGGAGCCTCTACCCGGCGGGTGATCACCTCAACGTGCGCAAGACCCTCAGGGAGGCTTTCAGCATGCTTACCGAGCTTGAAGAGTTCACAAGCGTGCGGGACGAGCTGTACCTTGACATTCTGGAACCGGAATGGCGGACGGAGAGGGAGACGACCGTGTGGACCCTGTGGCCCAAGTTGAGGAAGCTTGCGTTGTATAACGTCGACGCGGACGAGAGGTTCTGGAAGTCGGTGAGGAACATGAGTGAATTAGACACGGTGGTTTTGACGCGCGCAGACGGGCTGGAGAGCACCTGTATGAAAACAGAGTATTTTGACACTGCATCTGGGGGCGATACTAGTGACGATGCTGGGACTGTGGACGGGGAGGAGTCGGCACTACCGGGGCCGCTGAAGGTGGTGGTTGTGAACATCTCGAGCAACCAGCCCAACTATCTGGGAGGCAGGTGGAAATGGGACAAGGTCGACCCGAACAACATTATGAAGGTCATGACCTATGACGTCCCCACGTCGTTCTACGGCGATGAGAATCCCATCTACCTGTGCCAGCAATGGGTAAAGATGGCGGCTTTGAGGGGCGAGATTTGGGAATGGGAGGGAGACATGGTGAAGGGAGCACCCCGTGACGGCTCAGGAAATACCATAGCATTTGAGTTAGAGGCATGAGAGCTTACTGGACCTCGCTATGATAACCACGTTACTGAGTTTAGTCTTGTTTTGCAGACGGAGGTTGACATGGAACACCGGGGCAGGACCGATATTGATAACACAGGAGAGCAACTCCATTGTTGATACATCGGATGCCAAATTACTCACAATGGATTCACTAGCATCAGATGGAGACGAAGTCTGTGCCTGGGCCAGGCCAAGGTTGAATACGAGAAAATATTCAAGCACACCTGTTGTATCTTATCCACAAATTAAGCGTCTTCTAAGTCCCTGGCTTAGGTCCGACCTTCTGATGCAGAACGCGCAGGATAAGGTAACGTCGAAGTCAGTAAAAGGTGTTTATTAAACGCATCAACACAGAGTATCACTAAGCCCACTCCTGATTACAACCCTGCTGGAGACTGTCACAAATGTGACACACCTCCAGGGCTAATACAGTATCTAGGCACACACAACCCATGGCCCATGTAATACTCACTCTATTAAACACAAATCTCTTGACCTCTGGGTCATATAGTCTGCTCATCTATATGGGCTTGGGATTCCTGTCGCTTCCGTGCGTTCGCATTCTTGTCCGGCTTGGTAGGTGCGCCGGTCCACAGTGTAATGAGTTGCCTCAGACGCGGACTGACTCTCACTCATGACCCCCTCGATCATCACCCACCTGTCCTTCTCCATCATCTCCTCTGTCCGTCTCTCTGCCATCTGCTCCTCCCTTTTGATCACACGCCTCTCTGTCTACAAATCCGACATCTCCAGGTCATGGATCTCCCTCTCCAGCCGCTCCCTCTCGGCTTCCCGGTCGTAGTCCGTCATATGCGGATCATCAGCACGTGTACGACTAGTCCAGGGCTCCAAGAACAACCCAAACTCCCTTTTCGGCGAGGGCTCCGGGAGCCTGGAATGTGTCCCCGACAGTATTTCGAGCATATCTTTCGGCGGACTTGGCCACAGCCAACCACTTCGCATCTACGTCTCCTGGCAAGTCTGGCACCGGAGGCCGACCCTCACGACTCGTCATTGAGACGGGATTCATCTTCGACGCGCTGCGCATCCTTCTCCTGCTTGATGCGCAGGTCCTCCAGCTCGGACTTGGACTTGCGCAGCTCCCACCTCTCGGCGTCCTCGGCGTACTGCGCGCCGCGGTCCTCCTTGATATCTTGCTCATCGTCGGGGAGCATTTGGTCCAGCTCTTCGACACGGCCAATACAAGTCTTGCGCTGGCGTTGCGGAAGCGCGTTAGTAGTCTCAGGGCAAGAGTGAAGAGGTTAACCGTGGACATGGGCTCACAATAGCCTCAAGCTTCTTCTTATCCTCGTCGCTAGTCATCCGCAGTAGGACCTGGTGCAGCAGGTCGCATGCTTCCCGGTAGGCCGAGCGCGCGCCCTGGAAATTCTGCGCATTGTCGAGTTCGACGGCAACGTTGGCCCTTGCCAACGCCTTAGAGAGCATGGCCTTCCGCAATCGCTCGACCGTCGTGTAGGGGTTCGAGCCGCCGCGGCGCGAGTGACTTCCTTCATGCCCTCCATCGATTCCGTGTGTAGAATGAGCGCGATCGCCGTCAGGGTCATCCTTGATGTCATTAATCTCCCGGACGCGTCCGTCTATGAGCAGCGCGTCAGCCGTATTCGCAGTATTCGACGGTCCCGCGTGTCGGGGGCGAAAGCCGTCTGGTTCTGAGTCTGACACCGATCCATATCCAGAAAGTAACTTTCCACGTCGAGCTTCCTCCGCGGTTAATCTAGCGACGACTTCCTCCTCTAAGCGTGTTTCGGCCTCGTGTCGCCTTCGCTCTTCTTCTACCTTGGCGAGGTGCTCGGCCGGTCTTTTCCTTTCGAGTTCGGCCTTGGCTTGTTTGACCTGTTCGGCGTACCGGGCTTCCTCTTCGACCAGTCTTCTTTCTTCTACATTGTCGGCGAGGAGGCGCCTACGCTCGCGGTCGCGGGATTCAAGATCGTGGATCTCGTCCTCTACTTCTCCTTGTTCCCGACGGTGGCTCACCTCGGAGGCCACATTCTCATGGATGTCCCTGGTCCAATGTCCTAGGCACTGGCGGATGTGCTCACGGCCACCTGGGCGAGGCTCTTCACAGCCTTCCTCAGTACAGCAATGTTCGCGACAATATCGCGACGTAGGCAACTGCCCGGCATTGCATAAGCTGTGAGCGCAGGTATGGGCTAGGCAGAAGCCGCCTGCTGTCTTTGCCTCTTGCAGGCACTCATTAATAGAGCACTCATGGACAGAACAGTACTTGGCGCTTTGGCTATGGATGTTAAACTTGGCCTGGTGGCAGCCAGAGCTGAGGCAGGTGTGCTGCTTGCAGTAGTGTGAGCTCGAGCTTGACTCCTTGCCATCAGCACAGCCTTCGAGGCTGCACTTATGTGCAAAGCAGAAGTCACTGTGTGGTGCGGCCATCTGGCGGCCGCCCTCAAGCGGTCCTGACTTGGCACAGGGTATGTGTAAATCGCAGTGGAAAGCCTGTCGCCCGTCTTGAAAGCGCAGGCGTGGCCGCTGGCAGCCGTGAACCAGGCCACACGGAGGGTTCATGGAGCCGTGCTGATCGTCTTCGGCACCGTGATCCTGCTCAATTTGCTGCTCACTTTCATCGCCACTGACCTGAGGCAGAACGGTACCCTCCTCCTGCTCAATTTCGTCGCCATCAATCTGGGGCAGAACAAAGAGTGACAACTGTTCCAGATGTTTCCCCACATGAGACTCATACATGCGACTGTCCTTGATATCGAAGGTGAGACAAAGAGGGCATTTGCCTTCAGCACATCTGGGGTCAGAATTACTGCTGAGAGCTACTAAGTTCTCCACTTTCCCGGTTGAGACGTGTGTTGGGTGTACTTCAAGTGCGTGGCGGCGGCAATCTTTGGGAGTTCTGAAGCCCAAGGCGCAGCCAAATGGGCAGGTCCAAGTCCTCCAGTGTGCTTTGAGCATATGACGGGCCCATTGTTTGCGCTTTTGGAAGTCTTGGCTTGCTTTGGTACAGTGCTTTTCGAGGCAAACATATGGGTGCAAATCTCGGTATACGTGGTTTCTGAGTGACCGGACAGGTAAGCCGTCGTACGCAATATGAAACAATAAAAGAAGCTCACTCACTTCCATTCCCGCCCAGCCTTCCAATCACTTTCAGCATCAACTGAAATGAGCATATAGCAGAAAGGGCACAGGAAAGGGCCGTTTATGTGGTCCTTGGGAATGGGTGGGATATGACGTTGCCCTTCATCTGCAGAGGTGGTGGCATATGAAGTTGTCGAGACCTTCGAATAAGTATCCTCAGCATCCTCCAGAATTGCGGGAGCAGTATCTCTGGACTCGTGAGGCAGAGATGATGCGATAGTCGTTCCCTTTCCTTTGCTTCCATCGTCGTCATCATCGCCATTTAGTCCTTCTTGTAGCCGAAGATGGTGCTCCTCTCTATAGTTAAAGTATCGGCGTCGTTGAGTGAGTGCCTTGCCAAGTCGCTCACTGATGACAGGATCTATATCCGGAAACTTCTACTGAACGTGCGCGACGTCCCACTCATATGGGTATGGGACGACACCAGCTCTGGATCTGAGCTGGTCATATGGAAGCTGGGTTGCTAATTGTAACCGCAAGCCTCATCAAGCCGTCTACAACGTCCTCCATTTGTGACAGAACTCGCCTCAGCTCAGAGTTATCGGAAGATCCATCGCTATCGTTGTCCCGGAAGTACTCCGCCAGTTCCTCGTCGGTAGAATCACCCTCATCTTCTTCCTCGCCGTGCTCATAAGGATGTTGCTGGGCAATAGATTGGGGTAGGAGCTGTTAGATGGAAGACTTCTTCGCTGCTTCTGGTTTCGTCCTAGTCACTTGCCTTCTTTCACATAACGTTCCAGATTCTCCAGTAGAAAGAGAACAGTCTGACGAATTGATGATGCATCACGAAGTCGATACGATAAAGATCGGGTCCCAGCGACACGATGCGCTCCCATACAGCCTGACCATAATTTGAATTTCGAAAGGTGTGAACGTGTGATTGCGGATTCCGTTGAATAACTTAAAGATTCCCCCAGGGTCGAAGACAGTCCCTCCAACTCAGAAATTGAGGTCCGCACTAGAGAAGGGATCCGCTTGGACTTGTCCATGTTGGCGGCCTTGGGAGATGAATCGGTGCTCAAGAGAGCGATGGCATTTTCAATGTGGCGGCCCAACAAGTCTGGCGAGCTTGAATTGGGATCCTGATCGTCTTGTCGGCTCTAGGTCTCTGTTTTGGAGGGCCAGATTTTGCAGAGTCGAGTTCCCATTCTTTATTCTGTCAAGAATGCTCACATTGTCTTTCTTCCTCAGCGTGAAAGATATTGCGAACGAAGCTTTACGGGCACCGCGTTTCAGTGCTTCAAGTACTGAGCGCCGATTATCAAACATCGTCTGTGGAATGTACCCATGTTAATCGAAGCGCAGCATACTTCCGTTGGAGGAAAATCTTACGCCTCCATTCTCTGTAACCGCTAGCTTCTGCTGAAGCTCATCTACAGCCTTCTTCATTTCCGTGACCGTGTGTTGAAATACTGCTGAGGATCGATACAGACGGATATTGATCTCCACGTCATATTCCTTCCAGGCTGGACCGAAAGGGTCTGCTGTTATAGCGTCGAGCTTGGAATTCGGAACAATGTCTTTGAGCAGAATTTGACACGTGTTCTGGAGGATTTGTTGCTCGGCTGTCAGTATTGATATCATGTCTTCCAGGTCTCGTTGAGCGCTCTTCATCGATGATAGAATCGTTCGATATAAGTATGTAAGGCCTTGATGACTAGAGGGATGACCCCAAGAACCAAGCCGGCGGCTTCCATCCTCGGCTCTTTGTGGTGAAGCGGACTCTATTGCGAGGCGTGAAGCAATTTTGTCCCGAAGTGATTGAAGGGCAATAGAGCTGGAGACGTGTGTAGTGCGCCGGGACTGATGTCCTTTTCTGGTCCTCAAGACCTTGCCTACATGGGCCCATGCTGACAGCACGCCACTAGCTGTGAAGAGGGCACCAATCACTTCCAGACATGAGGTTGCACAGCGTGTTTATTATTAGACCAGTGGGGCCTTCACTTCCACCAGGATCTCTCTTAATCTGTAATCGAGCGAACTAGACAGCTTTTTGTAGCAGGCTATTTCCGGTGTTCCTGCTCACGAAAAGACTGTGGAAGACTTCAAAAGACTTTAATGCGAAGCAGTCTCATACCGACTCCTTGCTCTAATAGCCTTCCCGAACTTAAACAATGACCAAGGCACCGGGAGCAAAGCCACCGCAATAAATCCCAAGAGACTGGTGGCCCATCCGACCCCGAGGTTCTGATACATCTGTATCGTAAACAGAGGGAAGGCACCGGCCAGCCCGTACCTGGCAAGACTGCTCGCGCTCATGGCACTGGCCACCGTGGTCCCGTGGAAAGTGTCCACGAGGTACTGCGTGGTCGACACAAACAGGCAGATATTACCCCACGCAAAAGGCATGATCGCGACCGCAGGGCTCGCCCACGAGACTCCAGGCCTCGCGGTCCAGCCGAACCAGAAGATCCCCACGGGAGCCAGCACGCTGCCTATCATGGCCGGGAAGAGGCGATACTCGGGCGGGACCTGGTGCGGCGGATGGCGGGCCACCTGCGGCCTGTAGAAGCACACGTCGCAGACGACGATAGTGACGAAGCCGATGAGGCAGCCGACGATGATGCTGATGTACACGAGCCCGACCTCCTCGGGCGCGAAGTGGTATATCCTCCCGAAGACGAAGGGGACCGAGGCGAAGAAGCAGAAGAGGGTGGCGAACTCGCAGGCGACGTAGAGGCAGACGAAGGCGACGATGGGCTCTGTGAAGAGCATGTGGAGAGGTCGGATCAGGGCGACGGTGACGAAGACCTTGGCCTGGGCCCAGACTGATGGGGACGGGGGCAGTGGAATTTTGAGCTTCTTTGCCTTTCTGCGCCGTAGGACTGGCGCGTAGGTTTCACGACCCCAGACGACGCTTACGAACATGGCTTCTATGTAGAAGAACAGCATCGTCCATTGGGTCCATCGCCACCCTTTCCTGTTCACAACGAAAGCACCAATCAAGGGGCTATGTTACCCAGTCAGCCAATTGAGGACGCCTCATAAGAGTAGAAGCAGAGAAGGGAGGACTCACGCCACACCGGGGCCAAGGAAAGGCGTCAGTATAAACAATGCCGACGGCAGACCCCTCTCCTTGGGCTTAAACACATCGCTAAGCACGCCAGGCGACACGGCCAGGGACGGCGCATAACAGAACCCAGCCAGAAAGCGCAGCACGCAGAGCCCGGCAAAGCCGTGGACGAGCCCGCAGCCCAGCGTGAAGAGGGAGCCGAGCGTGCCCAGGACCGTGTAGGTGGAGTGCCGGCCGACCGTCTCGGACAGGGGCCCGCCGAGCACGGGGCCTAGGGCGAGGGCGAAGACGTACAGCGACAGCGGGACGAGGGACTGTGTGACGCCGACGCCGAACTCTTCCTGGAGCTGGGTCGTCGCGGGCGATATGATCGAGGTTCCTATCGACCTAGTATGGCGGGTGACGTTAGAAAGTGTAACTATGTCGGGGACTATTCATCAGCTGGTGATATGATCGCGTACTTACCCCAAGAAGCCAAAAGAAGCACACATGGCAACTTGCTGCCACTTCTTGGCCGACGGCCAGTTGTACGGGTTCTCGGGGTCTTGCTCCCAATCCGACGCCTCCGGGTCGGACGCGAGCGCCTTCTCCTTAGGGGTGATGCCCCCATTTTCCATCCTCTCCACGGCGACGTCGTTGTCTGTAGCTGAACCAGACATCGTATTATCGTCTTCTGGCAATACTGATTCCCCCAAGGCACCGCCGTTAACCTTCTCTGACTCGAGTCTCGTGGTAGTGTTGTCCATCCTTGGGCACAGAGGATTGTGCAGGGCGGGGAATTGGTAAGGAAGCAAAGAAGCAGGGGGGTGATTTCCCCTGGTGATACAGACCTGCAACTCTATCTGTGGGTATACAAGATCGCAAGTTGCATTGGGCCTTGCGTATCTGATATATACTTGCCGCAACTGCTTATTTTGATTTTGTGATCAGATCACTAAGTAGTGGGATCCATAGTCCACCGGGTCTGAGTCGTAAGGCTTACCGAGCTCCCGACACCCCTTCAAAGCTTCGAATTGCAAGGGCAACCTTATTAACTAGACCTAGTCGAGGCAGTAATGTGGCGGCACAGCATCATGGTGTCCATATTGTGTGCTTATATATACCGAGCCCGGAGTTGAGACGCCCAATCGCCCTGGCCTAGTATGCCGAGAAGGGCTGGAGATGTCGATGGGACCTGCAAGCGAATAGCGCCTTGGAAATTGATCCCGGGTGTTCAGTAATCGGCTGTGTGTGGAAAACGAAACGCTACCCCCCCCTTGTCGTTTTGACTCGCGCTCTCCCCTCCGCGTTTAAAATCTTAAGTTTTAAATTCAGCTATATTTTATTATATCTTTATTAAAAAATTAAATAAAACTTTATAAATTATATATTTAAAAAGCTTCAATTATTAAATATATTATGAAATATTATTTATATTTATTATTTTAATTATTAATTAATATAAGTATAAAGTTTTTTTTATTATTATTAAAATAATAAATAACAAAGTTATATTATATTTAAGAAATATTACAATATAATATTTTAATAAAAAAATATGTATTAAAAATATATATTAGAAATAGCTTAGTTGTAAAGGATTTAAGATTTTGGAGAGGAGGGGAGAGCGCGAGTCAAAACGACAGGGGAGGGGAGCGGGTAGCGTTTCGTTTGCTAAACACAGGGGATCCATGTCGGTTATTAGCCTCGGCTCAAAAAAGTGAACTCTTCCTCTTCGGGAATTGTGCTAGCGGTAAGTAGGCTATCAAGGACTTCGACGCCCTTCGTAAGACCATGACGAGGGTAACACCGACATCGCGCTTCTGGGCCAACTTGAAACCAGAGACCCTCGCAATAATCTCTGACTTATTTCAAGACGATCATCCAGGTTCTCAATTGATTCAACTTGATTCATAATCAAAGAGGGTGGTCTTTAGTACTATGCACATCAATCCCTTGGTATCGCTTGTGGGCCTCGTCTAATTCGACATGATCCCTCGCTAGGATATCCAGCCCCAATCAGGACTTCGAGCAGCAACACGCCAGATTCCGCAAAGTACCAACTATCCCAGGGGACCGAACCATGCCTTCTTTCTCCGCTCGAGGTTTCTCATCCTGAGCACCGTCATATCCAAGCAGTCCCGCTTTCTCGGGATCAAAGGGCGAGTCGTTGTGGTACAATGGAAGGAGGGTGCGAGGCTGCGGCCCGGGCTTGAGGAACATTCTCCCCCATCGCAGCCACCATCTTGTGCTGCGTCCCGATGTATACGAAGGAAGCGTGGAGTCTTCATCGTCGCCGTACATATCCATCTCCTCAGCGCTGAAACTGGCCATCGCCTCCACCTTGTCCGCCATCCTGCTCTTCTCGACATAGGAAGTGGCCTGGCCAGAGCTGAATCCGCGCTGCTGCCTGACCTTGAGGCGAAAGGTGTCGGGGTCGATAAGGTAGTGGGAATCCCCACTCGGCTCCGTGACAATGATCTGCGGCCCGCGATTTGTGTCGTCTGGCTCGTCCCAGAATTGCCAGTTGCATCTTGGCAGGGCTCTGGGGCCTCTGACTGGTCTGCGGCGGGCCGGACCAGCCCGAAAGTTTCCTTGGGTTCGAGGGCCGTGACGATCCTGGAAGTTTGTTGAATTCTGAATGAGCACCCTCTTTCTTTGTGCACTATCTGCCGCCAGCTCCTAGAGCGGCTGTTGTGATGGTCTGGACTGGTGCGTGTGGTCGAGGGATCTGTACCACACGTCCAGGGTCGAAGTGTCGCAGATGAACTCCTTGCGCGCCGTGGCTAGTAGCCAGCGGTGAGAGCCGGCCCCGTTGGACGCTAGGTCCGGGTAGACACCGTCAGGAAAGGCCGCGGCGTTGAGGACGGTGAATTCTGCCAGATACTTCCGGATCCTCGGCGGCAGTCTCGCCGAGTCGAGGTGGCTCCAGCCTGATTCTGGGTTGCTGACGATCATGATGCCGTGGTTGTCGTTATCTATGGCGGGGAGATGCCTGGCCTTTTGGATGCACGTCGGGAAGTCCTCGAACAGCTGCAATATGCGTTCCTGTTCTGCGTCATCCGCATCCGCACTCATATCCTCGTCGTCGCTGCTGTCGGACTCGAAAGTACCCGAATCATTTGTGTCGAAGAGAGGTTGTGTTCGTTTGTGGTTCTCCTTGTTTCTGTCCGCCACGTCGCCGTGACCATTTGGGGTATCTCGTGAGATGGGTGATCCTATGTTGGCTGATGATTCGGTTCTAGCCTGCGGCCCTGACAAGTGAGCACCGGATATTGGTGAAGAGGATGAGCCTTCAGGCTGCACTGTTTCGAGACTCTGACCATGGACGTAGCCAACAGTCTTATCAGCATCCGCACCGGCGTCGGCGGCGGCGTTGTGAAGGTCTACGAGAGCGAGGTTTTCGGACTGTGGCTTCCATGGGCTCTTTCCTATCTGTGCTCCCAAGTGACAAACAGGACATTGGGCTCTGGTGGTCTCTCGGCAGAGCTCGTGATGTTCAGCGACGTGAAGCATCCACCGGCCATCGCCATCCGTCTCCTCAAGAATGTTGGGCTCGCCGTACCTGTCGTTCTCATTTGCAATCTCGATGACCTCGTCGAGACGCCTCAATTCCTTGACTCTACTATACCAGTAGGGTACTCTGTACGAATCTGGCCGGGGACGTCGGTACCGCGTCAGAGTCTCCCAGAGGCGCCGGAATTCTTCAGCCATATTGCCGCTTGGGAAGGGGACCACTGTGTCCGGAGAAGACACATCGAAGATAGCCCGAATGCCCTTGTTGAAATAACGAACGGTTCGAGGTTCAGTGCTGCCAGGGCACGTATGTCTGTGGCAGGGTGGATCTAGTCGCCGGTTCCCGACCGTAATGATTGAAGATCGATGAGTGTCGAGTTACGGATGGGGGATCTAGTGAACAAACGATGGGCAGTATTGATGAAACACTTGAATGAGATAAGCGAATGGTGGTCAGGGAAACCTACAGGCTTTCCGAGTGAGCAAGGTGTGGAAAGGATACAATTAGCTGCTGGGGCGAGGCATTGGACTAATATGAACTTCAGATTGTGCTTGGGAAAGAAGGACCGGGTCGGTCACTAGAGGGCGCCGGACCGAGTAATGTGGACGCCAGAACCTTCTTTTCGACACCGCATCGAGCGTACAATTAGAGGGAGGGTGCGAAGGCGCCCCGGGCACTTCAAGGTATCAGAGCAGTGCCTGCGGTCACAAGGACGAGCAAGACCTCCCGGGCGGCGCCTATCGTCCCCAAGTGACCCTAGCAAGTCACATCGGCAGCGCCGTTCTCAACGAAACAGGCGATAGCCCGGGATGGTACATAGTAATACAGCCCGTGTCGCCTTTAATTCCCAGCACTCGTGCTATATGTTCATTCCGAGTAAATAGGTACCAGATCTTATCGCCTAGGCATTACGTGCACTCTCACCCAGGCCTTGTGAGATGCCCTGGTCTGCTTCGGTTCCTTAGGAAGGGGTTTTCTGCTGGAGCCATCAAGTGAGCACATGCTAAAAGATGAGGGCTATTGCTCCGTAGGCCGTCAAAAAGCTGGAGTGGCCCTGCCCCGGCCGCCCTAGCCTGTATCTTTTCTGCTGTGCTCTGTAAGCCATACTTCCTTCTTTTGGGACCACCACCACCCGAGTCCGCTGTCCACCCCTGGGATTTGCGACTGTTGGCGCATTGGCTCTGAAGTGGAACTATGCATAACAACCAGAACGAGCATTGCCCAGACAACAGGCACACAAGTGCTTAGGGAACTTGATTCACTTCTGAGCTCGCATGCTAAAGCGAATACTGCCCAGGTGCACCGCAGTCGCTTAGCTCATCTGCAAACAGAGTTCGCCCGTGGCTAATGCCGCGCACATGGACTCGGGGCTTCTTGCCCAGATCCGTGACTTTGGCGCGTACCCCACATGGTCTTCTCCAGACGTTGACCTTGCAGAGTCTTAGTCTTGTAGAGGTCTGCACTCGTCATTAGCAAAAATTCAAAGGTAAAGCGCGCAAGTCCAGTATCGTACCCGAGATAATCCTCGTTCATGCTGCCAATGGCCCTGATCTCGCCAACCTCGTTCCTGATACCGGCGATCTTGACGCGAACGTGGGAGCCGCTCTCGATGGTCAGGCCTTCGTGATCGGTGAACTGAGGCGGTGTCGCGTTCGCATCGTACTTGCATGTCTTGGGCATCAACTAAAAGATAGTTAGCCACTAACGGCAAGCCCAAACAAAGAGGTGTGCCATCACGGCGCTCGCAGCACGTACGAAGTTCGACACGAACAGCTGCAGCGGGCCAGCCTGGCAGAAGAAACCGTGAGGATTGACGGAGAACACAACAGCATCAACCTTGAGCTTGAATTAGCACATGATCGTAGCCATGCGCAGCGGTTTACCCTACCGTCTCGCCCCTGAATGGAGCCCACACGACGGCGCGATAGCCGACCGTAAACTCTGCCAGCCCACTTCCAGGCAGGATGCGCCCCTCGGAGATGTCGAACGTGTCCATGATGGTGATGATGAAGTAGTTGCCCGCGCACGTGCCCTCGACATCCTTCAGTAGCTTGGTTGTGACCAGCTCGTGCATATTTCGGCCGAAGTAGGAAGGGTGAAGCGTGACATGACGCGTGAGGTTGTGCAGAAAGAACATGTTGTCTCGATGGCTTGTTTCGTCTTCGACGGTCGGTCGGTCGGGACGGGCTCGACCTGATGCGACGCGGTGGCTCGAGATCGTAAAGTCGACTGTCCTAGACCGCTCGCAGGGGCTGGTCGCAGCTACGAGATGGGCGTCGCGTCGGTTTGAAAGCAAGGGCGGTCGGTCGAAAGGCCTCGAGGGAAGTTGCTGAATCGGTGAATTGCTGCCAAGTGATGAAGACTGGCGGCTGGCAAGGTTTGCGCCCGAGGAAAGCTGTAGATGTTGGAATGCGGCGAGACCGCCTTCGAACAAGGCCGATCCGAGGAGATAAAGAACGATGGCCTCCCCGAGCCTAGGTTCTTGGAGCGAAGGGGTGAATTTTCAGCGGCGGCTCGTCTGCGGGCAGAGACTGAGCGAGTCGAGAAGGAGAGGGCGGCGAGGGAGGGAAAGGAAGGCAGATGCAGACCGCAGACCAGGAATGCGATTCGAAGGACTTGGAAGGCTTGACGTCCACCTCCAAAAGCCGTCCGAGCTTGTACCAGCGGCAGCAGGGATGCATGGTCCACTTCCGCAGCGCAGGCACGCGCCAGTTCCACAGTGCCGAAGGCCTGAACAATAGTAGCACTATCGAGGCGACATAGGCGTTTGCATCGGACCCTGCCTTAATCACTAGCAGACCACGTTACCTGCGACGGACCCCACAAATTGAGGCTCAAAGAGCTGTGTCCTTGGCAGCTCCGATTCACCCTCAATTGAAGAGGCCACATGGGGATGATCACTATACCCTGCTCGGTACCGACTTGCCGAGAGAAGCAGCCTTTGTACATGAACTAGGTGCAAGACAGAGCTTAGTACAAGATTACCTGGAGTAACTTTTCGCATGCCTTCTTGTATGTAAAGAGGACCGTTTGTGCTGGGGAGTGAAGTGTTACGACCACAATCCATGCTGCAGTTCTAGGCCCTGTCTGCGGTACCTAGGCATATAATGACAAGCACTATACCCCCGTATGCCGTGATTCGCGTTGTGCCTACGCAGTCAGTGCATGTACAACACCTGGGCCTGACATGAGCCGGGTCCGAACGAGGTGCCTGGGGTAGCATCCCGAGTTTCGCAGCTTGGCAAGGTGGCCGAGGTCAAGTCCTCGAGATCATGGCAGATTGGTAAAAGGCTTCACCTGTCTGGAAAGAACATCCGAGGTCCCCGTCAAACAAGCTTGGGACGGCAGCACTGGGTGCAAACATGACAAGGGCGGGACCCACCGATCCAACGTGGGTGGGAAGCTGGCGAGGGGTCCGCGGGCCTCCTGGCCAGTGCACACTCCCGCGTCAGAAATCCAAACCTGTGGACCTCTCCCGCCCGCGGGCGTCGCGGGCGGCCCCCATTCCCGAGGCACCACACACCAACTACTCAACTCACATCAGGAGACGTCAGGCGATCTGCTCCCGGTAGAAGCAAACCTTCGCAGCCTGCCCGCCCAACAATTCCCGGCCAGAAATACCCACTCACCCGTATAAAGAAGTATAAAGAAGTGGCCGTCAACCCTCCCAAACCTCGAAGCCCTTGCGCTTGGCGTTCGTGTTCCTGTTCCCGGACCCTGCCGCAACCCTCCGTCGTCCACCAACGTGTCTTATCTCCCCAACCGCCGTTGTGTCTCACTCGAACTCTGTCCTTGCCAACGACGTCGACGCCCACCATGTCTCTTGACCTGGAACGCCACTTGGTCTTTGTGAGCACCGCCGAGCTCCGCAATGCCGCCGAGCACCAGCTAATGTGCCCTCGCAGTACGGCTCCTACCACAACAATGTCGTCAATATCGGCATACACATGGTCTGCGTGCCAATCATCCTGATGACGAGCTTCCTGCTGGTACGGCCGCCCTTCTGCGACAAGCTTTCCCACGCGATGATGCTGACACCAATGACGTGGAAATAGGCTGCGAATTCGGGCGTCCTCATCCCACTGCCGTCATACCTCACGCTCGAATACCTCCCATTGAACATGTGCACGATCGGGAGTATCATCTGGGGCGGATTCTACGTGCTCATGGAGCCCGTCGCGGGTAGCCTGCTCTGCGCCATCTGCCTGGGGATGGCCGCGGCGGACAACTATTTCTACTCGGTGGATGCGAAGACGTCGACGGCAGTAGCAGGCGGCATATTTGCCGTGGCATGGATCCTGCAGTTCCTGGGGCACGGCAAATTCGAAGGCCGTGCCCCGGCTCTGCTCGACAACCTGATGCAGGCGCTGCTTCTCGCGCCGCTCTTTGTCTGGCTGGAGCTGCTCTTCTACTTTGGCTACCGGAAGGAGCTCAAGGACCGCGTGGACAAGAAGGTCGAGAAGAATATCGCAAAGTTCAGAGCTGAGCGGGCGGACAAGAACGGCAAGGCGCAATAAGCGCTGTCAGCGCCAGATTCGAAGGCAATCTTATAACCATGGGAAGCTATAGACCCGATCGTTGTGCTAGCCGCTATAGCACGGTCCCACGACAAACGAACATACTCCATCACACTTATAGAAGTGATGATAGGGCGTGATACACAATCGAAGCAAACACAGCAAGATACCGGTAAACCATGATCCAGAATACGGTCTGGTCCGATGCCACCTCACCTTTTTTCTCACAGACAGGTCTGTGAATCATGTTCATGTCTTAGTGGGCGGTCCGCTGGAAGCGGCAAAATCCAGAGGGAATAGACTCAGCTTTCTCTGGCAGCTGCCTCAAAATTCAAGGTCACACGGCAGCGCTCCAAATCACTGCACCCACACACGACCACCGAAGCGAAGCGTCAATTCCGCCAAAGCACTCGATCTTACATGTCGGCCCTGGCTCAGTTTTCCAACCGCTTCCACAAAGATTTGGACAGTGTTTTGGTGATTCCACAGGAGAAATTGAGCAAAGCATGCTTCTGTCACTCGAGTTCTGCCTCCCTGAATGGCACTATCGAGCATGGCTCGGTCTCGAAATACCTGTATGTCTGCACTGAGTCGAGATTGTTGTACCATGCAAACCGTCAAAAAAGGTGGCGGCGGCTGAGAGGCAAAAGCATTTGAAAAGCTCATTTGTAAGCGTTTGCTTTGCGCGGTTTTGGATTCTGATTGTTCTGCGTCTCAGCCGGCCGCCTGCCCTATGTACATAATTTGTTGGTGAACGACACACTGTTAAACATTTAAATTTACAACACCACCTACCCACCCGGCCGGGACACCTTTAGATCATTGCGTTGAGGGCGGATGATCTCCCAAGCCTGACACTTTGATGAGAGATGCGGATCCGCCGAGCGAGACACTTATCAGAGTCTACGAGTTTCTCTAGCCCACTGTGTCTATAGCAGGGTCAGATGTAGATCCCTTTTTTTCCTGCTTGTTTTTCTGCGGGCGCGGGAGAAGGGGTTGGGGGGGGGCTTGGGGGAAGGGGGGGGGGGCAAAACAACAGTGTCACAGAGAAGCAAGATGAAACATTGGGAAGACAGCTATAGACTGATTCCAAAGAGTGAAATTAGTTGGTACTTGTAATGAAAGGAAGTATCCACAGGATACCGCATTAAAGCAAAAGACAGAAAGAAAAACGGCGGGACGGTTAGCTTCTCGGAAGCTTCCAGCCTTGTCCCGCCTGACATGACAAAGGAAATATCGTGGTAGACAACCACCTTGGACTTTTTTTCGTTTACCTTCTTTTGCGTGAGGAGGCATACGGGAGCTTCCGTGTTACGTTAACTGGCGAGACGTCAGACTCCCGTGGCGAGTCGGCATAGTTTATGGGATACCCAAGATAGGAGCAAATGTCCCGCTCGATGGACGATTGTGACAGATCTGACACACTGCGACGGGGGCTTGGGGTCCGCGGCAGGTTCCTGAGCGCCGGGTGGATCTCGCCTGATGGCCACGCCGTGTTCCTGAGCGCTGGGTGTACCTGGTCCGCTGGCCTCGCAGCGGTCCGGAGCGCCGGGTGGATATGGCTCTGGCCGACCTCCTTCGCCGCGTTCCTGAACGCCGGGACGGTATTACCTAGCTCTGTCCGCCTCACAGAGCGCTGTCGCTGATGCTGCTGATGCGGCGGCTGCGGCGTCTTTTTCTGGATATTTAAGGGAGCGGGGTACGCACTTCTGTCGTCGTCGTCGATGATTTGGGGCGTGGGCCGAGCCGTATGTTGAGGTGGAGCCCGCGCCCTGCCCTCTTTGGCCTTCGCGAGCGCGCTCTCGCGGATCTTATCCGCTTTGCTGTTGCTCGTGGCGAAGCGCTTCTGATGGCGGTTCGACTCGACCTTTCCTGCGTCGCGAAGAGCCTGCTTTACGTGTGCCTCGGTCTTCCTGCGCGCCTTCTGGCTGGGAGGAACGAGGGGAGCTTTCCTGGGTCTTTCCCATCTGTCAGCTTTGTATACCGGGGCCACAGGCCTGGGGGGTTTCACAGCTTCTTCGTAGTGCCTCCTTGAACCTTTTGCTTCTGCGAAGCACATTATGAAGATGAAGAGTCAGATTTTGGTAGTTTGATGCGGGCTGTCCAGGAGACTTCTGGACCAAGACCAAGACGAGGACTAAGACTGGGGCTTCCATATTTATATGTTTTGGGAGGGAGGTCCGGGCTGGAATACTAGACTTACAAAGGGAACGGGGAATTCATAATGGATTAAGCTGTCTACACGGCACAGTGTCTTTGACCTCGTTCTTTCTCGAACGTCCTCAGCCTTCAACAATCCTCTTGTCTACGTGCTCTAAGGAGGGTCTAGACCACCCCACCACTTGCAGATGTCGGGCCTTGCATCGTTGTCCCTTGTGTGAGCAACAGTCACATTGTTGAGATACAATGCGACGGCTCGGTCATGATTCGAAAATATCTGAATATAAAAATGAACGGGTAAACCCTCAACGAAAAAGCTCACTTATCCTTCACTCATCGACCTACAATTGAGCCAACCCAGCTGCAGTGTAACCATTCGCACTGCTTGATTCTTTCCGCAGGACACCACACACCTCTGACTTGCAGCGTTTCGGGTATAGCTAGGTAGGTTTTGCCGTAAGAAGGCGAGAAACACCAATGTGGAACTTCTTTTCGCGTATGAGGCAGCGTAGGGCACAGCGGCAGGCAGCCCAGGGCTTCCGCTTCACTGTCATCGCGCCACAAACCCGTGGCCAAGACGAAACCATGGTCTTACGCGACAATATCGACGACCTCGGAGCTACTGCCGCCCTACAGCAGGTAATCGAGGCGAGTAGACCACGGAACGGCCGCGAGATGTCGAGCCAGACGACAAGCTTGCACGTCAGAACGCATGTCTCTGCGGTCTCTGCAGACTCAGAGGACTACATACGGAATCCGTATTCCGACACTGGCCGCCGCCCGCCTAGACAAGAACGTGGCCCACCGTCAAGCCCCCTCGCGGTCGCCCCTCCCGCACAACCCGCGAGCTCCACGGAGGATGACTACGTTGAGGTTGACAAACCCAATGTTGAAGAACGTGAGGAGTCCCAGAGCATCAGCAGGAATCTCATCGTGGATCCCGTGGGCACGCTTCTGCACACGGCAGCAGCGGCGACCCTCGCGGCCGGGCCTCCCGGGCGCCAGTATATCACGTCGGGACCTCCTCCACCCGACCAGAGAGGAAATTTTCAGGCGCAGAGTGGTAGCCAGGTAAGTCCCCTACTCACACTGAGTCCTCCACTTTCCCCCGCTCTCACGCAACGGTCTCGGGCTGCCAGCAGCCCCGCGTACAGTTCCAGACGCCGAATGAGTGATTGTTCTATGCGGTCCGTGCATACATTGTAAGTACACTGTAGCAAGTACGAAGCCATCGTAACCGTCATTGTCATTGTCATGATCATGGTTGGGTTTGGTACGTATCCCATATTTTCTTTGGAAAGGTAGGTAAGTCAAGGGAATACCAAGGCGTAGAAATCGATTTAGACAATAGATTGAATCCTCCCAAAAGAAAAAAAGAAACTTGTAGACTTGCTTGTGAAATTGTGACCATTGTAAGTGGATAGAAAACGAGGGATAGAAACTGTACGGGGCGGAAGTACGTAGAGGGGAACGAGACATAGATTGTCTAATACCACCAAATGAGATAATCCGAAGTGTGTATGCTATTGGAGGCACATACTGGATCGAAATTGGACGTTCGCTGGCACACCTGCAGAAGTCTTTGGACGGGAAGAGGGACCGATCATTAGTGCGCGTGCTAATTGTGTTGCTGACAGCTGGATAACTACCACAGTACAGCTCGGCACATCATCCGTGATGACCGCACTAACCCGGCGACAAAAGCCATACTAAATGCAGGAAACGCCTACCTAGGCCAAGGATCACGCAGACTTGGGCGCGAGAGCCGTGCAGCTGAAGCGGAGGTCGTCAATGCCCGCAGCCTGCACCAGCTTGATGACCCTCTTGATCCCGAGCTCGAGAGCCCTGGGGCTCAACACGTCCTCGTCCTCCGCAAGGACGCCCCTGTCGATGGGCCCCTTCCTCGACCCCTCCAGCTCCCACAGGTGGCCGCCCTCCTTGACGAAGGAGACAAAGTGCTGCCCCGCGTGGCGGGTGTCATCTGACGGGGGCGCAGCCGTGTCGCCGATTTCGACGACGGACTTGTGGGCTGCCTCAAAGGGCTCGCTGTCGTAGAGCATCTGGGCGCGGTCCTTCATGCCGAGCGGGATGGCGTCGCGCCGGAGCTTCTCGAAGTCGCTGCCTGGGAGGATGTGGGCCTTCGCCGGGCCGTTGATGACCGAGTGCAGGAGGCCGATCGAGCCACACGCGTTGCCGATGGTCTGCTGGAACCACACGACGGGCTCCTTCTCGCCGAGGCCGGCGTAGTCCTCCTTGGTCGCGTCCTCGGCCTTGCGCTCCTCGTCCCAGGGCTTGGTGAGCGGGATGATGACGAGCAGGGCGTGGGCGGGCCTGGGGATGTGGGCGAGGAGCTCAGGCTCGTCGAGCGAGTAGACGTCGTAGAACTCCAGCTCGTCCGAGAGCCCGAGCTTGGTCTTGAGGGCGTTCATCACCTCGGGGTTGTTCTCTGCGCGAGTGGGTCAGAGAACGGGCCGAAGAGCGGACACCGCTGGTTTGTGGCGCCTGCTGTACGATGGGCTAGCGGGCTTACCCAGGATGGTCCAGCATTTTCCTTCGGCCATGTTGGTGAGGCTGAGAATGGGAGTTGGACGCCAAAGCACCTGATGAGTTAGTTGTGTTAGGTCCGATCTGATGTGAGATCCGGCTGGGAGCTCAGCCTTCAGCGTTGAATGAAAGTCGGGCAGGGCAGTTGGATGAGTAGCGTGGGTGCTCAGTTTGAGGCCAATGGGCAGGTGGGATATAGGCTGGGTACCTAGGTAGTGTACCGACCCAGAATAGCAGGCACCAGTGGGTTGACGTTGCCGTTTGCATTGACAGCAGCAAACTAAGTTTGGGTTAGGTTAGGTGGGAGCTGCGGCTGCAGCTGCACACAACGTAAGACCCCAGCCCTGCCAGCAGCCACCCTGGGCTGCCTGGGCCGGCAGATCTCCTTGGCAACCCGCTCTTTGCGGGCTGCCACCCTGGAGCCACCCAATCATCTTATACCATTCTGGTCTAAATGCGGGCCACCTGGGGTAGAGGAGGGCAGGGCGCCCTCCTGCTGTGCTGCGCTCCACCAGACAAACTACTCCAACCCTAAATCCTTGCACCAGCTGTCTGACAATCAGCAACAGCCACCGCTCCAGCAGCCACGGCCGGCACTACGCTCGGCCTCTGCCTGTATCATCTACAAATCAGGTGATTGCCAGCGCTTACATTCCCCTCTCGTATCAACGAAAGGCGCCCGGCCAAGCCGAGTGGATCAACAGCCGCAAAATAAGCTTATTCGACTTGTCTACTGCCGACATCTACCACGGAAAGCCGATTCTATACTCCGTTGGACTCTTCCTCCCAGGTTTGTGCGATGAACGGTTGACTCTCAGGCTGGCGAAGCTCTTTAGACCAGATTGTACCACGAAATTGTGGCCTCGAGAACGCAAGCAGATGTCTCGTCAACCTTGGCCAGGTGCATCTCTCTGCTCCGAGGACTTAACCTGCTCCTCAGTGTTACTGGTCACCGCAACTACTAAGACTAGATGGTCCGGGGTCACTGTTCTTACTCATATTCCAAGACTCTGAGTTGTTCGAGCTGATCATCGTACGTAAATCGCACCACTGGCCGGGGCTGACCCTACGCCACGTTCTTCTTTGTCCGAATGGCATTTAGCCCACGGCTTTCTATACCACAGGAAACTCAGCCTCTCCAGCTGATATCGGGTTATGCACATCTTCCAGGTTCACGAACGCTCACACGGCGTTGCACGAAGGCGGTCACAGCCCGGCCGCGTGAGCCCGAGCGGCCGACAGCCTGGAGGCTGGACACCAGAGTACAGAAGCCTCATAATTAACAAATTCGTCACCCAAATCAGCTCGTCCTCTACAGAATATAAAAAGGGTGGTATGCCCACGACTTTTAGCACAGTTGAAAGAAGCATCCACTCCAACATCTTCGCAGCGCTCAATAGTACCAGTCTCTCGCCTCATTTACTCCACAAGTCGTCTAGACCAGACTCAAAAAACTCACAAACAAATCCAAAATGAAGTTCAGCATTGCCGCTGCAACCCTCTTCGCCGGCCTCGCCGCCGCCGCGCCGTCCACCAAGGCCGCCCGGACCAACACCGTGACGCTCACGTTCTGGGCCGCCGCCGAGAACACATTCACCCTCGACGTGCCCATCGACGGGTCTTACACCTTCATCTCCAGCGACCTCTCCTTCACCTCCATCTCCGCCTCCTCCCCGGGCAACACCGTCTGCCACAGCTACGGCGTCGACAACTCTGACACCGTGCTGTACGGAAGCGCCACCGATGTTCCGATTGGACCCCCTCAGGAGCAGACCTACGCGACTTGCGAGTACCTGTAAACTCCCAATGCAATATTGGGTGTAGGTAGTGAGAAATAGATCCGATGGCTTCAATTCTGGCGGAACACCATTTTTTGGGACTCGAGACTTTTTCGTTTGCCTGCTTGGAGGCTATCCAATCTGTGACTTTAGACGTTACGACAATCACGCTTAAGATGAGAGACGAAAGAACATCTGGGAGGTAGACTTGGGCGAAAAATTCGCTTTGATGCGATCATATAAACAGGATTCTAGAACCTATGGAGACACTCCTTTAATAGTATACTATTTCACTTACATAAGCTTGTTGCATTCCAACAACACAATGCCACTTGACTATCTGACCACTCTAGTTCTCTGAAATTGGAGTTCGGGCCGCTCAAAAGGACTGTCTATGTTTCCGTGCAACGTAATATGAGCTAGGCTGATGCCACACAGCCTTCGCCGGACCGTGTTGAAGACTCAATTGAAATAGAGTACAAGGCATTCATATGGATTGGCTTCAATCCCTGTTGGTTTTGTATGTGTGTGCGTCACTTGAACCTCTTGTGGTGCTGGGTCTGGGAAGCAAAGTCCAATGGCACAGCATATCATCATAGATGTTCGCAATTGATGTCTTCCTATAGAAATTACCCGGAAGCCTCACCTCAACATCAATAATTTGAAATGAGGTGGGTTAAAACAATTCATGCTAGTAAACTCCTCGCGGTAGATATGATAGTTGATGCACTCTGGGTGAAAAGCGATCAAGTTGTCCGAAATGCCTTAGTCGCAAGGCTTCAATACCTCAGGATCCATTGTCTGAGCAGGAGCTAGAGTATTCGCAACACAGACTTGTAACACTTGCAAACCACGAACTCTGTGGTGGGATTCCTTTGCGAGACAAATGATGCAGCATTCCGCCTCCTGGAAGGGAAAGGAGGGAGACTGTCAGGTGCTTTGCCTCTATAAATACGATAGAAACAGGATGGGTGACTGCGGCCTGCGAATAGTAGTTATTGGTGAATTTCATCAATGATTTGCGGCACAGTGCCCTCTACTGTTCGTTTCTAAGGAGAAGCGATCATCCAGCAGACACGTGGTTACCGTGTAGATCCAACCCTGCACGAACCTCCCGGCTTCTCCGGACCCCTCGTGTTCGCCAGACAGCGTGTATTCACGAGCGAAGTGAGCATTACGTGCTTACTTGTCAGAAGTGCTGCCGGTTGAGCCGAAGAATTAGAAGTAACCTTGTTCTGGGCACACATTCCACTGTCTGTCTAGACATCATTGGGATCGTCGAGTCTGAAGGTCATTCGAGTTGCTTGCTTTCTGATTTTCAGCACAAATCAGACTGAGATCCAATTCACATGTGAAGTCACTTGGTAATCCCGGCCAGCTCGTGGCATACTCAGGTACTTTTGATGGAAGGCAATTGCCAAGGCTTGTGGACTAGCGTGCCCCGGTCGCCGTGCAATCCCATCTAAACAATGTCAGTCACGAGGTGGTTACGTGTAAGAATGAAAATAGTCGTCCTGTGGGATACATGGACTGAGCGACTTTGAAGAGCGATACCTACCCGCAGCAGTAGACCTAGGTACTTGACCCCTGCAGCAAGTCATCCAACGCAGGTAGATAGGGGTAGATGGGGTGGACGCAAGAATTGGATCTCGAATCCAGGTATTTGGAATTTGACAGCGTAGAACAGTCCGGCCGGCAGGCCATGCTCCAGATGCAACCCCCAATCCTTACTAAGATAATCGAAGAATATAGTAGCCCAGCAGGAGATTTGATTGACCATGTCGCAAGTAGAGCGGTAACTGATTAGTGTCACAGACAATATGAGATCAACTGTCAGAGAAGCCGGATAGTCAGCGATGATTTCTGCTCACCCTATGGTATGTAGGGCTTGAGATTGTAGGGCCCGAGATTGCCTGGGAATCGAGGAAAATGACAAGAGTCAGAAAAGGGCATCCACTGAGCGCAGTTCACCTTTCACCGCACTTTCTAATTACTAGATCAAGAATCGGCAGGGCCGGACTCAGCCAACGCGGGATATAGAATCGATGACGAATGAATAATTCCGACCCTCAAAAGAAATCCACGCAAACAAATGGCTTTTCATCGAGGGCAGCCCCCATGTCCCGAGCCGCTTCTGGGAATGGCGCGAGTTGCGGTTGAGGACGGTATAAGCCATTCGTTATGCTTAACCCCTAGTGAGGACCCCAGAATGTAAATCCGAAAACGACTACCGGTATGTAAGCGATAGCAGTAGCGTATGAAACAACGCGAATTGAAAGGGGCGACTAGTCTGCAGCTAGGGGCACAACACCCCAACGGCGACCATACGAGTACGACCTTCCACATTCACTGCAGGAACAGGTATATTGGGGGCCGCATTATGGACAAGGCACTACTCGACATTCAGCTTCGAAAGGTTTAGCTTGACATTCGATGAACTGCAAAATCGCTCAGGCACCTCAGCCTTGTTGTGGACCTCGAAAGCTGGGCAGGCTAGTGGCCAATATGCACGTCACCTGCGAGATCTATATGGCCATGAGTAGTGTAGATAGAACCAGGTATCCATTCTCATTGTGATATGTCATTGTGATCAGCAGCAATAGCCTATGCGTATATATACCTAGGTAGCCTCGAGTGTTCCTGTGCCAGAGTTTCTTTCCTTGCCTCACTCACGTTATCATCTGTTGGTAGGTCTCTCGTACGTATGATAATCATATGGGGAAGCAATTGTTTATTGGTGTTGCTCTGTCTAAGTTCTGAGAGGCTACGTGCCCCGCAGGGGATAACTAAAGTAGCCGTCAAGGGCGAGGGTCGTACTTGCCAACATCATCAGATCTCCCAACATAATTCGTTTCTATCATGGGTGTGTTTCGTACCCTTATTCTCTCTGCATCTGCCGCAAGTTTTGTGGCAGCGAACGCAACACCCCGGCCTTCGGATCCCTCCCAAGCATGCGCGCTTCTCAAACAAAATTACCCGAACACTACCTTGCTTCCTGAAGACGACGGGTACAAAGATGAGAACGAGGGTACTTCCACGTAAATATAAAGTCCCATCTGTCCTCACAGCTGATTGTATGTAGCATCGTGGTCGTCCGCTGCCTGGCTCAGTCCTGCCTGTGTTGTCACGCCGAAATGTGCGAACGAACTCTCCTCGATCATCAAAACTCTTGTCCAAACATCGACACTCTTCTCCATGCGAGGAGGTGGTCACATGCCCATTGCGGACGCTGCAAACATCAATTCGACTGGTGTTCTCATCTCCAGTACCAACTTGAACACGCTTCAGCTGTCTGACGATAAGGAGACTTTGTCGATCGGACCTGGCCCGCGGTGGGGAGACGTGTTTGAGTACATGGATGGCTCCAACGTGACCATTGTTGGAGGACGTTTGGCGCCTGTTGGCGTCCCAGGCCTACTTCTAGGAGGAGGAATTAGCTATTATAGCTATTCACTGGGCCTTGGAGCGTCCAATGGGAAGATCAAGGCATACGAGGTAATATCTTCACGTGTATATCTGCGCATCACCCGCTTATATCAGGTTCAGACAGTTCTAGCAGACGGTACTATCGCCACTGTTACGGCCGACAACGAATACGCCGATCTTCACTGGGCTCTCGGTGGCGGTGGAAACTCCTTCGCCTTGATCACGCGCTTCGACCTTCAGGCCTTCTATGCGCCCACACCCCTCGTAGCAAACGCCGTGTACGGCGACACCAACGAGACCAGAGATGCATACATCGACGCCCTGGTCAACTTCGCCAACAACGGCGACCAAGACACCGGTGCTGCTGTCACACCCGTTGCTCGCTGGGGTCCAAACTACACAGCCCCTTCGTACGAAGCAACTCTCTTCTTCAACGGAACGACCGCGCCAACCTCCGGCCCCTTCGCCGACTTCTACTCCGGAGCTGCTTTGCAAGCAGTCAACGACTCCTCGACCCTCCAGCCCACCACCCTCGCCGAGACCGCCAGACTCCTACGACCAGCCTTCGAAGTCGGTGGCCCAGGACACGGATTCAGGCAGAAGTTCTGCGTGGAGCCGATCAAGGCGACCAAGGAAGCGGCACGGATTGTCCACGACAACTTCTTCAACAGCCTCGCCGCCAACGGCCTCGCCAACCGCGCCCCAGGCTTCTTCACCGGTCTCGCCTTCAACGCCGTCACGCCCACGATGGCTCGTCAGTCCGCCGGCCTGCCCCAGAACATCCCGGACGAGGCGGCGTTCTGGATCGAGCAGCCCGTCTCGTGGTCTAATGCTGCCAACGACGCCGAGATCGAGGAGTGGCTGGTCAGCGCTGATGCGGCGATGGACGAGGAGCTGGGGAAGATCAATGGCACGAATCGGTACCTCTACCTCAACGATGCCGACGCGGGTCAGGACGTGTTTGCGAGCTATGGAAAGGAGAGCGTGGACAGGTTGAAGGAGATCAGGGCCAAGTATGACCCCAACAAGGTTTATACTGAGCTGATGCCCCGAGCCTTCAAGGTGGATGCTGCCAAGGAGCTTTAATGGTTGCGGTGTCAACCGACCGATCATTGTGCTCTTGTCCCCTTGCGTGGACGGGATTTCTATTCTGTCTGGAGGGAGTTCCAAGCTCCTTTCCTTTTTAACTTCTTTTCCCCTTTAGGAGATATGTATCTATTTACCTAATTGGATTCTGCAAAAATAATAAGGATCTCATTTAGTCTCCTTCTACATGTCTTTCTCGCGATGCTTTCATTTGCTTCCCAGCTTCCAGTCCCTGTGACGCCCTCATGGAGAGACGAACTAAATAGAGCCATTAGACGAGGCAGACAAAAACAATTGTAAGAATACTCTGAGCGGAGGGCCTTCCGTCAGATCACTCTGTACCTTGAATCTTTCATTTTGACATACTTTCGCATCGCCTGTAATCACTGTCATGAAATCCCTATCATCTTTGGACAATTGTCACGAGAGGGGATACAGAGACAAGGCAGCTGTCCTCAATACGTCAATTTCAAAGCAAGATGGCGCTACTACCTTCTATGTAAGGAAGAGGTCTGGTAGAAATTGTAGGCAAGGGGTTTTATGCCTGAGGGGTGTGGGGCCCAGAGCCTCAGTGAATGCCAGCAGTCAATGGGGCCCAGTCACACACATACTCACAACAATGGCTACACATGCCCGGAATTATGTGACGGCATGGTGAAGAAGCCTCGGCCTCTCCACGTCTGATATTCGTCCAGGAGTGCCGGTCAATCGAGGTGAGAAGCCTGGCAATGTTGACGTGCAAAAATTCCCGAGAGGCTTCATATGCTGGTCTATAGGTCTTTCCCCACCTACTACAATTGTTCTCGTTATTATATTCATCTCTTTCAAGGATCACAGGATGTCTTCGAGCTGTCATTGCTTTGACTGAGGCTTTTTATGTGGCACAGAGGATGCCTCTGTAGACAGATACACACATCCTCCAGCATGGGTGTTGATACCAATGAAAATGTGCCTTTCTGCACACCAATTGTGACGTGCTATCTTTCCGTTCATACCTCCACCCGGATTGCCGTTGGGCCATCTTGCTTTGTGGTTCCCGGTATGCATGCATGTCAGCAGGTCCGAATCCTGATCTTGGCCGAAGTTTGCAACGTCAAGCTGTTCAATTCCTAGCCTTGGAGCCTGTCAACTAATGTATACATCGGATCTTCTAGCCCAAATCTATCCGCTAGAGTATATTTTTCCTTGGATCCTATCGTTCATGCGCCCTCAGGCACCGAGTACAGGATTGTTTGGAGGTAGCCATGGCTGAGACCGTCGCAGAATTTGCCCTCGCGGGCGACTTGCTGCGGTTTCTGGAGGCCCGGGGGCGTGGGAGCTGGTGAAGAGGATTTGACACATCTAAAATTCAAAGGTCAACGCCCTTAGAGTTTTCGAGGACCTTCAAGTGCTGACACTTGAGCTACAGAACACTTTGATGCCTTCAGGTCGCCCATGTCTTCAGCACAATCTCCTCAGTTGAAGGTGCTGGACTTGGAGCGATCTTTCCGAGACCTGCTTCCTTTTTGCGCAAGAGCTACTTGATATCTTGAAATTCTCGGAGAGTGTGGTAATGGAGGCAGAAAAGGTATCCTCCTCCCAGGTTTCAAGGCCATTGAAAGAGCACTGAGAGTGTTGATCTGCAACGTCGGATGGATATGTACAGACAGCAACTTCCTATTGGTCTTGTGGCTTGTTTGAGGTTTGCGTCAAGATTAACACTGCAGAGAAACAAATGTGGCACACTGACTGAGATCCTAAAGAGAAGCCCATATCAAGTCATTGGAGCGGACAGAACAGATTCAATGAGATCAACTTGCCGCAGGCCCAAGTGAGTGATTTCGATTTCCCAGCTGGACCAGCCAAAGACCGAAGGCAATCCACCAGGACACGTCACACCGTGCTATAATTCGGGTCTCTGACAATATCAAGGAATGAACCGACCACAAGGGTGGTACTCCCAAGCATCAAGCATCAAGCCCAGGAGCCATGCCAGCAGCCCCAAGCCCCAAGCACAAGAGCCGCAGGCCGCAGGCCGCAGGCCCCAGAGGCAGAGCGACCCTGGGACCAGGCCGTGGGGTCAGGCGGCTGGTCGCATGTGGTGTGGTCTTTGCATCTCCCCATCGCATAGACACGCATAGACACGGCGCTGACAAATTCCACATAGGCTTCCACGCCCCCTCCATCAAGGCGGAGCCAGTACAGGAAGACAACCATCAGCCATGCCCACCAGCAAAAACTGAGAAGATGCATCAAGAGTTAAGGGTTCTTTTGAAATTGACAATAGATTTTTCTTTTTCCAAATAACAAACAAAGGTTTTCTAAAATTATATAGACACTGGTGTATAAATGCATCTAGTGGTCTAAGCCATCAACGGAGCCTCGCCCGGAGTGCTAGTGTCGACAGCTACAGAGGCCAATGGGTCAGAGACACAGCACCGCCGCAATGACGTCTGTGGAAAACAACACCTCGCAGACGTATGGCTGGAACTCAATGTCATTATAACAAAGCGGTAGAGCTCGTCTTGCCAGTGCACACGTCTAATAAGGAATGCACGCAATGATTGCCCAGCTTCTATGAGGTTGACTCGTGTGTTATGTCTTCGACGCAGTGATTGTCCGCTACCAGGGGACAAGGGTTGGCAGGGATTAGGTGCTGCCAGACCCATGCGCCGATTCTCCAGGGACCGGCCACATGCCACCGGGTGTAAGCGGGCAGCGGAGCATCGGAGGTGTTCGGCCAGCAATCGTTACAGGGAGCTCCCCAGTCCTGACGCCTCCAGCGGTCCGGCGTCCCAAGCAATTGCTTCCCATCCACATGCACCTGCACCTACATCATGCAAACCACTCGGGCACCACACATGTCCCCAGCTTTGTGATTCGACATATCGTGGATACGAGCCTCCCACCCAAGGACCGACGGTATTGGTCAATTTGAGAGGAGTCTTCCCCCCCGAGCTGGTGGATTGTGTCAGGTGAGCCAACTTTTACCCTCACCAGACTCACTCTGAAACGACGACGGCCTGCATGCCTGCACCCAACAAAAACTTGAGGCTCTGCGGAGGAATATTGTGCCAGCCAACAATGCCTTCGAGCCTGGATGGACACAATACGAGCTCCACGTCAAGATTGGCAGGCGACGTGCGGCCAAGAGGCAGTGGACAAGTGACGTCTCCTATCTACGCAGATCCGTCGCCCGTCACACCGCCGGCCTCTCGCCTGCCTCAGGCCTGCCTGCCCTGCCCCGACTAGAAACAGGCTGCGCGGGCTGCGCATGACCGGCAGCAGTTGACAACTGGCATCGCGCAAGGGCCAGGGCGCAGCCGAATGACGGAATCATGGGCGAAGACCCGCAGAGCTGCGCCTGACACCCTTCTAGCGTCCTTCTCGAAGGCGAGGGGCGCGCCGATCCTCATCCCCCGTGGCGGCTGGCTGAGACCAACCCATCCTTGCCGGGCTGCTTCGCCAGCCGGAAGCCAGCCAAAAGTCAGCCCGCCCGTGCTGACTGGCAGACAGAAAGGCAGGATTTTGACTACCATCGGGAGGAGGATAACGAAATTCTGGTGAGTCAATTATTTTTCTTTGCGTCTCGGGATACTCGCGTCCCCACGTCGATCGTCCGCCGACTCGATCGCCCGGGCCCACCAAGCTGATCCTGCAAGCAAGCCGCCCCCAAATTTGACATGATGAGTTGTCGCACGAACGCACCTGGCTAGGTTATTACTGTTAGCCGAGGAGCCATTTGGTCGAGGACGCCCCGGGGATTCCTAAAGTGGCCACTAATGTAGGGAGCCGTTCCTCAACCAGAGTGCTCACCTTCCAAGCCTGCAGAGGAGCAACGCGTCCTCCCTACCGCCTGCCCAAGAGGCCAACGATGGAGGCTGGCCACCATGTGAGGTTTCCAGGGCGACGACTCTGAATCCTTCCCGTAGATCAAGTTCTCAAAGCACCTACTCTGACCTCTCCGCAGTCCCTATGGCCTAAGTGGTTGGCCGTTCATCACCACCGCCAACTAGCCCAATCCACATCCAGGCCATGGCGCCACTCCTATCTTCTGAGGAAATTAAGTGAATCATTTGCATGACAGGGCTTTATATGATTATCTCCTATATGCGAGTCCTATTTGGGTCTTTGAAAGTGAGCAGCCATGCCTCACCGTGTCTCACCGTGCCGTTGTGCACCGTTATGGCACCGTGCCATGCAGTACCTACCCATCGTACTTGACTGGACTACAATTAAGCTCCCCCGGGCCCACTCTTGACCCTAGCCCCAGTACCTCGGTGCCTGCAACTCGCCGCAGGCTGCAATCGATGGTTTGCATGAGGAACGCTACTTTACTTTTTTTACTTGATCGCATTGTTTCAACCAACCCACTTCTATCGTGGCTCAAGGTCGACTATGGTTGCCGTTCCTCTTTCGGCAAACAGCCATGGCTCCAGTTTGCGAGCATCCACACCACGTGCAGCCCCTGGCTCCGCCGTGTCAGAGCCTTGACAGACGACTGCCATCAACCACCAGCGTCCAGCGCCCATCGCCCTGAGCAGGCCCAAGCAAAAAAAAAAAGACGGTCGCACAGCTCAAGCGCTCACTGTCTCTTCTCTCTTTGGCGCCCGACCTCGTCCTGCCGTCCTGCCGCCCTGCCGCCCTGCCGTCCTGCCTGTCCTGATCAGCCCTGTCATGGGGTGGGTGGGACAGCAGCAGGTCCAGGGTTGCCCCTAAAGATCAGCATGGCAGGATTGACAGGCCTCAGGCCTGTATGTACCTAGGTAGCTTGTCTGCATGAGGCAGCCCTATGAGCCGATTTCTGCTGCTGTGCAGGGTTGCAGCCACCATGCTACCGCAATTGGCCTGGTTGAGACACCGCTCCACAGTCGTACGGGGCATGAGCTCGCAGCTGGATACAACCCCTCCACCACCAGATAGCTTCGGCCCTCACCCACGCGCTCAAGTACGGGGCGGCGGATTGGGAACGGCTCAGCCCAGTTTAGTCCTGCGACAGAAAAGTTTCTCCTATCGAGATGAATGGCCATGACCAGACCAGAGGTTAAATTGCGCTGGCTCGTGCAGGGCCCAAAGATGAGGCGGTCGGCGGTCGAATCGCATCGCCTGCCTGCGTGGAGTCTAGGACTGGCTTAGGTCTCACTTTCTCCTCCGGCACGGGTTTGGGACATATGCCCCATTGCGCTTCGCCGTCCGTCAAGGGCTCCGAGACCCGCTGCCGTTGACAAGGATCTGGGCACAAGCCTACCCGAAGCAGGTTTGTTCGATGGGTTCGCCCGTCTCTTCACCACGTCGCGCAGAGGTGTAATCTAGAGACATGGTCGCTCCAACGGGTCTCCTACTTACGTACCGCGCTACGCACGAGGGCTGGCCTCGCTGGCCGTTTTAACCCAGCCACGCGCGAGCTCTCCTCTGCCATCTTCCTCCCCGATGACGGCAACGAACAGGCCAGATCCCTGTGCCCTCCGTCGTTGGTCCCTTGTTCTTCTCACCGGTCGAATCTGTCGAGGGGACGGCTGCCATACCGTACATGAAGTATCACCGCGAGCAGACGTGGACAGGACCGGACTGGCCCACTTGCCAAGCATCAGAGCCCAAGCCGTGGCCTCCTGCGAGCCTCCTGCGAGCCTCCTGCGCATCCCCAGGTAGGTACATCAACATACTTCCCAAGGAGCTCGGCGAGGACAGGTACCATCTGCGTATAGGCAGTGCCGTGCAACCTTCTCCCCCACTCTGCCGCGCATTTTGGTTCCAGAAAATGGGTAAGCTTTCAAGAGGCTGTCCCGTCTCGACCTCTCAAATATGCCGGCGCCACCCACCGACTACTCTCTGCCATCACATCTCTCTTCTTTGCTTCCAAAGCTTCCCGCTCACACTTTGCAACACGAACTACACGAACATTGGGATCGTTCAGGCGGCTGTTGTGTCTTCTCTCTAGTATCTCTATCTCATCCTCATTCATTCCCCCGCGCCTCCTTCACTATCCAAGTGCAACCTTTACGTGAGGCATACCTGCCGTCCAACAGTGTCGGCCCCCCAGATCCAAGACCACAGAGCCCTTTCTCGACTCACCACTCACCTGCCCCGCCTGTGCCGCTTGGATCGACCTGCCCTCGGTTGCTCAAACTCCTCCAACTCCTCACTGGGGTGTATTGTAGACCAACGGGTACCAGTGAGTTCTCATGATCTTGTGTTACCGACAGGCCGGTCGGCTGCTGACATCAAGCAGCCTGTTCTGGCCGCACAACCACTCGCCCGCGCCCAATAGGGTCGGGTCACGTACTCGGCGGGCGCTCGCAAGATGATCCCGCAACTTAGCAACATGAACCACACCGAGGAGGAACAAGACGATACCTGGGTCCTCGTTGGAGAAGGAGTGTACTTCGGAAAGAGGAGGCCACAATTTGAGGAATGCAACATCTCGCCGACCCAAGATTCTGCTGGAATCATTGATAATGAAGCCCTGTCCTGCAAGCCGACACACACCAACTGCTGTGCCCCCACTGTCGACGGCGTGTTACACAGCGTTAAGGCTACGGATCCGAACCCCACTCCCGACCCAAAGGTGGAGTTTGCCGAATCGACGGCGACCGGTCTGACATTCAGCGCTCCTGAGGACGTCAGCAGCGACCCGCAACCACGCACACCCGCCGAGGACAACAATCAGCTCCAACCACTCACCCGGGCCAATCTTGGGCCAAACAGCACGCCGGGGCTGATCAGAGACATCCCGGCATGGATCAACGGCGAACTGAGCTGGCTGCGCGTCGCCGCCGCCGGCGACCAGGCCAGCGTAATGGCCTTTGGGAGGGGTACGACCTGCCACAGCAGCGACGGCAGCCTCGACTTCGTCTTCATCCCGGCGCAGCCTTCGAGCTTCGGGCGTGATGCGCTGGCGATAGGGACGGTGTTTGATCATCTGCCCCACACGCAGAGTTACAGCCTCGAGGTGGAGCTCGACGATGCCTGAGACTCCCTGGCGAAAGCCGTTCAAGAAATGTTCCTGACCGCGTTTTCTGTACGGCTTGCTTACTGCATGCCAATATCGACTTGCCAGTCCCACACCTCGCCATGCGACACGCCATCCCCCCCCCCCCGGCGGCGCCTCGGTTCCTCCTTCTCTCCCTCTCTCGACCTCAACAGGTCTTCGTGTTGTTCCCTTCCAGTTCTTGGTCTGTACACATATTGGGGAGGGTTGCTGTCTCAAAAGCTTTCTGGTCCGGCGGCCCCTTGCGATTTCCCCACAGTATTGCGACGTGTGCTTATTGACGAGTTTTGGAGGTTTCCTTGGTTTTAACGGCCTCGAGTTGATCAGTGATTGTTTTTATCCCCCGTTGAATCTCACGTAGATATAGGTTCCCATCAGCTCTATCCGACACGGCAGATAATCTGGCAGATTTGGGGCGTTTGTTGTTATTCCAAGAGTAAGCCGGGAGAGGGAGGAATCCTAACGAAACACACCGGAATTTTAGAAGTGTAAGATACCCAGAATTGATTTCACAGTCATTTTCAGACACGTGAATGCCTGTAGGGGAGTCTCAGTTTCATGGCAAGGGGGAACGACACTCAATGGCCATGCGCTGCTGGCAGTTGGCATCTGACAGGTCACTTGCAGCTGTAGTGGAAAGCATGTTTCTTCCGAGCCTCTTCACACATGTGCCGAGGATGGAGGAGAGAACAACACCGGTGCTAGCTCAACTTGCCTCGGGGTGGCTGGTATCACTGACCATGCTCGCCGCGAAAATCTAGGAACCAAAGCCCTGGAGGTCGGGTGATGGCCTGAGTGCTTGTCATTCTAAAGCAGGTCTCTCAACATGCTTTCCTCCTTTGCCTCACACCCACTGGCAAGATAAAGAATACCTGGTCAACACCACCACCAACACCATTTCCCTCACTTTTCTGCCTCATTCGCAACATAAACCTGGACCCTCTCCACAAGCGGGTTGACCCAATCCTCTGACCACCTCCCGGGTGATACGTCCAATTCGTCGAAGACCAGGTGAAGCAACACCTCGGCATTGGTTAGTTGCCGCGGCGTGGTCATCAAGCCGGGCGTAGTGGCCTCCCTCTGCTGCATATCAGGATCCGCCCCTCTGGCCCCACCGACGCTGCTGCTGCCACCGCTGCCAGCGCCCCCGGCAGGGGCAGGATCGTCCCGGGAATCGTCGCCACTGCGCCACGGCACGAGCGCCTCCGGCACAGACTCGGCGGGGATCTCAACGGCAGCTCTCCATGGGCCCCGTGCGGCGCGGCAGCCGTCGGGCGCATCGCCTAGGCACCTGTCGACGTGTGTCGCGCGGGAGAAATCGGGGGACTCTGTAGTAGGGAGGGCGTCGCAGAAGTAGATCCCTACCTTGACCGGGTGGACGAGGTACTATAACATGCGGAGTCAGCAACTGGAGTGTCGGGGATGGGGGTGTGTGCGCAACGGGGAGGAACAACCAAGTTATTTGCCTCGCAAGGGCCTTGAGGCACATGGTATCCTCCATCAGATGAGAGAGGTATTTGGAAGCTACTTACGTCCGGCAGGGCGACTGTATGTTCCCAGTCGAGAACAGCGCGGATCGCATACTCCTCTCCCAGCACGTTAATGTCATCGCTATCGCCATCGCCATCGATCTGGGTCTGTGCCCGCCGCGAAATCATCAAGTTCGAGCAGTGGAGGTCGGGGTGGAAGATGTACGTCCGCATTCGCTTCTGCTGTTCTGGGGTGAGCTTGTCCACCAGCCACGGTACGACGATATCACGGAGCTTTGAGACCTGGTCATGAGCGGTCTCTACATCAGCCTTCGTGTACCAGGAGTGCGGCCGATTGCCATCTTCCGAGGAATCATCTGTGTCGGTCACCGAGTCAGTGGTCGCGGTCGTTGTCGAAGTGGTGTCATTGGCCTCAGAAGAAGCTGGGCTCGTCGGGAGTTTTGGCTGGTCGTCGTCGACGCGGAGGGCCTCATCATTAGACTCTCGCAGCCACATGGCAAGAATCGCATTCGAAAACTCGCTCACTGAGTGGAAGAGACCGCGGAGCAAGGGAAGCCTTGGGTCACCACCATCGCCATCATGCCTCTGATGGTACAAGATCCTCCGGCCTCTGATGAAGTGGCGGTCCGAGACTGGGCCCAGGGCAAAATCATGTTTCTCAAAATCCCAGTACAGACTGCCAATCCTGTCGATGCAGTCACCGGATGGCTGGCCTCGATGAGAATGGTGCCCTTCTGAACGTAACAAGGCGAGTGTTTCCTCCAGATGGCGGAGGCCGTTGAGACTCGGATCCGGAAGAGGACTGCCACAGATCCTGTGGCGATGAGCCTGCCACTGCTGCCTGTTCCTCCTGGCTTGCGGGACAGCACCGACAGCGAAGTGTGTAAAGTTCATTATGCAACCCACTATTGAAGGGCTCGATCCGTGCCGTTGCTGCTTCTTGGTCCCCGCCATCCGCCGAGAAGCACTCAGGTAGTATGCCGTGAAGCACCATCTCCCCAACAAGGAGGCTCACATCATCAGGCGTCGGCTTCTTCAGCCAATGATAATTCCAGAGGCCAGCATCATCAGGATCGCGGTCTCACTTGATCCAGCGTTGTGCCTCCTGATATGCCTCGAGTGGTGGACGAGGCCCTGGGTGTTTCTCACAGCCCTGCGGAATGACACGGAGTGGGAACCCAGAGGGATGTAGACCTGATGACTGAGCCCGGCATGGTTGACCTTCAGTCGAGTGGTCCTGGGTGACGAAAGAAGAGACGGGGACGGAGAAAGTTGAGAAGACATGGTTTCTGTATCATGCAGTTGTCGTTGGTCTTGTTGATGTTGACCTTCTGCAGTTGGGTAGTCAAAATAAGATCTGTAGTGCGGTAGGAAATCAGACACAACACAGGCTGTGTTTCGGCTACCTAATAAGGAGAGAAAGCAGGAGACGAAATGGCCGGCAAACTAGGCTATAAGTCTTTGGGGAAGTGATATGTGACAGGAGGATCCAGTAAATGCCACTATTCACCGTACCAGAAGCTCGAGTCAATGAACACGCTCAGATTAGCTCGACTTTTAATTACTTCACCGTCCCGTTTTTGATCATCGGTCCTCTGATCCTGCATCAGTGCTGGCAAACCAAAAAGTATATCCATCATTTCATGTGAATTCTAGGTCCCATTGGATGGAGGAATAAGGGAAGCAGCTGAGGTTGCAAACATATTCACTGTTCACTTAGTTGGTTGGTCTATCCGTACCGTTTGTTTGTTTGTCTTTAAACGTGGGGTTTGCTTCCCTTTCCCCCATAAATTTCTTCCCTTGGAGCCACCCACATCTCACTTATTTCCAACTCCTACTATCTTCACTTATGCCCCATGTTTTGTTCTACTGCATCCACCTATACCATACCGCTCAGCACGCCGCATCTGACTAAACCCTCGAGCACATGGTGGCAGTGACGACGTCCAGCAGAAGTAAATAAGGACGGAAAGAAAGTAGACCAAGCAGGACACCAAAGTGAAGAGACTATAAGCAGGCGACACCACCTTGCTCATTTGGTGGGTTTAAGGAAGAGCAAAATTCCACACATATGTCTGTGTATCTAAGACTCTATGTGGGCACCACGCTCTTCACCCTGACTGACAAGTTGGCAATCATCATTAAGTGAATGGGATGTAGTTCTCCCCAACTTTCTCCAAACCAGAACCCCTGAATTACTGCCGGGACATCCCTATCACCGTCTGTTCACCGCCGAGCGAGGACACAGATGGCGAGGCTTGCTTTAGCTTCGGCTGCATGGAAGCCAATGTGACTCGGGCCAAAGCCAAGTCTGGCCCATGCTGCCCGCCCCAAAGCCTTCCCTGCACACCCCGCAGATCATCTCCGCGATGTCGTCGTCCACTGCCCCACGACCCCCATTTTAGCTTCTCAGGGGCATAGTCGATTCTAGCCCTGGGGCAATTTAGCCTAATGTCGCACGCGAGATGACATTTTGTTTCCATAATGCCGGGACGGGGTCATTTAAGCTTCGTCATGTGTATAAACTCAACCGGAGCCCCGGGCTTCGTCCGATCGTCCCAGTAATGTCGTGCGCATTCGTCCTGTTGGATACTTGCCCGAGGCGTTGTTGTGTTGCAGTATAGATCCCCAATGGCTGGCTCTGTGTTCAAGGTGGCCTTCGCGGCTCTCCTTCTGTTCCAATCATGGACAGCAGCATACGTCAAGAGGCAGAAAGAGGACCAATGGGTTGACATCTGGGGAACCATGCCCCAGCTCGTCGAGCCGGCCAACCTGCCTCCTGCACCATATGCAAGTATTTTCCGTGTCCTCCGGAGACACTTTGCCGCTCGGGTTTGACAGTGACAAAAGCTGACCAGTTCCAACAGAATGCCACGGGCGTAGTCTTCCAGGATGCCACGCTCCGCCAGACAATCTTCCTCACACAGTCGGCCCCTAAAATCCGCCTCGTCATCTCGAACGCCTTTGGCGGCTCAGACCTGCCCATCACAGCAGCCACCATCGCGGTGCCCCTGAACGGCTCGGCCGGGACCGCTGCCATCAAGCCTGAGACCCTGGTGCCGCTCACCTTCTCCGGCGGCCTGCCCAACTTCACCATCCCCAATGGGGCGCGTGTGATCTCAGATCCGATCGACTACCCGGTGACGGCCCAGCAGATCCTGACCATCTCCCTGTACCTCTCGGCAGGGCAGACAACCAACAGCATCACGGGCCACCCGGGCAGCAGGACGACCTCCTTCTACGCGCAGGGCAACCAGACCGGCACGGCGGACCTCTCAACCGACCCGGCCACCCAGAGCAGCGCGCACTGGTACTTCATCTCGGCGGTGGAGGGCTACCTCCCCACGTCATCCAGCTCCGGTGCCCTCGCCATCGTGGGCGACAGCATCACCGACGGCCGGGGCAGCACGACGGACCGCAACGACCGGTGGCCCGACGACCTGGTGCGGCGGCTGCAGGCCGCCAACGCGACGTCCCTGCAGCGCGGGCTCGCCGTCGTCAACCAGGCCGCGGGCGGCAACCGCGTGCTCGCCGACGGGCTGGGCCCCAACGCGCTGGGGCGGATCGACAGGGACGTGCTCGCGCACTCGGGCGTGCGCTACGTGCTGCTGTTCGAGGGCGTCAACGACATCGGCACCGCGGCCGCGACCGCCGCGGCGCAGGGGGCCATCGGCGACAGGCTTCTTGCGGCGTACGCGCAGGTCATCGGCCTGGCTCGCGCAAAGGGGCTGGCTGTCTTTGGGGCGACCATCACGCCTTTCAGCGGGAACAGCTCGGTGCAGGCGTACAGCGACCCGGCGAGGGAGGTGACGCGGCAGAGGGTGAACGAGTGGATTCGGACTTCGGGCCGGTTCGATGCGGTGGTCGACTTCGATGCTGCTGTGAGGGACCCTGCGAATAAGACGATGCTGAATCCGCTGTATGACAGTGGGGATTATCTGCACCTCAACCCGGCTGGGTATGTAGCCATGGCCCAGGCGGTGGATCTGAGCCTGTTTGAGAAGTTCAAGGACGGCGTTGACGACGAAGTATAAGGCTGGAAGCGAGCATGACGAGGTTCAGGGGAGCACATAGAACGTGGAGAAGATGAGAAAAGACAGAGACAGTCCGTAAGCTGGGTCGAGTCCTGACCACGTCAGAGTCGGGCTTCATATAATATAGCCCAAGTAGACCATCAGCCGCAATCAAGGAAGTTGAGGCTGCACGGGTGGACCCTCAGCTGCATGTAGCCTCTGGTTGTTTTGTACTCATTGGTTGTCGACTATGACATGCCTGTTTAGCTTCCGAAGGACTTGCCCAATGATCTGGGAAAGGAACGGAAAGAAGGTGACGGAGCAACACGGCTCTACATAGCCACTGGCTGACGGTTACTTTTGTCTTTGGTGGTATTCTTGGCCTAGCCCTCTCGTAAACGCCACGCACATGCATGCATACATCATCCTCCCAGCCAGCAAGCACCCCCTCCCCGTCTTCCTACTTTACAGCCCACTCCAGCCTGGTGTACTTTCCCCGTCCTCGGCCCAATGTCTACATCCAGAGCCTTGCTGTCCCATCACTTCCAGCCGAGAAGAGCCAAGGCTCCCTCGGGTGCCAGTCGACGTCCATCACACCCAGCGAGCTGACGACCTTGTGCCCGCTCAGTGTCTTGAGCGGCACAATTGTCGCATTCTCCATCAGATCCGTGACAACCTTTCCGTGGAATATCTGTAGTGTGCCATCGTCTGAAGCATCGGCAAACAGCGGCAGATCCCTGTGGTACTTGACTGCACGGATAGCCTTGGGATGGAAACGCATGGTTTTGTGTGGCCGCGCCGATAGCTCCAGGTCGTGCCAGAGTAGCCTGCGGTCGTACGAGCCAACGATCAGATTGTCGCCGCCCGAGTGAATGTCGAAAGATGAAATCCACCGTGCGCCGGGTTGTATGGTTTTGATGAGCTCAAGCTTCTGCAGATCATAACAGCGGATCATGCGCTGAGTGGCGACAAAGAAGAGAGGCCGCGAGGGGTGGAAGTGTGCTGCTTGTGCGAGACCTGAGAGTTTCCGGAATGGTATCTGCGTCAGGTGCTTGGACAAGGTGTGGATGGCGACAGAGCTCCTCTGGCCTGTTGGTGAGACGCTGCAGAAGTGATCGCCACGTCTGTGCCAGTCTATCCCTTTCACTGTTGATCTAACAGTGACCCTCACAAGGACTCCCTCGTCCTCAAGCTTCGAACCTGGTCGCGCCCATTTCGCAGCTGGCTCCTTGGTCTTGTCGATCGCCGGGTTGGAGGCCTTGCCGCTGGCCGCGTAGCCAAACCCGGCATCCACGATGTTCCGGCTTGCCTGCTCGAGTTGGGGGTTGATCACAGAAGGAACGATCAAATAAATATCCTCTTCAGCAGCTGCAGCTAGGACGAAGGCGTCCTTCGTAGGCCGCCATTTGACCACATTGACAGGCTCGTCACTGCTGAGCCTGGCACTCCAGACCTGTCGTCCTGTCAATATTTCCCAGACTCTCACTGTGCCATCGTCACCACCAGTCGCAAGCCAGCATCCGCTGGGGTCCACAGCCAGCGTACGCACACGGCCCTCATGGCCTCGAAATATCGTTTGGCAGACTGTGGGGAAAGGTTTCAAGTCCTCCGGCCTTGGCAGCTTGGGAAGAAGCGAGTTCGGGTCGATGTTGAGTTTGTTCTTCCGCACGCGAGGCGCGAGATAAAGGTCCAGAGACCGCTCGAAGCGCTCGTTGACAAACATATCGTACCCAGGAACCTTCCGTAGGGAGTTGTACTTGCTGGGCAGATACTCTCTCTCACGGTCCTCAGGGTCCTGTTCCTCCCAGGCTTTCCTCTCCTCCTCAGTCGGCAGGTACTCGGGCGGTGGGTTGTAGCTGAGATCGTAACCTGGTGGCGCAAGTTTCGGCGCAGGAAGGTGCATAACATGGGGATCTCTAGGTTGTTCGTCCTTCCACAGATCAAAGTGCACTTCCTCCTCTTCTTCTTCCTCACGCTCCTCCGGTGGCTTGTATGGCAATATTCTACCCTCTCTAATAGCACGGACCAACTTCATGATCCTCTTCTGCTCACTCTTGGATGGAAGGAATCGGCGTTTTGGCTCCGGGGCGGCGCTCAGAGGCATGATCTCCTCGTGGCTGGTGAACCATTCGACGGTGTCCTGCGAGATGTTAGCAGTGATCTCAACTTGTCGGCATGGCGACAATACGTACAGGGTATGGGTTGTAGCCGTCCGGAAGCTCATTAGTTTGAATCTTCTTGATGAGCTCCAACTCGTCCCGGCTGAGGTTCAAAGGCTTTCCGGTGGCGGGGTCTGTGAGGCCAGTCCATCCCTTGGGCACCTCAATGCTATCGAGGAGGGCATCTAGAGCTTCACCAGCGGCAGGGCGCATGATCTTCTTGCCATTGATGTCATATCCGATGTGAGGATAGGAATCGTAGAATTTGAGGTCAATGTTGCCAATCGTGTTGACGGGCTCGTTCGCATCGGTGTCGTCCGAATCGTAGACTGCATCTATTTCATCGTAGACGTACTTCTCGTTTCCATTGGCATCCGTCTCGACACGATAGTTACGAAGGCCATCATCTTCTTGATTTGCGTTGGGTGGGTCGAGCCCAGGTTCCTGGCCGGGCTCCAACGGTGGCACTTTCAGGGAGGACCCATCGTCGTCGTCAGAGGGTATATCGTCGCTATGAAGCGCATCGTCTTCGTCTGGGTCCTCGGAGCCTTCTTCATCGTCATCCTCGCCGTCGAAACCGGCCTCATTCCTGGATTGCTCGGAGTCTGAGTCGTCTTCACCTGCGGACAGTGCACCCTCAAGCTGGGCGTCTCCGAACCCATCTTCGTCAGAATCCGCATCTTCAGCTTTTTGTTCAGGTTCTTCCTTAGCTTCCTCCACGGGCGAATTCGCTTTACGCTTGAGGGGAGAGGGTTCACGGTTCTTGGGTGGTCGACCACGTCTTACGGGAGACGCAGTGCTCTTGGACGACGAAGCATTTGTCTTGGCCGAGGAGGAAGCGTTGGCCTTTGGGGTCGGGGCCTTGCGGGGTGTTTCCACGACCTCAGGTTGGGGAATTACGCCATCTGCCGATAGCGTCTTGATCCCGGACCTCAGCCTCATCGTGATGCCGTTCATTAGTGAGGTGGAAGCAAATTGCTGTAGGTACCTCAAATTCGTTGGTCGTAATCTTCCTGCAAGAAGCCTTCTCTTGAGAGGGAGTTGGGAACTTTTTTTCCTTTTCTGCCGCGATCTGTACCTTGGCTTGGTATCTGGGCGGTGAGCTGATTAGGCTAGCCTGGCTGCAGGGGTGCTCGCTTACACGGTACTCAGCCCAGGATTGGCGAGCACCTCGCTGGGCCCACTCTCGGCACAAGTGCCAGAAGGTGTCTTGATAATGTATCTACAGTCCCACATTGAATCCCAGGGGGATAAAGACATCCTGATTGCTATTCGTACGGAAACAGCGTGACATTTAAATCCAGTGCACTGGCCTAAGCACTGAGAAGCTTTCCGGCTCGTCATGTTGCATAGAAATATAGATTGGAATTCCCAAGTTCTTGTGCTGAGCAGCAACATGCCCCTTATTTTAATTCATGGGGAAACGATGACGCCAGGTTAGTCGGTCCTTGGAAATGCAATCGTGGGCAGAGCGTCTGATTCAAATTCAAGCCAGCAGGCCAAACCCAGACGGCAACCAACATTGCACGTGCCAAAATTCATAGGTACAGCATCTTGATCATGTTCCAACATACAGTGTGCTCGTCCATCATGGGGCACTAAGGGGCGAAGCAGCTTGGATTGGACATGGATTATATATTTCAGCGACGGGTCTAGCCTGTCGTCTCCTGCCCAACAGCAATCGATGCTGGTCTCGCTGAGTTACTTGGCCCGCCGTTTCATTTGTTTTTGCGAAACCGAAAGCTACGTTCCAGTTTGCGGCGTCATGAGAAGTTTAAACGTCAAAGAATGCAGCACAGCTGGAAGTTCAAAACATTGTTTATGATCCAGAATTCTACCCTCTCCGATTTTGTTTGCTTTAGATGTCGAACATATGGATTCAAAAACGAAAATCTCAAAAACGTAGTCAGATATTTAGCAGACCAGGTGGACAAGTAGACGTACTCAGAGCGGCCACGGGCACGGACCACCGCGCGCCCCACACCCCTGACGCCAAGGGACGGGCCCCTCGCAGCTTACATATACTCAAGGTAGCCTGGAGACCTGCCATGCTCGACTCACCAACAGCCATATATACATGCAAACACTCATATCTGAAGGCCCATTGTTTATTTCACCACATACTGTAAATTCTGCCACGGGCACTGCTTATCAGTGCAGGAACCCAAAATCATATCATGAGCGCTCTATCGAATCCGCCAAAGGTCCAGACTGGGCCCCCGTCCGGAGCAGGCCCAGTTAGGCACCGAGCCTGCGATGACTGCCGTTCGTTTTCATTCCACGTGCATCCTCATCCCCTACGAACCCTTCATCTGACACCGTTGTAGGTTCTCGTAAGCTTGCATGTACCAAGGAGCCGGATGGATGTTCACGCTGCAAAAGAGAAGGCATTGTCTGCCACTACTCAGCCCAGAAGCAGATGGGCAGGCCGAGGAAGAAGCCTAATGCTGATAGTACGAGTGCGAGTGCCAAACCGGCACCTACGGTGTCAACAAGTGCCCCGGCCCAGCAGGGTTCATCCGGTACCACGCCAGAGGAGTCTACGGTGGCCGCACCGGACATGCTGATGGACCTTGACCCATCGTCGTTCATAGATCCGGGCTTGGGCGCTACTTCCGATGGAGGCTTGTTGGACCTGCTCGGCCCGGACTTTGTCTCAACCCAGCCCTTCCATGCACAAGAGTGGCAGCCCAAGATGAACCCACTAGAACGGGATATCTGGAGCTTTGATATCAACTTTGACAACCATTATCCGCCTCCACCGCCAGCGGAGCACAGCGGCACAGGCGCGCAACTCCCGCCGCCGCTCAGCTTCGGCACTCCCAGCCTGTCATCACAGGGTGCAACAACCCCTGAGAATGCCAACACATCCACGACAGCCGCACCGGGGACCTGTGGCTGCCTTGCGAGCCTGTACCTTGCCCTCGACGGCCTCACTAATCTCCCCACGGAGGTCGAACCTGCGATCCGGGCAGCCCGGAGCTCGACCAAGGCAGCCCACGAAAGCACCCACTGCCGGGTCTGCTGCCCGCCGCTGACAGAGAGCATGAGGATCACCATGTCGTCCTTCCAGAACATGATGATCCTCGGCGCGCTATTCCCATCCGTTGTCGACGCCTACCGCCGGATCCTCGACATGATCGAGATCGAGACGGCCCGCGCCATCTGCGAGCGCCGCCAGATACACTTCTCGCTGCCCGAGTACGGCGGCGTGTGGGGCCAGCTCGGCTCGGACGAGAACATCTGCAGCACGGCCAGCCAGTACGACAACGTGACCCTCGAGCCGGCCATGTGGCGGCTCACCGTCCGCGCCCTGCTCAAGGTCGACGTCTACGGCGTGAACTGCGGGCCAGAGGGCCCCGGGAGCAAGACCCTGCGCTTCTCGCAGATGGGCCTCAAGGACATTGTCGCGCAGCTGGAGGAGAGGAGCCGAGCCCGGCATGCCGAGGTTGATGCCCTGCTGGAGGCTGGTTTGCCGGGGCCGGTGGGGCCCGCGGGCGTGCGCGCGCAGCATTCGCTCGGCGAAGAGCCGCACTGCAAGAGGATAATCAAGATCGCGAAGGACGCCATAGCATCATTGGATATTCCTTGACGGAACGACTGAATACTGTTTCAACTTCATCAGGTCCCCTGGACCCTGCAGCGGCTGGACCGGATACAGCAATGCATATGGGCATCGAGGTCCTGAGCGAGACACGGCCTGACGAGGTCGATTGTGCTCGCCGCATTGGCTTGATGCAGCCGACGCGACCGTCAAACATGCACGATCATAACCGTCGTTGAGTCGACAGCCCGGTCAGTCGCGGAATGGGGACAACAGGGCCCCAGCGGCCCTGAGAGCACACGGAGGAGGCCAAGTCGGAGGGCTATCCCGAGTCACCCGCGCTGCATGACCGTTGGCTGGGCCAAGTTAGAAACGACCGTAACAACCCTGCCGGCGACATAAGATCTGGTGGTGTCAAACTTCCCAGCCATGCCCGTCGCATGCGGTGATAGTCGCCATCCGCGATCGAGGGTGGTGAAGCCCGGTGTCACGTATGTGCTGGAATGGTTGCTGGCGCTGCTTGAGGCGAAGGTTGGTTGTTGTTTAATCGGAAGAGGCCAATATATGATCAGGATTGAGCGTAGAAGTCCGTGTGAGCACACAGATGGACTACCGTGCATTTAGTGAGTGGTCTACTAAGTCCCACTGTTGACGTGACCAACGCCTTGAGGTCTGAGTCTTCAGAGTGCGCCCTGAAGCGTGTCCGTAAAGTACTGGGTGCTGTTATCGCCGCGTGGGAGTCCTGGCCCTGGTACCTTAAGTTACCTTGCAATTCTGCGCAGCCGGTGGTACCTGAGCACACAGATATAAAGCTCTCATGTATGAGAAAGTTTCAAGAAATGGCATTGAAGACATGAGTTGGCAATACGTGCCGCTTTACTTATACTGTACTGAGAGTGATCTATACAACTATATCATCTTGAGAGGCATGCTAAGTCATGTTGTCTTCGGGCGTTTCTTTTCTCATCAATCTCCAGTGAGATGAGCCCGTCTGCCTTGACGTTGTCCGTGTAGCCATAATGTAAACTGGCAGAGCTTCCTCATCACGTTGTCACTCTGGTCGAACTTTGTTTCAACTACATACGTGAAGCGGGGCCTCCAGCGACGAGCATGAATCGATGCAGCGCGGTGAAAGGGCGGGAGATGAAGCGGCTATCCTCTCCTCGACGCAGCAATGGCAACGTCACACCTCGGAGCGTAGATTGGGACTTGACAACTATGCACGGTAGTATCGATTTTGCCCACTCAACCGTAGAACGCCTTTTGGGGGTGATTTCCCACAACTTTGCCGTGCTAGAAAAAGACCCGATCCGCTACACACTGGATCGACTCGTGAGATCTCAGCTTCCCGAACTATTTATCCACTCCTCTACTGCCGCTGGCGCTTCCGCCCCAGCTGTGACTGCTCAAAGCCTCGACGGGCCTAGTACACCTTCTTCTTCTCATCAATGCTGAACTGGCCTGGTCCACTGTTGACCAGGAGCAGGAGACCGCCGACAATGGAGAGGATCTGGAAGAAGTCGTACTTGGCAAAGTCCTTGTGGGGGTGGTGCTCGTGAAGCTGTGGGATTACTGTCAGTACGTTGTCTTTCGGAGTCAAGAGAACGCCACATTGAGGGTGCAGCAACTTACAGTCCAGAAGTTGTTCACCAAGACGTTGAAGACACTCAGGATGAAAACCAGCAGCGTGGCGCTCCACTTCGCCTTGAATCCAACCACAACCATGACGCACGCGACCAGGCCGATGACGGAGACGAGTACCCTCCAGATGGACCACTGTCCACTGAACACGAAGCCGACAAAGAGGAAGATGAGAAGCACACGACCAGCGAACTGGAAGTACATCTTGCGGTCCTTCTCCTCGATCTGGGGCAGGCCGGCGAAGGCCTTGGTCTTTCGGACCCACGAGTCTGACAGGACCATCAGGAGACCGCCCATGACAGACAGGTTGCGCAGGAAGAAGTTGAGGTCGAAGATCAGGCCGTAGCCGAGAGCCTGGGTCACGACAACACCGATGAGACCGGCGACGGCATATTCGGAGTGACGGCGGGCGATGACGAGTACGGAGCAAGCGACCATTGCGAGAACATTGGCGATTAGGAAGAGATGGGTGAGCCCGTTGGGAACTGTGGCACACAAAGTCAGTAAATTGTTGCCAAATATAGAAACTCCCGGTTCTGGAGGATTGGGCGTGCGTACTGTGGCGATAGTCGTGCAGGTACAGAATCTGGTCGCTCCATTGTGTTATTATGCGCAGCGCATCCTCGAGGAACGTCACGACAATGAGAAACCGGCCGATTGCAGGCATGTACCTGTGGTGACTTGTTAGCAACCTGTTCACAGCTCCACAGCTGGCCGACAAGTAACGGCTCGCACTGGCCCTTGTGGGCGCCCGGTGTGGTTCACGTACGGCTTCACTGGCTCGGCAGCAGAATCGAGAAAGTCTTCGATCTTGCTGGTCTGTTGCCTGATGGCGTCCAGAGCGTTGCCACCCTCGGAGGGGCTGTTATTGATTCCGCCATAGCTTGGTGCTCCCATGCCGTAGCCACCTGCATTTCCTCGCATTGTGGCCATCTCGAAAGGCTCCCTTGTCCCTTTTCTTTTCTACCGCAGAGAAGAGGAAGGAGATTGATCCCCGAGGCAGACCTGCTGGTGCGACGGACAGTCGTGGTCGTGATCGTGGTACGAACCAAAACAGGAGGCGCCACAGCAGACCGGAAGAGGAGCTCGAGGAAAAACGAAAGCCGAATGACGTGGTGGACCACAGACAAGACCCAGTCTGGGCTGCGATGTTCGAAGCAAAGGATAAAAAAGATGCAGTTTATCAATGAAGGCAACTGATCAGTCCTTGAGTGAATTAGACTGGACTGGACCCTGACGGCTGGGGAGGTGGAAGGACAGAGAGAGAGGCTGTCTCTGGCGATGGTGTGTGTGTGTGTGTGTGGTGAGCTGTCGAGGCGGAGAAGGCAAAAGTAAGTATTCAAGTCCGAGGCGAGGGTCAGTGGAAGCTGTGGATTAACGACACCTTGTCCTTTCCAATTCAGAGCCGGAGCTTAGCTTGGGATGGCGGGCCGTCAGGGACTAGGCCATCTAGGTCGTGTTAGTCGGAACCGTGGGCCCACCCGCAAAACCACTAGCGATCTGTACCTGTAGCTCCCACCCAACACAAGGTGGGGTTTGTGGGCTGTGGGGCCTGTGTGCCTCTGCAACTCTGTACTCTGGAGCTGTTTCCGAGCACCTCGGTAACATGCCGCCGGCCAACCAGGTTCTGGGTGAAGAGGCCAGCTCAGGGTCAAGACTATCAACATTTTCCTACAGGTCAGACTTGGTAGGAGGTACTCTCCACTTCACGGACCTAACAGTAACAATCGACGGCCTAAGCACGCCATGATATTTCTACGTCTACATATCGGTGTGGGTGTGCATGATCTTTGCGCTTAGTGTTATTGACAGGACCATATTTTGCGGAATGATGAATTCCGCCCCCCTTGGTAAAGACGATGTGATGATTTTTCCAGGAATGGCTAGCGCGACCCACTCCAAAAATCAACATCTCAGGGCATTCATGTTATACCCTTCAAACCCTTTAAATTAAAATCACTTTCCCAGGCTGGCAATTAAATTAAGAAAGGGCCGGCTGGGGCGAGGATGGACGGTGCCGGGAGGTACCGCCGAGCACCACTTGAGGCCCAACCCGGTACTCTTTATGTTCCTTAGAATGAGCGAGATGCGTTTTGATAAGTGACTTTGAATGCCAAGGAGTGCTAAGGAGCGCTAAGATAAAAAGGTGGGACCGCTAGCCATTCCTAGAAAAATCATCACATCTTCTTTACCAGGGGGGGCGGAATTCAGCGTCCCGCATATTTTGTGGGACAGGACCCTGGTCACCTCGCCCTGCGTTTCAAGTCGTCACCCTGCAGACTTCATCCGGGGACTAGGCACTCGGACACTGCGAAGTAGACACCAAGAAGAGAGAGAGCGTGTGTGTGTGAAAGAAAAGAGGCCAACAAGTCCACGTCTAATGTGCTAAGTAACAATCTATCCTCGTTATCTGTCATTGTCACACAACATCCCAACAACCTTCGATCAGGGGCCAGTAAAGCCGCCCGAGCATTTTGCCATAACATGGCTGCCCTCAGACAAGAGCTCGGCTGCAGATCACCCCGGTGCCACCTGACATGGACAGCTTACGAAAGGAGAATCTTGCTCCATTTGGTCGAGTCATCGTCCCCAGACACTCCAGAGAGACAGGTACTCGGTATTACGTCTAAACAGCCTGAGAGGATGTGCCTGACTCGACTGTTGTACACTACTCACGCCGGGTCCTTAAGTTCGGTAACGGAGGGAAGTCTAATGCTATGGTGGCATCTCGCGTTGTCCGTCAACATTTGAGCCCAGTTTGAATCGACCAAAATTTGACATTAATATGTCGCATAAAGGCTGCTAGAGCAAAGCCTTGGCAAGTTTTTTTGTTCGGATGAGGAGACTTTACGTGGCCATACATAGAAAAGTTGCGTTGAAAGATCTGGCATATCTTTTTGTTGTCCGTTCAACCTACACTATTCTAAATCATAAAACCGCCCAAAGGCTCGTTATTGATTAGTCTTCTGTGATGTGTTGAGTGAAGTCGCAAACCGGAAGAAGATTCGGATCAAAGATAAGCATAAGGGTAAATAATCTATCTCTGTAAGTAGGAATAGTATTAATGAGACGGTAGTAGGCTTAGCTAAGAAAGACAACAGGGGAAGAAGTTTGTCGGTAAGACAAATTAATTCCCGACTGTTCGTGACTAATGTGTCCTAACGGCCAGCAATCAAGTCTATATCAGTATTGAAACAATTGTCCAGGTGTTATCACCTGGCTTCTATTTGGCCCAAACTTGATTTCAATGAGTGCAAATCGGGGAATATTCACATAGTAGCACCCACTACATGCCTAATTGTACACTGCTTAAACAATATTTCAAGTCAATTATTCTCATAATCACCCAAAATACACCAAAAAATATGATGATTAATTTATGGCGTTTGCAGTGGATTAGATGATGTCCTGTACTCAGTGATGCATTGTTTCTTGCAGGTAACAAGAACAATTAGAAATGCATTTCGCAGATTTGAGCGATTGCAGAAACGTTCAGATCGCGAGGGAGAGAAACAAGGATGCAGTTTGAGATAGACACCCACCCCAACAGCCAGTGTTAGAGATATTCACATCAGGGGACAACCCCGCGTACAGCTCAGTGTACGCCCCGTTCAGCTGCGGGTACATGAAGAGCCTCTCCGCGATGCGGAAGAAGAAGCCCTGGTCGCGGTAAAGGTCCGACTGAAGGTTCCCCGGGTTCAGCGAGAGGCTGACGACGCCATCCGCCTGGTGCCGCCGCGCGTACTCCGTCGCGTGCGCCCAGTTGGCGATCTTGCTGTACCAGCACCGTTGCATTCCGCTCCTGGGCTCCTGGGCCTCCGGGCTGAGCGTCTCGGGCCTGACGCCGACCCTCTCCTCGGCGAACATCTCCGCTGCCGACGACGATGTCCAGACGACGCGCACCGTGCTGGCGGGCTCTGAGCGGGCGGTCGCGGTGAGAACTGGGGTCAGGAGCCGCGAGAGGAGGAACGTGCCGAGGGCGTTTACCCCTGTGTGAAGCTCGTGGCCCTGGGGCGTGAGTGCCATCTCCTTCGTGCCCGACAGAACTCCTGCGTTGTTGAATAAGACGTGCAGCTTGGTCTCGGATTCCAAAAATCGCTGCACCGTCTGATTTATGGTGCTCAGATCGGCGAGGTCCAGCCTGATGTAGTGCAGGGAGCCAGCGGACTTTGGGATAGTCTTCTGGATATCTGCAATCGCAAATTTTGTCTTTTCTTCTGAACGGGCTAGCATGTAGATTTTGGCACTTTTTGCATAGAGCAGACGGGTCAGTTCTTTCCTAGTACCCGTGTTGGCGCCCGTGATGATATAGATCTTGCCGTTGAGGTCTGGTAGTTCCTTTTCAGTGAACTTGGGTTTTGGTGGGAATGCCTGGGTCAAAGTGCTCTTCAGCGTTGGGCGCGGCGCCATCCTGATATCTGGCCACGAGCAGTTGGATGTGACAGTGTGCCAGGTGATATTAACATAGAAGACGAAAGGAGGTGCAATTAATATAATGCAATCGCTCCGTGAACGGTCGAGAAAGATCAAGCAAGGCAGTTTCCGAAATCGATGAATCCAATGTTTGGTGAGCAAAAAGGCATACAGCTAGGACATCTAGAAATCATACAACAGCAGCGCAGCTTTATTTTCCAGGCATTAGGCGTCACTGTATATTGGACTTGGCTGACATCGGGGGACCAACAGTATCCGAGCCTGCGGTTGAGGTCACCGGACTCGGTTATCCGCCGCACCACGAGACGTTGTGTGGAAGGCTACAAGTGCCGTGAGGGTTTGAAAGCATGATTGTAAAAGCGTCTATCTCCTAAGAGTAGTTTAGAAGGAGGAAACAAAAGAAATCTGGCTATTTAAGCATTCCAGAAAGTGGTTGCAAACCAGGGTTAGGGATGTGCGTGCAACACGTTGCAACCAACACGCAGCATCCCAAGTGGAATAATCGGTGATAATTTTTTTTGGCTCCCTAAGTCCGAACGTCGTGCAGGAAATATTTGGGAGCGGAGTTGACTTTCTTTCCGGCTGCTCACGCGCTTATAAGTTCGATTGCTGGAAAATGGTGGTACCCATGGGGGTGTGGCCGGGATACTTGCGAGTACAGCCAGGCGCAGCCAAGGAAGACACGTGCATGAAGACAGAGACAGTTCGGTGAGCCATTGGAAACAGCGCTTGGAGGATATCACCCTTCCTCAAAACGACGGATTCCTGCAGCCTCGTTCCGTCCCGAGCAACAGGGAGGAAACAGGCCGTAAAAGCCGATTCGTTGCCTACTTATAACAGGACAGAAAACCTTCGCAGGTAAGGCTTGGATAATTGCATATCAGATGACCGCTTGAGTGCCTACAACTTCCAGACTATCAGACAAATTCACCCATCTTCAATAATGCCGTCTCCATATCAGCTCCCGAAGAGACAACTCGGAAAGAATGGGCCGCAGGTACCGAGGCTGGGCTTTGGGCTGATGGGCCTCAGTGCCGCGTATGGTGCGGTGCCGTGAGTGCTACCAACTTCGACTGCATGGCTCGAATTTGTGGTCATTAAATTATGTCACAGGCCTGATGAGGAGCGCTTCAAGATCTTGGACCGGGCCTGGGAGATGGGCGCGACCTTCTGGGATACCGCCCAAGAATACGGGGACAGCGAGGTCCTCATCGGTAAGTGGCTCGCGAAGCATCCTGAGCGTCGCCAGGATATCTTTCTCGGCACCAAGTTCGGGATTGCGTGGAATATCAACGATGGCAAGGTCGAGATGCATTTAGACACGAGCCCCGAGAACTGCCGCAAGACCTGCGGAGAAGCCCTCCAGAAGCTCGGCGTGGACTACATCGACCTCTTCTATATTCACCGTTTCGATGAAAAGACTCCAGTTGAGAAGACTATGGAGGCTTTGCTGGATCTGAAGAAGTAAGCTCCCATTTTTTTCACTGACTTGGATTCCCGTCCTTCAATCCTGCTCTAACTAGCGTCATCATACAGACAAGGGAAGATAAAGCATGTCGGATTCTGCGAATGTTCTTCGGAGACCCTTCGTCGCGGTTTGGCCATGGGCCCCATCGCAGCTGTTCCGATTGAATACAATCCCTGGACGCTTGATATAGAAGGCGAAGTGGGCACGCACCTACTGGCGACCTGCCGTGAGCTCGGAGTCGCCGTAGTGACCTTCAGCCCCCTGGGGCGTGGATTTCTCACCGGAAGGTTCGCCGTAACCCACCATCGGCGTCGCTGTTTACACCCATGCACCCTTACTGACGGTTGTTTCGCGTCAGGTACAAATCACCTGACGACTTAGAAGCGCACGATGCCCGTCGGATGCTCCCGCGTTTTAATGCGGAGAACTTCCCCAAGAATCTCGAGCTCCTGAAGATTTTCGAGGATCTCGCGGCTGAGAAAGGTGCCACCCCAGCGCAGGTGGTTCTGGCTTGGGTTCTGGCACAGGGGCCAGAATTCTTCCCTATCCCAGGCACCAAGAACTTGAAGTACCTGGAGCAGAATCTGGGGGCGCTCAAGGCCGAGATCACGGCTGAGGATGATGCTCAGATTAGAGAGACAATCGATTCGATGGGTGGAGCCGCCGGTGGACGAATCCCAGCTGGCATTCCAGGCTGCTTCGCTGACACGCCACAGTTGTAGTTGACATGTGGGCATTCAGTTGGAGCATCAACCACGAGATAGGAGTGGCGATCTGCTTTGTTTGATTTCGCTACAGATGAGGCGGAAAATCCCTACTAGCATACCTTACACGCTGCTGACACCTGACATCGAATCCGCATGACCACATTTGGTACTCAAGACTGTATTTTCAGTGAGAATCAAGGGAACCCGGTGGAGACTCCCTGTTAATAAGTGTATAGCTTCGACGGAAAAGCTTCAGTCTGTTGGAATATTCTAGATATCTAGGCTATTATTAATACGGGATATCCTTTTCCCCATACGTTTGCCACTGTATGGAGGATAATAACTATAAATAAGGGCCTTCCCTCCTATAAAATAAATATTAGCTAGCTTAATAAACTAAGCATTTAACGCTATTATTTCAGAGATTATAAGCTCCGAAGCTAACCCAAAACGGCAACATTAATTTAATATAAAAAACGTATATTACGTAATACCCCTAATTGCCATTACTTCTTAAACCTTTTAAATAAAATAAGCTTTATACTTAAAAATATACCTTTTAATTAATTACTTAATTAAGCTAATTAATAAGCCCTTAACTAATTAAATCGCCCTATTTAATATTATAAATTAACCTTATCTCCTAACCCAAAGCCCATATATAAAAACTACACTTCTTTTACTTAAATACTTAATTATTTCTTTATTAATACTTAATTTATTTATATAATTTATATATTATTTAAGAGCCCTTATTAAGAATAATAAGAGCATTTTTTTAGATTTTAAAAACTACACTAAATTAATATTAAAAACGTAAATTTTAATAAATTTATAATAATTTTTAACTCCCTTAAAAATACTTAATTATATTTTAGCTATCTTTAATTTATAATATCTTAAAAATATATTATTTAAAAGCCCTTCTTCTTTTCTTTATAATTATATTACTTTAATATTTATATTTTTATTTCTTAACTTATTAAATTTATTTAAAATTTATTATATTTTTCTTTTTATTATTTTAATTATCTTAATAAATATTTTACTTATTTACCTTAAAATAATATTTCTTAATAAGTATAATATTTTATTTCTTAATAAAATAAAAAACTATATATATTAAAGCATTAAAATTTAAGCTTAGCTTAAAAAAGAAAATATTATTAAAAATAATCTTAAGAATCTTTTTAAGGCTTATTTTTAACTTAAAATAAAAAAGCCTTTATTAATATTAAACTTATATATAAATAGGGGCTTATTATATTTATAAAAGATATAAATAATGCTTAAAAAACATAAAATATACTTAAATTTTATTATAAACCCTTTAAATTTATAAGCTAATATTTACTTTATAAAGAATTCTTTAATATTAATTTTAATAATTTTAAGATTATAAAAGAATATATTAATAAATTAAAGCTTTTTTTAAAGAATTTAAAGGCTAATAATATAATTCTTTTTAAATAAGTTATAATTAGCTAAATTCTTTATAGCTTAAATAATAAATATATTAACTTTATTTAAAATATAACTTAAAGTTTTAAAAAAGATTTAAATACTTATATAATTAAATTTCTCTTCTTTAGCTTATTAAATAAAAGCAAAAGTAAATTCTTTAAATTATTTATAAAAGCCTTATATATAAAGAATAAAAAAAATAAAAAAAAGATTATTATATGCCTTAATTGCAAAATAAAGGGCCATACTTAAAAGAATTGCTATTTCCTTTATTTAAATAAGGCATTTATTAGCTAAAAAATAAATAAATAAAGAAAAAAAAAGGAAAAAACTACTTTTTTAAAAAAGAATATAAGCTAAGAAAAACGGGAAAAAATGCAAAAGCAATTCCTAGCTTTATTAGCTAGCATAAAGTCTCCCATGGCTTTAAAAGGCGCTTAAGAAAAACCTATAGCCCATACGGCTATAAATAATTCAATAGAAAATACTAAATATAATAAGAATTTATTAAATCTCTTATAACTTTCTTTTAATAACTTAATGGAAATTAAGGTAAATAACCCCTTATATACTTTATATATATATATAATAATAATAATAACTAATAATAATAAATTTATAAGAAATTAATAATATATAAATTTCATAAAAATAGCTATAAATATTGCTATAAATATAATAAGTTTTAAAAATATACGCCTTTTTAACATTATATATATAATTAATAAAACTATAAAATAAGGTAATATAAATATTATATTTATAAATAAAATAAGGAACTTAATAATTAAATTTCTAAAAATAAATACTATAAAGAAATTCTTTAATATATATTATATACCTTCTTTAAGTTTAAATATACTTAGTTATAAATATATAAGTAATAAAATTAAACTAAAATTAAAAGGAAATATTATTAAATTATACTCTTAAGAAATAAATAAACTAATAACTTAAGGATATTAAAAAAACGGCTTATACTTTATAAAAATTAATATAATAAAACAAATAAACAAGCTTAAATATACCTCTTAAAAAATATATATAACTTAATAAAATTTAAATATAAATAATAAAAATAAAAAAGAAATATATAAATAGCATTATAAACTAAGCCATATAAATATCCAAGCTTTAGAAATATTTCTTTAAAAATATAAAATAAATATATTAATAAATAAACCTATTTAAAAATATATAAGTAATTATAAAATATACTTAAAAGCTAAATATATAACTAAAATAAATAAAACTAGCCTACATAACTAAGTATATAATATACTTAAAAGAGTATATAGTGATATAGGCGGTCCCTTAAAACCTATATATAATAAATATAAATATTATATATTATTCCTTAATAAAAGAACTTAATATTTAAAAGTTTCTTTGCTTAAAAATAAAGACGATGCATTAAAAGCTTTTAAAGATTATAAAAATAAGGCAGAAAATAAATATAATAAAAGAATAAAAGAATTCTTTACTAATAATAAAGGCAAATATATAAATAAAAGATTTAAAATCTTATTAAATAAATACTTTATAAATTACCATACGACGCCCTTATATATAAAAGAACTAAATGGCTTAATAGAAAGACTAAATTTAATTATAATAAATAAAGTAAGAAGCCTTTTATATACGGCAAATTTACCTATATATTTATAGGGAGAAGTAATAAAATATGCTGTATATTTATATAATATTACACCCTATAAAAACCTAGGGTATAAATGCCCTTATAAGGTAATTAATAAAAAGAAGCCTTATATAAATAACTTAAAAATATGGGGATTTATTATATATTTTCAGAATAATAATTATAAAACTAAATTAAAACCCAGAAATAAAAAGGGCATATTATTAAATATAATCCCAGAATTAAGTATATATTAAATATGGGATATAAAAATAATAAAAAGCCTATATTAGTTCGGGATGTTTAAATATTAAAAGAATAATATATAAATAATAATAATAATATTAATAATAATAATAATAATAATAATAATAATAATAATAATAATAATATAATAATAATATTAATAATAATAATAATAATAATAATAATAATAATAATAATAATAATAATAATAAATAATAATAATAATAATAATAATAATAATAATAATAATAATAATAATAATATAATAATATAATAATAATAATAATAATAATAATAATAATAATAATAATAATAAATAATAATAATAATAATAATAATAATAATAATAAATAATAATAATAAATAATAATAATAATAATAATAATAATAATAATAATAATAATAATAATAATAATAATAATAATAATAATAATAATAATAATAATAATAATAATAATAATAATAATAATAATAATAATAATAATAATAATAATAATAATAATAATAATAATAATATAAATAATAATAATAATAATAATAAATAATAATAATAATAATAATAATAATAATAATAATAATAATAATAATAATAATAATAATAATAATATATATATATATATATTCCAGAATTGCAAGAATAAAGGAAAGAAAATAGGGAAGTAAATTCTCCTCCTATTTTAAATGAAATAATAGTTCAAGGCAATTTAAAAGACTATATATATACTATACAAGACATACTATTAAATAACCAAATATTTATGTTAAATTCCCAAGAAAATATATTAAAATACTACTTAATTGCAGCTAATATTAATAAACCTTCTTCTTTAAAAGAAGTATTAAATAACCCAGAAAAACCCTTATAGGTTAAATTTATGCTAAATAAAATATATAGTTTATAAGAATAAAATACTTATATAATAATGGATTTACCACCCGGCTATATAGCTTTAAGGGGGAAATGGGTATATAAAAAGAAATTTATAAATAACCCAGTTATTATAAAGCTTAGTTAAGTAGTAAATAACGAGAATAATATTAAATTTAAATTTAAATGGGTTATTTAAGGATATAATTAAAAATTAAGCATAAATTATTTAAAGACTTTTTCTATAGTTTGCCGCCTTAAGACCTATATTATTATTGGCGGGTGCAGGGGATTACGTAAGAAATGGTATTGCGCTAAATTCCGGCTAGCTATAAAAAGCTAGCTTTTATGCTTATTTTAAATATTCTTTTAAGAAATTAACTCTTTTCTTTTCTTATATATTTAATGCTTTAATTAAGCTTTTCTTATTTTTAAGAATTTTTAAAATATTTATTTTTTTCCTTTCTTTGGTTCCCTTTTATTCTTATCTTCCCTTTTTATTACGTTAAAGCTCCTTCTTAAGTTATCCTTAAGAGGGTTTAGCAGAATTTATTCCTTATTATTTAAGTAGCTTATTTTTATTAATAATTTAGCCTAGGCATAATTTTGGTTTTATGCATCTTTAATTAATAATAAGAAAAATAGGAAGTTAGTTATAAGTTAGTTATTTATTAATTTTATTTCTTTTTATTTTTATATTAAATATTATTAAATTATTTTATATTTTAGCTTAAAGCTTTAATTAAAGCTTATATTTATCTTTAACTTATTATAAGAAAAGTTAGATATAATTAAATT